CTCACTTTTAACACCTGTTCAATAAAGCTTTGTCATCTTGAATCTCTATACTTTACAAAAAACCGTATGCTGTTGACAAAAAATAATTTTAAAAAAACATTAACAGAAAACTTTTGTTACTCCATTCTCCTTTCAGCACATCCACCGTGGCCACGTCCTCATTTCACATCACACTCACATCCACATCACACAGGCCGGACTTAGTATTGGTCCCAGTTTGTAAGGTCAACTTAGTGTATTGACATGACCATCCAAACATATAACATACACAAACATATAACCTACACAAACATATAGACAACACAAGAGGCCTGTAATTTTAAACTTTGTTATATATTTTTATTCCAATGTCCAATTTACATTGTCCTCATGAGCTATTTTAATAGTTCAACTTTCAGAGCCTGCGAACATGCAAAGACTTTGAGAGATATTTTCCTAAAAAGGATCCATTTCAACTTTAGTGTTTAAAAAACCACTGGTTCTTTACACGGCTTGTCACAAAACTGTGTCCCCTATATTTTTAAAGAGCTCTTGATACTATAAAAAAAAAACTCATAGCACGTCGCAATAAAATGTTTTCTTCCCTTTTTTTTTTAAAGTCCAGTTTCGGATTCCTTAAAAATGTAGAATAAGTTTCAAACTTTTTATACTACACCTTTAGTTTCAGCGTTCATATGTGGAGAAAGACCATTGTTTTATGTGGTGTACTTGCGCAATCATGTCTCAGATAAACTGTCCAACCATTTTTATTATCAAAGGACATAATTGTCCTAAATGTTTCTAATTTAGCTATTTGAAGAGAAACATGTCATAAAAGATTTCATAAAAGTGTCCCTACATCCTGTTTTCAACCAGATGAACAGTGTTGCATCTATGTTAAATCAGAAATGATCCAATATCCACCTTTAGGCCAAAATTTCAGAAAAGCTTTAAATCATTTATTCAAACTTTAAATTGTCTGAAACAAACCATTTTGTACTAAATGCAACTCCATTAAAAGCTGCAGTCTCTTTGCTAAGCACCAGTTTTCAACTGTGCATGTGACTGTTCTTAAATGAGAAAACTAGCCACGGTTTCAGAGGTTGAAAAACACTGCTTTTAAATTCCGTAATTAACCAAGATCATGCAGTCAAAATCAAAAATCTCAACTTCTCCGCTCTATAACTTTAAATAATACTAGTTTCAATAATAGAGTCTCCTCTACTTTAAATATACTGCTGTTCTAAATCCCTTGGTGTCCTCATGCCTTTTATTTTATGTTTAAGTCACAACAGCAAACGTCTCGAAGGACATTACAAAGTTGACGATTCACCAACAACAGATCAGAGAATCAAATAATTCAAACACAGTTAAAATGCCATAATAACAAACACATAGAGGCCATTGGTCCATAGGGAGCGGGATGACCAAGGTCCATAAAAGTTGATAAAAGTCCATATATGTAATAATAATAAGTACATATATTTTCTACATTTACTTCACATTCTCAAAGATAATTTGCCCGGATTGCGTTTAAAGGACAAACCAAACACAAATAACCCATACTATTTGTTGTTGGTAATGAAAAAAATCAATTTACAACTCAATATATGTATTCTTACACTTTCAAGGTGCCCTCGCCACAATATTAGAATGTGTTTGGAAACCTGAACCTACAATAAAAAATAATCTCTAATACAATAGTTGTTCGTGACTGACCGCCCTGATTTGCAGCACACTGATGCTTTTCAAAATAATGACAATCTTTGAACAGATATTGTTTACTGAAATAACCAGCACTAATCTACAGACAGTGACTTTGAAAACTTCATAATGAAATTCTTCTCTAAAATTATAGAAAAATACCACACACTACCTCTCCTATATCTGTTTATTTATCATTTTGGTTTGTATTACCCGTTATGTTGTTTATAGGCACGACACAAGTGCTTTAGATACCGCTGTTCTATTGAGACAAAACTGGCCATCTGCTTCTCTATTGAACTAAAAGTGTTTTGGCTCATTATCTGCAGCTATGTCCTCAGCGTGGCCCTGCTATCATGTGCAATCAAAACACATGATCTTCAAAAAATCTTCAAAACACGGGCAGTAATTAGTGCTATTTTGCTTTTATGGAATCTGAAGTGTTTCCAGTTTTCCTATAAAGATAACTATGTGCTTTGTAAGTGCAGCAGAGGACGTGTGGAGCCGGAGTGTTTGACCTTCATCCATTTAGAGCTACTTTTATAAAAGGCAAAGAGCTAGCTTATATTTAAAAAAAATCATAATAATCATAATTTATAGCATTATAGTGTCTATTCCTGCATTAGTGAACCTACTGGAAACATTACAGGTATATCAAATGGGAGGATTTTCTACTTCCGGGTGGATCATCAAGACTCTTGGTCTTTCTGGTGATACGTGCTCGTCAAATGAGACTAGAGTTGGGGTTCTTTCCTAAAATTTGGTAAAATCCTCCTACATACCTTTAATGGTTAAAGTAAGTAAGTCATCTTTTCTAATATAGCAGATTTAACAAACCAACATCACTCAAACACACTGGAATCAAAGTCCCCAACCAACATCATCCATCCATTAAATTCAGATCTATTGAGCATGTTTTTAGTGGTAGGGGAAACCGGAGCACCCGGAGGAAACCGACACAGACACGGGGAGAACATGCAAACTCCACACAGAAAGGTGGAATCAAACCCAGAACCTTCTTGTTGTAAATAGGTCACACAAGTAGGTCCTGGACGTATGTAATTACTCAAAATTAGGACTGTAATGAACGTTTATTTTGATAATTGATTAGTTGGTTAGAAACCGGAAAGGTCAGTGAATCTGGGATTTGTTATATTTTTGACCAAAACAAAGCTCAGGTGATGCCCCTGGAGAACTTCTTTATAGAGATAGCATGTTACGCATTGGGTTGTTTGATTTAAATACTTTGTAAACACATTCCGCAGTCATTATAGAATTATCTGAGTCATAAAAGTCATTCTCAGCATGTTTAAAGGTACTCTGTATATTTTTTAAAGTTAACCAATAACAATCGTGACCTTTTTAAGAATACGCCATCTTGAAATACAGTTGATAAGGGACAAAAAGGAGGTTGATCGGGAGTTAGGGACCACTGTCACAGACGACATATTGTCCTGCGAAGCTACCTTAGTGCCGTTAATTACAAAATATGATCCCAACGCTAGATGGGAGTAAAAACTACTCAGTGTATCTTTAAGCATATGGATGGTTAAAGAATAATAATAATTGACAACTAAATCTGTCGAAACTTGCTGTCTAACTTATTACAGCCCTGTACCGTGGGGATAGCAAATAGAAATGCAGTTTAGTTTCTTCCTAACTGTATATTTATCACTGCTGTAGAGTCCATATAGTGCTTTACAAAACAGAGCACTCTGAGAAAAACTTGTCTCTCTTTGCTCTGGCTTGCCCCCTTCTACACACTCACACACACACACACACACACACACACACACACACACACATATTTGACATGCACTCCAGGCTCCAGCGCTGCCTATATCAAAGAGAGCAACGCACTGGGACCCACTTTTGTTGCTGGCAGCCTGAAAAAAGAGAAAACTTTATGATGTGTTTCCCCGTGGTTCTGCCCGTTTTTGTTGGGCTGGAATGGAGCAGTGAGGCATATAGGGACCTAATGTTGGATCTTCAAATCATATTTCTCTCACTGACAGGCTGTTTGTCCCTGCTACACGGCTCTGATTACGCTCACTTTAATTGGAAATGCCATCTTTTGCGTGAGCCAAATAACATCAGAGGGGGATGAAATAAAAGGTTAAAAAAAAACTGAAGCAGGCAACTGGGGCTGTCCTTTTGTTTTATATGTTATCTGACATCAAACAGATTTAGTTCATTTTATTTATAGAATGCCGAAGTGGTTGAAATATTTATGCTGTGTGCTTTTTCTCTGGCAAAACACAGATCCACAAAAAAGGCAGAGAAATATTGTATTGAATGGACAATGACAATGAGAGAAATCATTGATAAACAGTGCCCTCTTGTGTTAGAGTTGCTCCTTATCTAATAACCATGTCCACAATTATGTAAACAAACAAATAGCCCACATTTGTTTAGTTAAAAGAGCCAGAGGAAGCATCATGGAAATGTGATATAAATCGCCTTGTGATAGATAATCTTAGTTCTATAAATTTACAAGCATCAAAAGCTCATTTTGTTTAATTGCTTAATAATTCTCATTATTCAAACCATGTTCCTATCTCAAAAAAAAAGTATATATATATGTATGTATGTATGTATGTATGTATGTATATATATATATATATATATATATATATATATATATATATATATATATATATATTATATAAATAAATATAAATGTTTCATATATATAAAACATTTCATAAGAAAAAGTAAAATAGAAACCACAAGAGCCTAACAATAAAGGCCAGAGATTTCTTTCTTACAAAATAGCCGTTATCAAATGTTTTCTAGATTTGCTGTTACCAGGCTCTGTCTGTAGCGATAAACAAAACAAAAAAGTTATGAGAGACTGGAGGGCTGCAGGGGTCCAGGACATCTCTGAACATTTACAGACATGGGTCATCCTGTGACTGGACAAGTGTTCCATTTGGTGTTCTAATTGTTAGATTTTCATACGTGCTGTTGGCAAATTGACAATTTTGTAAAGTTCTCTGAGACAACTGTTGTGAATTAGCATAACTACCGACAATCAGCATACCTATAAAATATGATCTTCTGCCAAAGCCACATCTTCATCAGAAAATAATAAAACAAAAATGTCTTGTAACTCTAAAAAAAAGACTACATTTTTTAACGAGAACAACAAAAACAGTTCTTAAAGTGACATACTTCCACTAAGTGCTTCTCAAAGTTCTGCTCTTTCACACGCTCCATGAAGAGTCCATGTGCCAGTCCCAGACTCAGTCCCAGACTCAGTCCCAGACTCAGTCCCAGACTCAGTCCCAGACTCAGTCCCAGACTCAGTCCCAGGCTCAGGAGGATGACCCAGAGTCCTCCATGTCCGACGAGCCGCACTCGTCTGCAGACTCAGTGAGGGCAGGGTAGGGCCGAGGCTGGTCCAGGTTCACGTATGTGATGTTCAGGCTGATGTAGTGCTCTCCCTCCAGGCTGTACAGGATGTTGGACACAGCGGACACCAGAGTGCTGAAGCTGGGCCTGAGGTCTGGCTCTGGATCCCAACACTGCAGCATTATGCAGTACCTGCAGATGTGTATAATTCACAGACAGACATATAAAGAAGAAGTAAACTTCACGACTTACACTAAAGAAGAAAAATGATTATTTGTGTTTATTTAAAATGATGAAGAAACCTACACTTTGCCATGTCATGTTTTAGATAAATCCATGCTAACATCAGAATATTGTACAACAATGACATCACACTCAGAACAGTTTCTAAGTATTTTAAAACTAGTTTTATTAATTTTAATTTTTTTAATTTAAAAAATAAATAATACTCCTCCCTCTGGTGGTAGTATAGAGAGTTACAGGCAGATAGCATTTACCCTTGATACTTGTTTCCCCATATATTTTCAACTGAAGATATTATTTCCCTTTATAAAACAGGAAATTACAGTAAATACAAGTAAGAAATAGTAATAATAGTAGCATTATTATATTAAATCATAATTCAAAATAATTTACTTAATTCTCACTTTTGATGCTTTATTATGAGTACATTCAGCTTTCTACCATACGTTTAAAAGACTAGAGGTGCGAACACAGCTGATAAATAGTTCATTCCCCACACACACACACACACACACACACACACACACACACACACACACACACACACACACACACACACACACACACAGTAGTATATAATCACTAGATGTACACATTAACCATGGTGCACTAGCAGGTGGACCAGTCACTTATTTCACACATGTCAAAATACAGTATTTTAATGTCCAATGAAGCTGCAGTGTGAGCAGAGATTGTCCATGGAAAATACCCATACCGTAATTGCTAGACTCTAAGCCACTTTTCCTTTTTTCTTTAAACCCGGCGGCTTATATATGTTTTTTTATTAATTTGACTCCATCAAGTTTTAGTGGCTACAGAACACTTGTTTATTGCGGAGAATATGTCATGGAAGATAACGGTTACACTGTTTAACATCTAGTCATTAAATCATGTTGTGACCAGTTAAAACAGTCATCTTTCTGCTACATTAAAACATGAAAACCTGCGGCTAATATGTGCGGCCTTTACGTGGACAGAATGTACTTTAATTTCAAATGTTGCTGTGCGGCTTATATACAGGTGTGCCTTATATAGTCCAGAGCAGGGGTGCTCACACTTTTTCAGCATGCGAGCTACTTATAAAAGGATCAAGTCAAAATGATCTACCTACTACAAAAATGCAAATCACATATTTATTTCAAAAAATATTCTTTATACCTACAATGTATGTTTATGTACATGCAAAACCGCATGAGCCAATATAGCACAACACAACACAATTACCTATGTACATTTTTTGTCATTACCCGAGTTTACTCTGATGACTTTCACTGAATTGAATCGGCCAGAGATGCATAGTCCGGAAAATTGGTGGCAACTCGCTGACAAGTTTGTCGTGGTTTTGCTTTCCTGCACTGAGCGCGGTTGTTTGCGCATGTGCAGTCACCTAAGTGTCAGTAAAACATTACTGAGTAAAACACAGATGTCATTTGACTGTGGTGCCATGTCCATGTGCCATGCCTATTTTTTTTAAATCCAAATATTTCCCCTCCTCAGTTTATAAAATAATTTGCATCCACACATCTGCGTTATCAATCACATTCGTAACATTCCAAACATGTGCGTCTCTTACGTCCTGTCCTGCGTTGGGGAAAAACACAGAAGTGGGCGGAGCTTTGATGCAGACGCCGGTAACGGCACTTTTACAGTCATATAAGACACTCAGAGTAAAGATGTATGTTTACAAGCACTGACCCCGTCCTCAGCCCTGGTTTAGTCCTGGTTTAGTCCTGGTTTGGTTGTTTTCGAGCGTGAGTCCCCGCGATCACTTTGCTGCTCTCTGATGTGGAGCGAGGATGTTCGCTGCTGCGAGCATCTCACAGCGAACAGTTTTTAAGGTAGTATGATCCATGCTTCAGTGATCAGAGGAATTTAGGGGGGTACTGTGGCGTGCGAGAACGCAAAACTCCGGTTATCTCTGTCTACACACAAATGCATTAATGGAGTTTTCAAAAATCTCCACTTTGCCCGGAGTTTTTTGTATATATTCGTTTAGAATGTGTAATTTTTTATTTATTTAATGCGATCTACCAATACTACCTTTGCGATCGACTGGTAGATCGCGATCGACGTATTGAGCACCCCTGGTCCAGAGAGTACTATAATTACTATAAAAGACAGAAAACTTGTTTGGTGCTGACCAGCAAACTCCAGGTTACCTGCCCATTCCACAGCCCCATGGGATGCAGCATTGTTTGTATTTGGTTTGAAGTACACAGCAAAGGCAGAGTACTCACAGAGGGTCTGGACAATACTGCGGCTGTGGAAGCCTCCTGCCTTTCATCAAATAGTTGGTCACATCATAAGGGTCGACTTCTGGGTATGGGCTGGCTCCTCTGGTCAGCATCTCCCACATGAGAATACCAAAAGACCACTGCAGAGACAACCAACATATATGAAGGCAGCGCTACACAAACCAGGACTTTGTATTTTAAACCATTTTTCCCTTACTACATCTGATTTAGAGGTAAATTTCTGCGTTTGAAGGCTCTCGATGGCCATCCACTTGACCGGCAACTTGGCTTTCCTGTGGTCCTGGACGCTGTAGTACTCCTTGTCGAACACGTCCCTGGCCATTCCGAAGTCGGCCACCTTCACAGTGTATGACTCATCTAACCTGAGATAAGAGCATTAAGTGCCGTTCTGGAAAGTGTGTCTCCATCATATCAAGTGTCGACAAGTGCTACGCTGCTAATATGTGTGACTCACATGCAGTTACGAGCTGCCAGGTCTCGGTGCACAAACTTCTTTTGAGCCAAATATTCCATTCCTTTGGCAACCTGCAGGCCAAAGCCAATCAGATCCTTCACAGTGGGGTTCTAAAGAATGCAACAACACACACGCACAATATGAATGTGATGCAGAGCTGCAAGACGAATCACAATCAAATCAATGATGTTGAGTTATTTAGAATTGTGCTAAAGTTGTCGCTCACTATCGTTTGTTTATCTTTGGGTTGCATTTACACACATGAATTTAAATTAGCAATCAGTGCAAATATAAAGTTCAATTCAGAGCAGGCACAACAGTTGAAATAAGGCAGATATACTGTGCAACAATTACAAACAGAAAAGAAACTAAAGATAAGCAAAAAAGCAAACGGTCTCTTGTTCTGACTTTAAAAAACAAAAACTACTTACACAATACAATACAATTTATTCTTGTATGGCCCAAAAATCACAACAGAAGTCATCTCAGAGGACTTAACAAAAGCATTGAAATCACCAACGCAGATCAGAGAATCAACAGTTAAAACACAAAAAGAATATAGAACACATGTTGATAAATGTTAAAGCTGGGGTACCTTACTTCTATGTTAGAAGTAGATAGATAATACATGTTGTATGTATAGATAATACATGTTGTTTGTCCCAACAGAGTCTCTAAAAGTAAAACAAATGTTGTGAATAAATGGCATTCTTGTAAGAAAGAGCCCTGAAAGAGGATGACCTTCTCTTTTTGAACTGGTTAGATAGAATTGTTTGACAGTTAGGCCCCCCTGCTTTAATTCAAGCATCCATACATGCCTTTTTTTTTCAGCACCAAATGGCCAAATGGCATATTTGGTAGAGATTTTGCAATTTCATATTGAGCAGAAAAAAAGTGTAGCCCTAATAATCATAATTTAAATCATCTTTGTTGATTTAGCACATTTTCCAAAGATTATCCAAAGTGCTGAACAATAAATAAAAATAAAAAAGAGACAAAAAAATACAAATACAAATAATTGATCGGACTTCACTGCTTTAAAACATATTGTAATGTCATATAAGAACAAATAAAAATGAAATGAAAATGTTAAATTTTCCATTTCCAATTAAGAGCAGAGGAACAAAATAAATGGATTAAACATAAATACATGTCAATGAAAAAACACAGAGGAGCTTAACATAATACATTTGATTATTAGATTATATGTGAAGATGAAATACAGCCTCACCCTCTTGTCACAGCGGATGAAGTGACGCAGGTCTCCGTGTTTCATATACGGCAGCACCACCAGGGGGAGCCCTTCCTGAGGTAAGAGGATGCCCAGCAGAGACAGCACGTTTGTGTGGTGGAAAGCCTTCATTATTATGCCCTCTTTGAGAAACTGTTCCACTTCCTCCACATCTGTTATCCCTGTCAATGAATCAGTTATTATGACTGTACAAGTTATATGTATGGAACAAATTAAAAGCATGGTGCGTTATTAACATTACCAGTGTTTAAACAAGATTAATAAACTTAGTGAGACAGGAGAGGCAGCTGGAACAGTGGAAGAGCTCATATAAAATAATCACATTCATCTCAATAATTAAAATATAAATAAGCCTGTGACATAATATGAAACACGATGGTATCCACGATAACATGTTTAAGCCAGGGATGTCAAAGTCAAATACATCAGAGGGCAAAAATAAATAAATTGCTACAAGCCGCGGGCCGGACTGGTTCAATGTTTATTATATGTTTATTATTATAAGACCTAACACAGTGTACCATAATTTAAGGATTACATTTGTGTATGGCTCTGTCAGACATTTCTAGTCAAAACTTTTTTCAACAGGCTCACAAACAAACACAAACTTTCTTCAAAGAGAAAACACATATACTGAACATTTAATGAATAATCAAATATTTTCTTATGGCTCTGTTCGGGCCGGTTCTGATACTAATCAAATATCATCCCGGGGGGATATAAAAAATTCGTGGGACGGATTTGGCCCCCTGGCCTTGACTTTGACACCCATGATTTAAGCAGTGCCCTCCAGAGAATTCAATAAAGCGTTACCATTTTAATGTGTTTTTGTCATTTTGTATTGCGATACACGTTGAGCTGAGGTCTCATTTATACCTCTTTGTGTAGATTTCTACCGAGAGGTCTACTTTACAAACTCAAGAAAAGCTTTTAAAACCATGATTTTGTGCTATTTTTTGGTCACGGGAGAGAAACCTCAGGGCGTCTAAACCAAACAGAGTTTAAGAAGAACAACATATATTACTCACTATTCAAAGACTTCACAGCACAGTGGCTCTCCCTGTTGTTCTGGTCTGTGAAGTAGCCGTGGTACACAGTTCCAAAGTGTCCTGGAGAAAACACACAAACTGTTATATCACATGACCTCTGCATATAATGCATTTGACATGTTTATCCAGTTGTCACCTTTGCCAATGATCCTATGGTAATGCACAATAAGTAACTCAGCCGGTATGAGCACATCCTTCACTTCCTCTAGTAATTCTGGGCGGAAGCTGGAGATGGATATTTTCTCTGCAGGCATGAGTGGGCTGAGTGAGGGGTCTATGCTGCCTGTTCCATAGGCCAGGCCCGGGAACACCACACGTCCCACTGACCCCACTAGGGGAGTGGGAGGGCCCCTGGACGCCACTGCCAAATAGACGAGAAGGTGTGTGAGTGCAATGTTAGGTGCTACATAAAGTATGAATAGTGCTTGACGGGCGGTACCTCGTCTGTAGTCTCCCACAGGTGTGAGCTCCATGGTGTTGGAGCCAGAGCGGTTTGACAAGCGGCGCTCCGCCATCAGAGCTGACACATTTCACAATATATTTAATCATTACATCCTATGTAACAGCAGTTACAGCAGTGTTCTAGTTGAGTGCTTTTATCACAATTTACCACACAGTTTGTTATATGTTAGAGAGACATGTTAGAACAAGCTCCACTACCTTTTTTTTTCTTCCTCCGATGTTTCATGACAGCAAAGGCAAGAGCCGCTCCAGCGACCAGGGCAAACAGGATCCCCAGGACAATGCCCACCATGTAGTGGTTACTGACCCTCACCACTGAGCCCACATTATGCACCTGTCCATTAATGGAGATCTGCAGGAGATGAGCACATACTGTACACATCAGCTTTTATATCCAATCTTTTCCTTTCAAATGGTGAATGTGACCACTACATACTGTCTTTATCCAAATATAAAACATTTCAAATGCTCCGTGAGCCACTATGAGAGAGGGGAGTTATCCTCTGGCTTGTCCGTATGTAAAAGCTGGTCTAAAACTGTGTGGTGCCAAAGACTTTGTGAGTCCAAAGACCGGCCACGGAACATAAGTTCACAGTGTCATTCACCCAACTTCAGCTCCACCAGTAAGAACATGCTATACCTCGTTGTAAAGCTCAGAACTTCTTGAGTCCAAGCATCGGCTTTGTTTGACTATTCTACATTAATTTGTAATTGTAGCACACAGTTCTGTAATTGGTGCTAATGCAGCTAGTAAGAAAGTAAGTCTGTCATCCAGAAAACTTCTGTTCTGTCATATGTGAATCAATGTCTACTTGATGTTGAATATAAGAACAGAATAAACTCTTCTTTCATAAAAGTGCTAAATGTGGGAGCCCCAGTTTTTGTGTTCGATAATTAAACCCTTTCTGTGTTCTATAAATCCCCTGACAGTTCTGGTCTTAACTTGCCCACTCACCTTAACAGGCAGCCCTTCACTGGGAATAGTCATATTTTTAGGAATCCTGCAGGTGATCTCATTGTCCAAGACTTTAGCGTCACAGTCCACCCCTGCTACGGTCATAATGATGGTCATACAAGAGCTCACCAGGTTCAGTTTCTGATGCTGGAGAAACGCAGGATTAGGTTATTACAGAAATATACAGTCTACAATCCGCCCAATGGAAGTCCTTACATGTAGTGAGACCTCATCAAACCCCGGGTACAGACTGAGCACGTGTCCGTCTGTTTCAAAGGGGATGGGCTCTCCGTAAGGGTGGTAGGAGAATTCCCGGTTCCACAGTTGCAGAGCTCCGTCCATGTCAAAAGACAGCTCTCCTTCTTCGGTCTCATCGCGGGGAAACACAGGGGTGACACACTCCAGCCGGTTTGCAGAGGATTTTCCGGTGCACTCCTGGAACACAATGAAAACATTAATTCATTTTGCTTGACTAATCAATAACAGGTGACAGTTTGTTTACAATGATGTACTGATAGATTTACTCTTGTGACTGGTTTGAGGTGGCTCTCATTGGGCTTGAAGCGGACAGTTGTACGGTACACAGAATCGAGGTTTTCTCCTTCGATAACAATCTTAGAACCCCTGTGGACAGGAAACAGCAAAATACAGCATTGCAACAAAACATCAAATGTACAACTATGGACTTACATGAAATGGATTTATATAACATCTCATTATCACAATAAGTGCAATAGAGATATTGGCAAGATGTACAATAATTGAATGTATAAATCAGACCGTTTATTGGCTGCAAATATTGTCAGCACCAATATTGTATCAGCTATGAATATTTTTGCAAATTTGTGTCTCTTTTTCCCTAATCATATTCTGGCAAGCCCACACAACAGTCCTACTCACTATATATGTGCCTAAACAAAGGTTGTTACTAATTTGGTCAGAATTAACCTTCATTAGTATAAAACCAAGGTTAATTCAGATGCAGGTCAGCATCTGTTGCCGTGGAGATCTCTGTAATTCTGCTGTTATATCACTGTATATTTGTTTTATTGGATCAATATGTGATTCACGCATTTAAACAAAGTGTTGGAGTTTCTAGTATAGAAAATATTGACACCAATGTTTACGCTTTTACGGCAAATAAATGTCGGCTCTATAAAAGTGAAACTCAGAAGATTAGAGCATTGTTCAAAAGCCCATTTACTTCTGTAATTCAATACAATGTGAAACTAATAATAAGACCGTATCATTACACGCAAAGTAAGATGTCACAAGCCTTTATTTGTCATAACGTTGATAACTTTACCTGAGGCTACTTGTTGGAATGCTCTCTCCCCCTTTTCCTACTTTTCTTGCTTATCTATTGTTATTCTTCTACCATTGTTGTGTTTATTTAAGGATAGAATTATGCAATATCTAAAATTCACTCTCATTCCTACTGTGGTGTAACCTGTGTTGAAAAGTCAGAGTGATGAACACATGTCCCCACTGTGGGATGAATAAAGGATCTCTTCATGTGAATCTTACTTGGCTCACAGATTGGAAAACCCCCAAATAACACATCGAATAAATCTGAATACTTTGAAAATGGACAGTAAGCCACAATCATCAAAGTTATAACAAACAAAGGATTGACATGTGTCACTTTGCATGTAATGAATCTATATTTCAAGTTGATCACAGAGACAAAAAATTGTTTCAACAATATTATAATTTTCTGAGCTCCACTTGTATATCATCCTCCTTGACTTTTGATTATTGGTATCAGCCCTGGAAAAAACCTGTATGAATCATTTGTTTTGCCCGCTTTGCCATTTGCAGCATGAGCGCTCAAACTCTTTTGATAGAGTCACAGGAGAAACAAAACACAACATGGAGATGAGCAAAAATGACATCGCAATAAATCTCATCATCGCAGTCCAGGACACCACTATCACTTATTTTCCATTTCGGTCATCTGTAATTTCTATGATTCCCGCCGCCCACCTGTCGAAGCTGCAGTCGGGCAGGACGGAGGTGATCCTGGGGTTTTCTTTGTAGTAGAAAACTTTGTTGGTGAGGACTGGAGACTTGTCAATGAAAACACTCAGTGGGACGTCCCGCACTTCTGACATGGGCTGAGAGAGGCAGATGATGGAGGACATGTTGCCCCTGAGTATTGTAACCCTGGAAACACATCATGTCAATCCTTACATGAGGGAAATTAGGAAAACAACTGCTTGAATTAGATTAAATGTATCTTAATGCTGTCCAATGTTGACCCTACTTTCTAACTCTATAAGTGAACACTTTAATTCATTACTATATTATACAATTTTTATTGATGTATTTGTTTTGCAGTCTCACGGGTCAGTGTATGTTGGAGAATCTCACTGTCATATTTGTCAAGAAAAACATGAACTCTCCAGACCCCTGCCTGACACAGTATCGGTGTAGACTGTGAGTTTAGGTAGTCACTCTGCATAACATCAAAGCCATAATGGTCCACACGCCAAAGGGTAAGTTACTCAGTTATAGCGATGGACCGTTAATAGAATTAAATCAAAAATTTAATTCTATGAATCAAATTGTTGATTTATAGAATTACAGCCTTTAAATTCTATGAATCAATATTTTGGCCCAAAAAATTAAGCCTGAGGAAAGACATGTTTGTAAAGTGCGACCCCCACCAGCATAATCACTTCCTCAACAACATCCTCCTCAGACCACCGCAAAGCCAGAAAAGAATGCACCAACATCATCCTGCATTTAGGCAGAAAAAAATGAAACATAAACTACGGCTTCACTTTTGTTTTGTTTGGATGAACGAAGGATTAGAATTGCTCCTCCGTGAAACGCTCGAAGCACACATAGCTTTAGAAGATCCGCCGCCATTGTCGGTTACTGCACATGTCCAAATGTCGTGCGGGGAACCGACACGTACATTCATTGCAGGAAGAGAATTCACACCTTTCTCTTCACACGGATGTGAAACAGCCCCCACTGACAGCTTATCTGTTCTGTTCCACTCTGGAGGCAGTTTCTCAACGTTACGTTTTCACCTGAAACACCGTCTTTGTGTGAACAAAAGGCCAATTCAATACACAACTCTAAAGTTTTTCTGTCGCAGCGTCCTCTAAGTTAAATGAATCAATGCATTAATCAGTCATTCATGAAGAAATACCTTTCTATTGGACAGTGCACATCATTGAGAGTGACCCTTCTTGTTTTTCCAGCATCCAGGTGCGGCCCAGTGATGGTGACCAGCGTCCCACCCACCAGAGGCCCATAGTTAGGCTGGATTTCACTGATGTTTGGAATCTGCAGGTTTCATAAGCACATCTCAGCATTCACTCTTTATATAATATGTTACATATTAAACAGAAATATCACCACAAAAATGAATCCTGGGATCTCCGCTTTCCCATCTATCGAATAGCGACCCTCCACTTTGCCTTCATGCACCTCGATGGTGATGTTGACGGGTCTCGAAAACTCTGTGGCTCCAGAGCGGATCTTACACACCAGGCTAGAGAGGAGCAGTGTACTTAAACTGACCTGATACGTACATAAGTCTTTAGTCAAAAATGTATTTTCCTAGATGTAGAGCTACTTTAAACGGAAGAATTAGAAACATGTTCAAACTTGATTAAATTTAAAACACAAACATTTAAAGACAGAACACTGAAGAAGTATTTGGAGGAGAGAGAATGATGAGAGAGAGGTGTAGGGTCAGAGAGTGTTAAGCCCCATGTCTGTGTCTGGTGTATAGACAGTATATACAGCATGGAGAGAGCATGGTCTATTCTCCCCAAACCAAATTATGGATTTCCAGTTGTGAAGCTGGCCATGAAGTGGCCTCTTCAGCAGCAGGAAAAAGGGATAAAAACATGCTTTCAGATCCCCCTGCAAGATGCACCAAGCAGCACAAATTGCGCAGTGATGACACATTTTCCATTTCTTCCGCTTTATCCGTTGCCGGGTCGCGGGGGCAGCAGTCTAAGCAGAGACGCCCAGACTTCCCTATCCACACACACCTCCTCCAGCTCGTCTGGGGGGACCCCAAGGCGTTCCCAGGCCAGCTGAGAGACATAGTCTCTCCAGCGTGTCCTGGGTCTTCCCCGGGGCCTCCTCCCGGTGGGACGTGCCCGGAACACCTCCCCAGGAAGGCGTCCAGGAGGCATCCTGAACAGATGCCCGAGCCATCTCAACTGGTTCCTCTCGACGTGGAGAAGCAGCGGCTCTACTCCGAGCTCCTCCCGTGTGACTGAGCTCCTCACCCTATCTCTAAGGGAGCGCCCAGCCACTCTGCGGAGGAAGCTCATTTGGACCGCTTGTATCCGCGATCTCGTTCTTTCGGTCATTACCCACAGCTCATGACCATAGGTGAGGGAGGGAACGAAGATTGACCGGTAAATCGAGAGCTTCGCCTTTCGGCTCAGCTCCCTCTTTACCACAACGGTCCGATACAGAGACCGCATCACTGCGCACGCTGCACCGATCCGCCTGTCAATCTCACGCTCCATTCTTCCCTCACTCGTGAACAAGACCCCGAGATACTTGAACTCCTCCACTTGAGGAAGGACCTCTCCACCCACCCGGAGCGGGCAAGGCACCTTTTTCCGGTCGAGCACCATGGCCTCAGATTTGGAGGTGCTGATTCTCATCCCAGCCGCTTCACACTCGGCTGCAAACCGTCTCAGTGCATGTTGTAGGTCCTGGTTCGTTGGAGCCAGCAGGACGACATCATCCGCAAAAAGTAGAGATGAAATCCTGTGGTTCCCAAACCGGACCCCCTCCGGCCCCTGGCTGCGCCTAGAAATTCTGTCCATAAATACAGTGAACAGAACCGGTGACAAAGGGCAGCCTTGGCGGAGGCCAACATGCACCGGGAACAGGTCTGACTTACTGCCGGCAATGCGAACACAGCTCTGACTCCGGTCATACAGGGACCGGACGGCCCTCAGCAGAGGACCCCGGACCCCGTACTCCCGGAGGACCCCCCAAAGGACACCCCGGGGAACACGGTCAAACGCCTTCTCCAAATCCACAAAGCACATGTGGACAGGTTGGGCGAACTCCCATGAACCCTCGAGTATCCGATGGAGAGTATAGAACTGGTCCAGTGTTCCGCGACCGGGACGAAAACCACACTGCTCCTCCTGAATCCGAGATTCGACCATCGGACGTAGCCTCCTCTCCAGTACCTTGGAGTAGACCTTACCGGGAAGGCTGAGGAGTGTGATCCCACGATAATTGGAACACACCCTCCGGTCCCCCTTCTTGTAGAGAGGGACCACCACCCCGGTCTGCCACTCCATTGGCACCGCCCCCGATCGCCATGCGATGCTGCAGAGACGTGTCAGCCAAGACAGTCCTACAACATCCAGAGACTTTAGATAGTCAGGACGGATCTCATCCACTCCCGGCGCCTTGCCACCATGGAGGCTGCCAACCACCTTAGTGACCTCGGCCAGGGAGATGGAAGTGTCCGCCCCAACATCCTCAGCCTCTGCCTCCTGGACGGAGGACGTGACGGGGGGATTGAGGAGAACCTCGAAGTATTCCTTCCACCGCCCGACAATATCCCCAGTCGAGGTCAGCAGCCCTCCACCCGCACCATACACGGCGTTGGCAAAGAACTGCTTCCCCCTCCTGAGGCGCCGGACGGTTTGCCAGAACCTCTTCGAGGCCAACCGATAGTCATGCTCCATGGACTCTCCGAACTCCTCCCAGTCCCGGGTTTTTGCCTCTGCAACAGCCCGGGCCGCGGCACGTTTGGCCTGCCGGTACTGGACAGCTGCCTCAGGAGTCCCACGAACCATCATTGCTCGATAGGACTCCTTCTTCAGCCTGACGGCATCCCTTACTGCCGGTGTCCACCACCGGGTTCGGGGATTGCCGCCGGGACCAGCACCAGAGACCTTGCGACCACAGCTACGAGCCGCCGCATTGGCGATAGAGGAAGAGAACATGGTCCACTCGGACTCGATGTCCCCCTCCTCTGCCGGAACCTGGGAGAAGCTCTCCCGGAGGTGTGAGTTGAAAGTCCGTCTGACAGGGGGCTCAGCAAGACGTTCCCAGCAAACCCTCACTACACGCTTGGGCCTGCCAGGTCTGACCGGCCTCCTGCCCTGCCAGCGGATCCAACTCACGACCAGGTGATGATCGGTTGACAGCTCCGCCCCTCTCTTCACCCGAGTGTCCGAGACACGCGGTCGAAGGTCAGATGATACGACAACAAAGGTGATCATCGACCTCCGGCCTAGGGTGTCCTGGTGCCACGTGCACTGATGGACACCCTTGTGCTCAAACATGGTGTTCGTGATGAACAGGCCGTGACTGGCACAGAAGTCCAACAACTGAACACCGCTCGGGTTCAGATCAGGGGGGCCGTTCTTCCCGATCACCCCTCTCCAAGTGTCACTGGCATTTCCCACATGGGCGTTGAAGTCCCCCAGGAGAATAACGGAGTCCCCGGGCGGTGCACTGTCCAGTACCCCTCCCAAGGACTCCAAGAAGGCCGGGTACTCTGCACTACCGTTAGGCCCGTAGGCCGTCACAACAGTGAGAGACTTGTCTCCCACCCGGAGGCGGAGGGACGCGACCCTCTCATTCACCGGGGAGAACTCCAACACGTGGCAGCTGAGATAGGGGGCAATGAGTATGGCCACCCCAGCTCGCCGCCTCTCCCCGCGGGAAACACCAGAAAAGTGGAGTGTCCAACCCCTCTCAAGGAGTTGGGTTCCAGAGCCCAAGCTGTGTGTGGAGGTGAGGCCGACTATCTCTAGTCGGTATCGCTCAACCTCCCCCACAAGCTCGGGCTCCTTCCCCCCCAGTGAGGTGACGTTCCACGTCCCAAGAGCCAGATGTTGGGTGTGTGGACTGGGTCGTCGAGGTCTCCGCCTTTGACTGCTACCCAGTCCTCCCTGCACCACGCCACCACGGACCCCTCTGCAGGTGGTGGGCCCACAGGAGGGACTGCCCACGTCATCCCTTCGGGCTGAGCCCGGCCGGGCCCCGTGGGCTAAGGCCCAGCCACCAGGCGCTCGCTTGCGAGCCCCGACCCCAGGCCTGGCTCCAGGGTGGGGCCCCGGCTGCGCCATGCCGGGCGACGTCACGGTTTTTGTTGTCGTGCTGTCCATGGTTGGCTTCGGACTGCGCTTCGTCTGACTCGTCACTTGAGACCTGTCTGCCATGGGAGACCCTACCAGGGGCATGAAGCCCCAGACAGCATAGCTCCCAGGATCATCCGAGTGCTCAAACTCCCCCACCACATTAAAGTGGCAGTCCAAGGGGAAGCATTTTTTGACACATTTTAGACAGTAAATATTAGGTGACACGCGTCATGTGACCATCTGACCATGTCGGATCCAAATGGCGGCCTCAGCACTGGCTCCCAAGCCGTGTCTTGACTCATGGAAAGGCGCCATAGGGTTTCATAGTATGTTTCCCCTTCCGCAGTAAGAACTACTGCCGTGGAGTTGACTCCAACCATGGCAGCCCACTTCTACATAGCGTGACAGGTACAGGCTATCGCTCCCACTGGTTTTGTGTTGTATTGAAAGAGTGACAGGGAATTTACACAGTAGGCGTTAGCAGCGCGTACGCGTTGACAGCGCGAATCTGCGCGCAACGTTATTTGGCTGTATGTACACTGGCTGTGCGCGCAGGTCCGCGGCTCTGATGCTCTCCCTGTGTGGTCTATGGAGCAGTGTAGAGGACAGTACGAGCCAGAGGACTGATGTAGAGCAACAGAAATCACATGCATGTGTTTGTCTTCATGGTCTCTGTGCGCTGGCCAGACGCAAGACTTTATGAAAGAAAAAAAAAACCAGAATCACTGTGAAACCTGCTGCTCCTCCTGCTGCTCCTCCTGCTAATGTTTAGATACAAGTGCTGTGTGTGTAGATGCAATCTAAAGCCAAGGGCCGCTAGAAAAATCATGTTTCACACGAGACGCGTTGCTGCGCGCACAAAATTAGAAATCCATCCTAAAATAGGCGCAGCCTCGCGTCATATCCGCGTATAACACTAGTAGTGTAAATATCACCATTGGTTGTCATGGAAAAATGTTACGCGCCTCTGTTGCGCGTATAACGCGTACGTGCTGTAACGCCTCCTGTGTAAATTAGCTGTGAGAGTGAATAGAGCCAAATAAGCGTCTGCTTCATCCACAGTTTCTATGTTGAATGCATTCACAAGTTTGAAATGAATTATTTAATTGAATTTATTGACATATATTTCATACAGACTCACTGCGTGTTGTTGCTTTTGAGTGGCATTACGTTGCAAGGGTTGTGTCCCAGCCGTACATGGTGCGTCCTGGAGCTGATCGCTGGTTTCAGAGGTGACTGGAACTCCCAACCACAAACTGTTACCTCAGTCTGTCCATCAGGGGGCGCAGTCCGGGGAAAGAACTACAACAGGGATCAAGAGTACACTTTCAACACCAGAAGAATGCGAAAGGTCGACTCAAATATTCTCACCCCAGAAATCCCAGGAGGACAAGACTCATTCCTCCAGCGACTGTGGCACTCACTTTCCCATGAGCAGACCCCAGAGCACCAACCACATCCCATGAACTTAGGAGCGGTCAGGCACATGGCACAAGTGAGGAAGTGCAGACAGCCTGGTCCTCTCTGAGGGACCTGGAACATCTAGCACAGTACACACTGGTGAAGCTACAGAAGGGTTTGGATTTGAAGCATTTTGATCTGAAAAATATTCTTTACTCCATTCGACACATTAATTTGTTTCAGTTTTAGTTTTAGGTGAGGCCTCGTTGATGTTGGAAACAATTCTTAGAGCAACTCCTAGGACCAAAGTTAAATGTCTTTATCGAGGTGAAAAGACATTAAACTTCAACAAAAGAATCCTTGTAACTGGCATTAGAGCTGCGACTCGCACCTTGTCTCCGACCACGAACAACAGATATTCCGCAGAGTACACAGCAGCGATGGAAGACACTCTCTGGTTCTCCACCAAAGAATAGTTTGCAAATATAATGGGGCTGGATCGGGTCAGAACGAGCTGTCAACGAAAGACACACAAGATGACCACAAGCAGCATGGGTATGTCATGTTGTGGAGGCTCCACCCACCTGCAGCAGCCGGCCAGTGGAAGTGCCGATGTGGGCCACAGTCTTGTTCTCGATGGTGGTGACCAGTAGTGACGTGAGCAGGACGTCGGTCATCTGCCTGTTGAACAGGTCCACTCTGTAGTACGGCTTGGACACCATAGTGGGATAGTCTCTGCATGTGGCATTGTTCTCCATGCTCTGTGGTCAGACACAGGGAAAAGACCAGTGTCTCTACTGAAGCCTTTTGGACAACCTTCACAAAGCTCAACATATGTATACTCTATCACAGTACCATTATACTTAAAATACTTGTGTGGTTCATAATAGAATTTCACCACAGAATACAGGAGCTTTTATTTTGTCATTGTTACTGCAGTAACTAAGAACCAGAAACACCTGACAAATAAGATAAGGGAGATATAATGTGATCATCCCCTCATTAAAGTGACAGTGTCACGGCCAGAACAGAGAGTGCAGGTAAGAGGCCAGGTCTTTACCATACGAAGAGGATCTCATCTAGAGTCATATTTTACAACTATTTTTACCACTTACATACAGTTTTGGAATTATGCATTTTGTCTGATAGCTGGTTGCCCAAACTGAATATTGGCATCTGTTATTAATTCATGACTTAAAAAATGATCTCGGGGTCTATGTATTATTTATCTATGATAGAATCCTCGTGGTGAGACACAGGCAGCCTTGAATTGAATAACTTATGAGAGGAGCGTGCACTCTTCATCTCTGTGAAAACATGTGTCTTTGGACAATCCCACTGGCAGCTTACTCAACATTTGTGCCAGCAGCAGTGTGAGAGGAGCCCAGGAAAATGTCCATGAAATTCACACAAAACTAAAATCTTTTAAAATAATGGTGGATATTTAGTGGATATAGGTTTAAAATCCATTTTGTGAGGACACAAGGTTGGGTGGCCTTTTCATGCTATCAGGTCCTAATGTATTAAGCCACAACTAGATTTCTGTTATAATACACATATTAACAAGAGTAAAGAACGATCAAAGAGGAACAGATGAACCTAAATCATGAATATGGTGTTCTTGCAGAAGGCAAGTCATAACAGACCTGCTCGTTTGAGGTAAGTATCTATATTCTTTGGCAGTAGAACTGCTCCTGGTGCTGCTTCCGTCTATTTTGTGATCAATAAAACAAGTAAGACAGAGATTATATTAAAGACAATTAGGAATTGTTATTTTTGTTTAATTGACATGTTTGTAATAATTAGTTACGTTAATATGGCCCAACAGAATAGATCTCTGGTTGCTGAGTGTAATATTCCTCACATTCTATAATCACAGCTCACCTCATGTGGACAGCTCTCACAGGGCTGGAAGTGGCACAGGCCCCTGGACAGCTGCTCGGGGCCAGACTCGCAGCAGTCGTCCACGCCGTCACTAATGGCCTTGTTGACGTTGTCCATGGGGAAGGCGCATAGGGCCGAGTCGTGCTCAGTCTCCCCGTTGTCATCAGTAACAGCAAACACTCCGTACAGTATGTCGTCCTGCTCCTCGGCCCCCAGCTCCTCGGCCAGCTCACGGCCCGCACGCCCAAAGTGTGCGGCCTGCACCACGTTGTACACCACATCTTTGTACGGCTCACTGGCCACGTTTCTGCGCCGGCGCTTGGGCTCAAAGCGACACTCCAGAATGATCTCTCTGTATCTCTTCATCTCCCACTCATTTCGAGGAAGTCGGCCCAAACGGGTTTGAAAAGGAGAGGAGTCCTGTTTTGGGCTCTCTCTCTGCACAGATAAGAAGTAGACAAACTCCTGAGTGAAGAAGCTGTAGACGTACTCAATGTGGTACGTCCTCCGCAGAGCCGGCAGCACAGTCAGGCTGCGGACATCACTGTAGAAGCCATCTTCTGTAGCCAGAGGTCGGCGCACCGAGATGGACTTCCTCCCATAACGCTGGGTCACACTGTCATTGACTGAAGCAGCAACAAAGAAGTACACTGTCTGACCCTCCTCCACCATGGTCACTTTGGTGCCCAGAGGACTGGCCACACAGTCGGGGCAGTACGCAGCAGAGTTGGACTCTTTCCCAAAAAGACACTTTGAAAGAGAAGGGGCTTCTCCATTTGAGTTCAGTTGGTGGAAGTAACAAACTCCATACTGAGAGCTTCCACAGGAATATAAATACATAAACAGAGTGTCTAGAAGTAGAACCTGATTGTTCGTATCCTCCAGAAAGTGAGGATCCTTGTCTATGTCACACAGAGTGCAAATCTGACAATTGGAGCTACCCACTGGCCCGGTGTGAAGCTGCCACACCTTCTCCAGGCTCCTGTTCACCGCCTCGATCACATTTTGAGAGGCCACATATACCTCCTGGTACAGAGAGTTGTTCACGATGTTCTGGATGTGGCCCTTGGCCTGGAAGAAGGGCATTGTGTACACTACTGAGAAGTTATGAGGCCTGGGGACCAGAGAGGGACAACTGGCCAAAGCATAAGCCAACAGAGTCTGGATCCAGACACAAGTCCCACACTGAGTGGTCCAGTGCATCATGTCCTCAGCAGAGGGGACGCCTACCTCCAGCCCTGCCGCCTGGAGAGGGACATGGTCAGCACCGCAGCCTGCAGACAGAGGACACAGTAAGTTACACTCACTTTAGTCACTACTTATCATGGTCCTAACAACCAAACATCCATCCATTCATCCATTATTATCTTCCGCTTTAAATGTTGCTAGGTTTCAGAGGCAGCAGTCTAACACACTTCCCCCAGCTCATACGGGGAATCCCAAGGCGTTCCCAAGCCAGTTAAGCCTGGAAATTCTGTCCACAAAGACAGTGAACAGAACCGGCGACTACAGGCAGTCTTGGCGGAGGACAACATGCCCCGAAGCAAGCATTAGTAAATATGGTTTAACTTTTTGAATTGTAGACAGCTGTTATCTTCCAGTTCTGTGTGTTTCCTCTGTTCTAATAATATGTTCAAACAGGTGATTCCGTTTATTCAAGTGCCCAGATGTAACCATGTTTGAAAGGCTGAAAAAAGCCATAATCGTGTGATCATTAACCAGGCACTTTGGAGCAGGCTGTATTCAAGAAGAAGACTGTTTATTTTAAAATTCCTGTCACAACCATACGTGCTTTTTTCAAGGAAAGATGTGCACGGCCTGATGGTCAGAAGGCCCCTTGTGATGCGTGAAAGTTTAACTGTCCGGCCCTGTGGTGGGGAGTTCCATCACATGTACAGTCCACATCACAACAATGAAACACATACGTTTAATGTCACTACACACACTCACATTCTACATGTGTCCAATTTAATTATTTATACAAGGCTGTTATATTTTAACACTCATGAACCAAGGTTAAGGTTAGTGAACATGAGTGTACATAGAAATGACACTTTATCTCAGTTTGCATTCAAATTGAAGCTCTTTCCAGCTTTTTTCCACCATCTATATTTAAAAGGAGGGTCTTGGTCTGTTAGGTATACGGCTCCTTAACAAGAGGAATTGAATGAAAAACTTTTCAGTGCTGCTTCATTAGTCAGAGCATATTTCCACTGGGAGTTGCATGTCAGGCCACACGTGAAAATCAATACTATTGGTGCTGTCCCCAACGGATGTATTGATCTGGAACCACATCCCCATTGCATATTGAGTACACACAAGATGCAATTGGGCTTACAATTAACCAGGAGCATTCTTACATATGCCTGTGATGTAGAAGAGGGATGTGATCTCACCAATGCTGTTGTTTCCTTCCAAATGCTGTGTAAAAACATTGAAAAAATCTTGAACATAACGTGTTTTAATGGATACAACTGTAATGTACATGACGTTATTCTCATTTCTACACTTTAGACTTACATGCTTTTCAAAATGACTCGTGTAGAAAACTAAAGCGCAATTACTGCAACACATGGACGACAGTGAACGCACTTACCTGAGGGTGTCTCCAGCAGTCACACGCACGTCATCGGTGCTCAGCAGAAACACAAACACAGACCGCGGAGTAAAGACTGGAAAAGTCTCTGTGAATCTCAGAGGAGGAACATCTCAGCCCCGTGTGTGAGAGCTGCTCCAGGGGCTGCTCCTCCCTCCGCTGTGGGTAAACACTGCGCGCACTCACAACGCACGCACACACACATGCACGCAGTCTATATGACATACAAACCTATAACAGATCTGTATTACAAATATACTAACAAAAACTTTGACGCAAGGCAGAAGTTATGAAATGTTGTCTAGTGTGTGTTGTAATGTCTTAAAGCTGGGGTACCTAACTTTATGTGTATAGCAGTTCATCCACAAGGGAATTCAAAGTGCTGTGGATTACATGTTATTTATCCCAGCAGAAATGGTCCTGTAAAAGTAAAACGTTTCGAACAAAACAGATCACAACGTGCTTCTTCATGTTATGAGAAAACTTGTCTTTGTGACTCACTATTTGACGCTCATGGCTGAAAGCTGAGTGAAAACATTTGAACATTTGGTTGAAAAGATATAACAAAAAGTTGCGGCATTTCCATGAAAAATATATTTCTTATTCGTTTTTTTTTGTAAAATGCCTGATTCTGCAGGTCTGGGAAAAGCCATGCTTCTGTGTGCGCTTCATTCATCATGAACTGTATATTTAGTTTGGTGCAGGCCATGGATCATTGTGCCATGTCGGAAAGTAAAGAACATCTGAATCTCAGTTTAAGAGCTTTAATTCATCTAACTACTTCGTGTTTTGTTTTAACTTCACAATTCTGATTATGTGCATTTACTGACATAAACTGTTCATAGATTTCTTGCACATAAATCATGTTTTGACTTCCACCTAAAGTCACACTATTGTAAAGTAAGAACATTTAAATGAAAGTTGGGTTATGCATATAATGACAAAAACAAAACACACAATGGTTTGAATCTAAATGAGGAAGAATCGAAAACAGGATAAATAATCAATCTATATACAGTATATATTTATTTCTTATCAACATGAACCAAGATACAAAACAGCATAATCAGGTTTTGAACATTTTAGGATACACAATTTCTTTATTGTTTAGTCAACACAGCAGCAGCAGCAGCTCTGCTGGTCTGTCTGGATGTCCTCATGTTCAGTGCATTATCATTCATTGACAAATCTATCATAAAATCAGTTATTGGAACATCTCATTAGTAAAACCCAGGATAAGGCACTGGTCTAAAAAGCCTGCAATTTGAAACAAAAAACGTGTTTGAACAAAACCATGATGCCATTACACTGAATGAAAATAAGACACCATAAAAAGTGCCACTAGAGTTGACCATGGATTCTAACGTTCTAGCTTTGCATGTCTACACCCTTAAACATCTTTTTCGTAGCCCAGGGGTCAAACTCATTCTGGTCCGGGGCCACAACTGTATTTAGGCTTTACTGTTATACCAGGGTCTCCATCATTTTGTTTGTGGAAGTAGCTCATCTTTTTTTAATCTTTTACATAAATGTTTCTATGTTTGACCAAATTTCTTAGACTTTTATTGAACTTGACATTTTAAATCTTCTGAAAAAAGAGACCATACTTGAAGCAAACTAGAGCTGTACGAAAACTAATGAAGGCTTACAATAACAGACCATTCATTATTAATTGTGTTCATGGGTCAAGGTTTAAAATACAATACATTATGTGTTTTAAGAATAGCTTTGAAATGATGTATAACTTTCCGCAGTAGTCCATATTAACCTCTTACCATCAGTGTTGGCAAGTTTTTAAGATGGTTTCAAGTACCACCTGTAATACTTTTGTGCACCCCAATGCGTCTGCGATCCCCCGATTGTGAAACATTGCTTTACACTATGACACTGATAATACTAATTGTTTGTAGAGAACATAAATCCTTACTTAAAAAGTCAGTAGTAGAGTCAAAACGAGTCTCAATTACGAGAAGTGAAGTAAAATATTGCATTTGTATTTGAGACTCCCAGTTCTTAGCACCAGCAGCATCACAAAAAAACAAAAACAAATGTACAGAGTTGAGTTGGGTTTGGTTTGGTTTGGTTTAGTTTAGTTTAGTATGTAAGCGGACTCAGGATGAACAAGCGGTCCTCCTCTTTGCGGATCCACTTTAGCAGTTTGTTGACAGCAGAAACAGCCACTGCCTTCGTCGCCAGTGGAGTGAAGCAAATATAAAGTTCAAAGCCACTCGTCACCTGAAAAACACAGTCATTACTCCAAATGGGTTTGATAGATTCAATTCGATGAACAACACATTACAACATAAGCCAATAACTGACACATTATTAACAATTATAATGTGACAATTATTAACTTAAGTACAGACTCTAAATCAGGGGTATCCAGTAGCTCGCCACCCCCTTTTAGGTAGCCCCCCCACACATGATTTCCCGACTGAATTATTCACTTTTGAGTCACTGCATTTCTCTTTTAACTATAAATATTTTCTTGAGGGATACTGTGGGGTATAAAGGTATGCTATGTATGTGTTCTCCATGATTGGCTGTAGTTATTATATGGACTGCAAATGTATTACGACTGCTAAAAGGAGTAGCTTTCTGCCATTTCTGTCTTTATAAAAAATTAGCTCTCCGATCAAAAAAGGTTGGAGACCCTTGCGCTAGATATTCATTTGTGCAAATGGAGAGTCAAAATACATTATATAATACCTACATATTTTGAACATATGAGTAGAATGATTATTTTAATGGGAAAAATATGGATAAACGATAACCTGTAGAATGGATAAATGACGTTCTGCATTTGAAACACCCCCATCTAGTGGTATAAGTGGGGGAACTACATTGCACTTATGACAAAATGCATTTAACCCATATATCCACATGACACAATACTTCTCAAAGCATTCTCCCTGAAGCTGTTTATCCTTAACCAGACAGGAATGATTTCTCCTCAGTTTTGGTCTGTTATAATTCATATATTTTTTTCTAGGTGATTCTGATCGTGTGAAGCAAAACATCCTGACCAGGCCCACATTACTGTCAGATCAACAATATGCATCTGTTTAAAGCGTACCCAGGCCAAGAGGTTCTCTGTTTCCCTGCAGCAGTAGCAGGAGCGCAGTGGTCTGGTGGGATGGTGCAGCCGACTGTGGAGGTCCTGGTACAAGGCCATGACTCGCTCTTGCTGGTCTTCAGATCGATATAAGAGCGGCAACTCCGGACTAAAATAAACACATGGTTTTCATTGCACAATATCATCAAGGGCCCACCACAGACTTCAATCAGAGAAGGAAGCATGAAATGTACAGCTGTGCTTGAAAGTTTACACACCCAGTCAGAGATGTCATATACTTAAATACTAAAAATAAAATCATTTTCTCTTCATGAGTGATGTGAATTTTTTGTTGTTGTTGATCAAAATATAGTAAAAAATTAGACAGTAAACGGGTAGGGGCTAATTCTACTACCCTAGTCAGCAATGAGGAAATTTTAATTTCATTGTGCGTCTATATCAAAAGAAGAGGAGAAGCAAAATACATGAATAATATTCAGTATATTATTTGTTGTTTTGTTTATAGCTCTTTGAATTTGAGGCTATTTTTGTGATTACCTTTATTGGGTTTGATTATCTTTTTTTCTGTTTTATTTCTGGAAAAAATATATATATATATTATATTTGGATTGAAATATAACTGGACCATTTCAACTGATATAATTAAACAAAAAATATATTAAATAAATATTCTAACTAGTAATTATGCTTTGGGATTGCTGTTTGGAGAAAGAATAGGCAAGTAACTTTAAAGACCTGCTGTTGAAGCATATTGACTGGATGGGAGGAAGTTAGGGCCGATATCCAATAAGTAAAAACATATAAAATTGGTCTTATGGATCGGTCGAGCAAGAATTGTACCCACTGCTGGTGATGACGTATGAGGGCCTTATCTAATCAGGTTTATGCAACTGGAGGCCTTTTTTCAAGAAGAATGACAAAAGAAATGGCTTTACCATCAGAGAAGATAAAGTTGTGGGTGACTGGGTGGGCAGTCACCCACAACTGCCACAACAGACTCCACGCTGTTATAGATGATATTGAGAACTGGGGGATGGAAACTTCTAATCAGTGTCAGAAGGAGAGTTTTTGTTGTGATTATCCTTTTAAAATTCGACAATAAATAACTTCACACTACTACTGACAATGATTGAAAAAACATATTTCCCTTATCATTCATTTTTTCCAAAATATGCCCAAAAAATAAAAATTTCTGCCTGGGTGTGTAAACTTTCAAGCACCACTGTATATTATTTTATATTTCAAACAACAACAGTGAAATTGTACCTGGTATAAAGCCCTGAACTTTTGGACTTATACAGGAAGTGTCGCAGCTCTGGGATCCCCACCTGCTCCACGGAGTAAGCAGGACTTCTGAGCGCCTCTTTCATCGCCTGATACGCGCTGCGCTTGCTCAGCCTTTCCAGAAAACGCTTCTTGCAGTCTGACAGGTTGAAGAAGTCCTCCCTGTCCGTCGAGACCAAGATCAGGCAGAGCTGCGACCCTGGTTCAAGATACGAAATGTGCGCGTGGAAAAAGCCTGCCGTGTTGAACTTGGGCAAACAAATGGGAGTCCAGCCTTCGCCCTCTCGGAACGACGAAGACGAGCCGACGAGATTGAAAACCAAGTGCAAGTCTATGTGGTGCAAAAACTGATCTTTCTTCCTCACCATAGTGACGAGACGATCTCCGGCCAGCAGAATACTGAAGACCAGGTTTTTGGATTTGGCCGCTTGCAGAGTCGAGGAGACGACATCTCTGGAGGAGCTGGGCAAAGGGAGACAGGTGACCGCGCTGAGGAGCAGGCCAGGGTCACGGTCCAGACGGAGGAGGAGGTTGTCCGTGAGGTACTCGGAACCGGAGAGCAGGCGGCGGAGGTCGTAGTTTTGCTTGTGTTGAAAGATGTGGTTGAGTTGCGTGAGTGTGAGCAGGCTGACGATCTGATAGTAGATGTAGTGCAGTTCACGCAGAAGCTCTTTGTCTGATTGACAGCTGCGAGACACGCCCACCAGGACCAGCGGGCTCTTGGTGAGGAAGACCACCTTACAGCCGTCTGAAGCAAACACATGATCAGTAATGGGTTGTACACATGGAAGTGTTCTATTATAGACAGCTACAGAGCAGATTTGTGTTAACCATATTACTTACAAGATGTTTTTCTCACATACACATTACATGCAGTGAACTTCTTATGTACCTCCAGCAGATGTTCAGATGAGATGACTGCACAAAGCTGCGTTTCCACCAGAGCAAGCGGTACGCCAGATTTACAGCCGGGTCGGTACAAATACTCGCACCAAGCGGAGCGTTGGTCCGGCACGGCAGATGTGTCGTGCGTGTCAGTGCGGTGGTTTCACTGAAGTCATGCAGCTGAATTTTAAATAGGACGGCGGTGGGAACACAGCTTAAGAACGGAATTTTGGATTAAATATGGTATAGTTATTTTTTACAAAATAAGTAGTTGTGCTTGGATTATTTTTATAGTTGATCAGTTGGCCAAATTGATTCTTTCGGTAATCAATCAGTTTTTTTAGAGCCCAAAAGCTCAGTGAATGTGATTGTTTTTTTATACATTTGACCCAAAGAAAGCTCACATGATGCTCCTGGAGAACATCTACATAGAGAGTTGTTTGATTACAAATATTCAGTAAAGACATTTTGATTTCATCGTGCAGTCATTGTAGAATTATAGAGCGTGTTCTCAGCTTGCTTAAATCTATGCCACTCCTTCCATATGATGGATTGAACAGTGAGATATTCAAAGCTTGGGAAATCTTTGTATGTGGTGTTCTCCTCAGACTTTATTTATTTATTTATTTATTATTTATTTGGTTGGGACGGTATAGGTTAATGAACACATCGCTCCGGATTGTAGCCATGGGCTAATTAGCATCCGTTGTCCCACATTTGCACTCACTCACACACTCACTCATTCATTCACCCGGAACTATTGCACATATTTTTAGTGGTAGGGGAAACCGGAAAACCTGGAGGAAACCTACACAGGGAGAACATGCAAACTCCATTCAGAACGGCCCAGTTCCGACCGGGATTCAAACCCAGAACCTTCTTGCTAAGAGGCGAGAGTGCTATCCACTCAGCCACCGTGTTTGCTTTACAGAACAGCTGTATTTATTCTAAGAGTATTTTAAGTGTTAGGGCAAGATGCAAGCATTCAGCAGTAAATAGGACATTTTCAAAGGCTATTTAGAAAATATAGTCTTTTGCTTTCATTTCGCATTTGTCTTTGTTGTGGTCTTTCAAACAAATAAATCCTAAATAAAATCTTTACGTGTGTAGCAAACGTGACAAAAATGTACAAATGACAACAGTACTTTCTTGAGAATTATGTGCAAAAATGATGTGCTAAAATATGTTACTCTGTGCTTCAGAAACATTTGCTTTAAAACTGCTATGAAAAAGGCAAACATTTTTAGAAAGTCCAAATAAAACGCTAATTGTTCTGACCTGTGTGAATGGAGCGGATTATGTTGTTGTCAGCTTCCACAAAAGAGACCAGGGCCATCATGACCCCCATGGTGCTGGACAGGGCCTCCTCTGTCCCGTAGCGAGTGTAGATGGGCTTCCCAGCCTCACTGAGCACAAACACATGTTTGCGGTGGCTCCTCCAGGCCTCGCTGCTCACGTCCTCCTCTTTACTGTGAGTGTCCCGAGGCAGGGCAGTGTTCAGCTGGGAGCCTTCCTCCACGACCAGAGGCTTCAGCTCCTCACAGCTGTCCTCTGCCTGTCGTTGTGCCTCCTGCTCCATCTCGGCTGTCAGGTCCTCAAAGGACTGAGAGTGGAGGAACATGGCACTTTTCTGACCTGCACCTGCAGGAGGAAGGACCTCATCAGTCACATCCACTGGTGTGATCCATTACCAAAAAGATTATCTATTATCCAAGTCAGTTAAGACAAAACACCTTTACATAGATTTGGTCTTCACAAAGTGGACAAACACAAGACATAATATTCAAGTGATCAGGCCTTTAAGGTCACGGCGACTTCAGTCTATTTTGTTTGGATTAGCTAACACTTGGATTGCCGTCTTTTGTTGTGATGCAAATTGTTGAATTGAAATATCTAAAATAACTGGAAACTGAAATACAGGCCCACAAGCATTTCTACTTATGATCCCATCTAAGTCTTTGTCATTTTTCGACAAAGGTTTGCATAGCAGATTATAACCAATACATTCATAAAGAAGAACATGCATGTGTACTACAGTAGAAAAGAGTTGACATATGCATACAGATATGTAATGTTTGTACCTGTTTTAGATAAGTTATTCTTACCAAAACATTTATATTGATTCAAAAACCACATTATTGAGAGTGGTAATTCTTATATTTTACTTTCTACAACTTGTAATTTCAGGTGGTGAGAAAAACAAATCAGTGTCACACAATGTACTTATCTTAATATTTATTGTATCTGACGAGGTTGTGGACGTAGTTAGTGAGGTGTGAAAGAAAGTGTCACTTTCTTGAAATGAAATGTATAGCCTCAAATTGTGTAACATAGTAATAACAATAACTACACTCATGAAATCCAGTATTTGCCAATATCCTTTCATTTTACTCACTTCAACTTTTTCATCTGTGCCACTGGCTAATGTCGGTGTAAAATTGGTACATGTTTAACATTTTAACTGACACACAGACCTGGCTCAGTCCCCTCCACCAGGCCTGGCAGGGGGCTGTCTGCCCTCTCTGAGCGGAGATGCTCCACTGGAGCCAGGGTGCCATTCTCCCAGGACACTGTGGCTCTGTGTCCTCCGTCCATGAGTGCGACTGCGGGGACACACCTTCAGAAGAATCAAAGTTCACACTCAACATAACATTTATTATTACTGTATCTGTACAGTGGAGTTGATACTTTCTTACCAGAACCTGGCAGAGATACTAATGCATGTTTTGTTTGTCACGGATATTTAAGTCAAAACCATCAGGCAATAGTTCCAATGAAGTTACAATGAGTTCAGATTCTGACACAGACGTGACAGTAGTAGGTTAGGCTCAGTGTAGTTTGCAGCCACAGAAGTCAAACCCTCAAACATGATGCTTAAACAGATAGCAGCTGTACACACGTGTTTAGTATACAAATATTACCTCTGGTACCAGTGTGTTCAAGCGATCAATGCGGAAGGAGACACAGGGGAAGTCTTCACGAGAGAACAGTTCGGGTGACTAGTAAATCAATGTATCAACTACGCAAGCAAATTATGCACACGTATTTACACTCAATGTATGTGACTCCGTGACACTAATAGGTCCTCTAAAACAAAATAACACTGCTTACATGCATTATTTATTGAGCTCATGAGAAAGAAAGACAGATAGTCTGCAATAAAATTACTAAAACTGCGATCAGTGAACGCACCACGGAGAGGCGGGGCTACGTTTGAACGTTCCCCGGGTTAGAGACGTGAACACAATACTACAACGCGATGCGGTATATGAGTTGTTTTTGGCACTTTTTGCCTGATAACTTGTGTTAAATCTATACCTGTCACGGATTTAGAGATGATTGTTTGTTTTACATTCACGTCGTCTTCTTTATTGTGTAAGTTCACTGTAAAATGTTACTTGGGAAGATGTAATGTGTTGAAACAGGCTAACAGGCTAGCAATGCTAACTTTATTAACAGGCACTACATGCATCTAACTTAAAGCTGGGGTACCTGCATTTTATTTCTCAGATCACACGTTTTGTCCCCAGGGGAAGGGTCTTACAAATGTACCATTTTGTCAGAATTATTCATGAGTGCAGATTAGCTGAGTGGTCCAGTTTTCTTCACTTTTCTGCTTATATAAGAATAAGGAATTCAAGACGTGACAGGGGCCATGTGAAAACGAGTCATAACACTTGGATAAAACCAAAGTACGTTATAGCAGAGGGCTCACCTCACCTGGTTTCTTATTATTTATTTATGCAGACGTTATGAAATTATGAATGTCCTCAGAAAAAAAAAATGATAGTATGAGATTTAACCTGTATAATATTATCATACTGGAGAGCTACATTGATCAATAATTTGTTAACACTAACGATATCATGTAATGAAATGACTAGGAACCTTAGTTTGGTTTTAAGCGGTCAAAAATAATACATGACAATAGCTACTGTTCCAAAGTGTTGAGGCCAGGGGGGAGAGGCTCCTAGTGCAGTCTCCTTCCAGAGGCGAGCCACTGTAACGGCTCATGATGGGGATGATGACTGTCCGCCATAATCTGCTGTGTCCTCCTCACACAGACCTTCATGCACAGCTCCTCGGGCTGAAGCAGCGTTGTCCTTGTGATATGCTCAGACACAGACTCCACTGTAGAGGTTCTTCTGCACTCTGGCTGGGATGTTACACTGCCTCAGATATTTATAGAAGTCCACTGTGAGTTCCTAGATATTTAAAGTAGTGATGGTGCGTCCCCCCCACTCAGATCCACCATCTCCTTAGTTTTAGAGGTGAGCTTGGTCATCAACATCTCCAACACTAAGGTGATGGTTCACTTCATTAACAGTGAGACGGCTCATCTCATCCAGAGTTCACAGAAGCTCTAGATGAGTTTTATGCTTTCATTTACTCCTAAACTGATAACCAAATTAATTATTGCTGTTAAGCAGTTGTGCGCAGCCGCAGGTGAAGGAGCACAGACTTTGACCAACAGACTATACAGGACCACATTGAACAAGGTCAAATTAATCCATCGCCTTTTTCGGCATTTCACTGAGTATTCTGCACCCTCCTCTATTGTGTTTAGTTGACAAAGTGAATGTGAGAGCCCGACATTGTTTTAATTCATTAAATAATTAAGATTCATGATTTCATCCATTTGCAGTAAAACCACATTTGAAAACTGCAATACTACCCCAGTGTGCACCAGGATAGTACAGGTATAGGACCCTTGCCACGGCGCCATTATTCCGGCACCATGAAGTTTGGTACCCCAGCTTTAATCCAACATTGTGTTTAATATATTATTGTTGACAGATTATTATTATTAATGGAAAATATGACTGATGTATGTTTGTGTACGTTGTCTAGTGTTGTGACCTCAAGATGCCTATCCGAGCATATTGCACTATTTGTTCGGATTTCTTTGACCATTCGAAAGACGTCGCTGCGATTCACTGCGGACACACGTTTCATTATGAATGGTACATTTATAATCTCAGATCATGTTAATGTTACCATCACCACCAGTAAATAACACTGTCTCCCATTCGTCCTTAGTCTACTCCAGTGGTTCCAGACTGCCCCAACCAAGACCTGTCCCCAGTGCAGGAAGCAGGTCAGTATCGCTGTGAGTGTCCAGTTTAAATGTACAGCGTTGATAAGATGTGTATGTGCTATCCACAGGTCAGTACCAGACACATCATCAACAAGCTTTTCTTTGACATTGGGGGTGAAGAGGATGGAAACGTGGATCCAGAGTGTTTACAGGTACAGACACTTAACCTTCTGAAAATGTGGGATTTCCTTTGTTCCTTTTGTTAAATCAACACAATCTATTCTTTTTTGTATTTATTTTTTAGAATGAGCTTGATCGCGTTAAAGCTCAACTCAGCACTAAGGGTAAGAACACGCTTTTAATTAGAAAGTAATGTAGTTTGCCACCCGCTTGTCTCAATAGAATGTCCCACACTATGGTATTGTTATATAAATATACTTGTAAACTTGCTAAACATACAGTTAAGCTTGAAAGTTTACACACCCAGGCAGAAATTGCAACACATCTTTTTGGCCATGATTGGAGCTTATGAAAGATTATGCATAAACTCATTGTGAGTGGTTTTGTGAAGGCATGTTTTCTGTTTTCAAATGATAATGACAAGAGAAACTCGTCTCCCCATCCCCCGGTTCTCAATAGCCTGTATCTCCACACCTGTATCTATAACACCTGTATTTACCACAGCTTGGAGTCTTTTGTGGTCATTGTGGATGAGGTTCTCTGCCCTGTCTCACGGTATAACTTCTTCTTTGCAAAAAGCCTCTGATAAATTCCTGGGCCGCCTCAAAAGTACTGAACGTTTGAGATCTCCCCCAAAGCGGCTCAATCAGAAAATTTGAAGATAGAAAACATGTTTCTTAAATCATTTTCACACTGGAGCCCCGCGTGTTTGTACCAGTGTTCAAATCTTATCATTTGTCAACACTTTTGACATGCCCCATTCATTTAAGGAGTGCATTCAAAAAACCACAGCGGTTAAATCAGCGGGTCCAAAAAAAAATACTCCCCTCAGCATTGACACGAAACTGGAACATAGCGTTGAGCCAAGAGGCAAATTTTGGACCACGCTGTAATGCCGGTTTTGAGAGGAAAAAAGGCGGCATAAAAATCCATTGGATAATTCTGTTTCCGGGCCCCCCCCCCCCAGCGCACATGCTCATGGACCCGCCCCCACTGATGTCAACAGTATGAATGCGGGCTGTGTTGACCTGTGTTGAAAGGCGGGTTACGGTGTCAGCGTGTAATCTTAAAAGCACAACTGTATCTAGCTAGGAATCCTGAGTGCTTATACATGTAACAACGTGTGATCTGATTTGCAGAGAGAGACTGGCGGGACAAACACAAGATTATCGATGGACTTCGGGACACCGTGGAAAAACAGAGGAAAGATATGGACAGTTTACGCAAAGACGCCATGGAGAAGGACATGCTCTGCACCGCACTTAGGGTGAGAAACCGAGCAGAACACAAACGGCCGCGCGACAATCCTGCTATCTCTATCTATCCCTATTTGTGCTCCAGAAACAAATGTCTTACTTGGAAACGCAACAGAACGACATCCAAGCGGCTAAAGAGGAAGCCCGAAGACTCCGCACAAAAATGAAAACATACGAAAGGTAGTTTTTTAAAGCGGATTAAAACGGTCTGAATCTTTAATGAATGTTGATGTTGTTCTTCTACGCAGCTTGGACACCTTGCTACAGGGCCAGAGAGCAGAGGTGGAGTCTATGATCATCGATATGGGAGTGAGTCAGGCCGCAGTGGAGCAACTCTCGATCTACTGCATTTCTCTCAAAAAGTAAGTTATGTTCGGACACTGACCCCGTGGCCCGCTCTGGGACAGACCAATATATTTGACCTGTGACACGCAGAGAGTACGACAATCTGAAGGGGAGTCTCAAGAGTTCAAACGAAATGTGCGAAAAGCTCAAGAGGGAAGTGCTTTCAACCAACAACAGGGTAACACCAGATTTCAGATTATTATAGGATTGGAGAAAAAAAAAGTGTTTCAGTCTAACAATGCATGTGTTGGCAGCTACAAAAAGCCACAGCGGAGGGGAACCAGGCTAAAGAAGATATTAAGGCTTTGCACAAGGATCTGAGCGCTGCTGACAAAGAAATCTCGGTGCGTGTGTGTTAATGTGTGTTCTGAAGAAAAACAAGAGTGTAATTAGCATGTGTCCTCAAGCAGAGTCTGAAGAAGAAGATCGAGGTGCTGCAGAACACCCTGAGCACGCCCACTCGCACAAACGAAGCCCTCAGCCGCCTCGTATTTGAGAGGTAGAGTTTGTTTTAGTTTTGTGTAGTTTGTTTATTTGACAGGGACATTGCACAATAAATGTATTGTTCAGACCGGACATGGCGACAGGATAATTTTCATCCGTAGTCCTCGGGCAGAGGCAAAGTGACAGCAGGTATACAGTGTGCAAAGATTTAATAAATAGGATGACTGAGTTAGCATTAAAAATACAAGTAAAATACAACACCTCAAGTGGTCAAACTGATGCTGCATGTTATAATGTTTAATGTTGCACTATCACATGGCACAACAGCTGAAACTGGGTATAGATCGCCTCTTGGCTGTTAAGATTTGAAGGGTTTCCCAAATGCATGTCTCCACAAACCGCAGTCCAAATAGTGTATTAGAGGTTTCTTTATTGGCCCCTATGACCATTGATCCACATAAACATAATACTCTGCACAACTGACACGGTAAGAAAAGGTTTACCTCCAAACCTAGCAGCACCTGTGCCCTAATTCTGCCCTTTTTATAGGAGAATGGGCTCAGGTCACATAACGCCCACAGCGCCTTCTTGTGGCTAGTGAAAGGTACATAGAAAATCAAAGAAAATAAGTCTTTTCTTTTCACATTATTACTAAGTGATATTGGAACACTAATTATTGGTCCAATCTGAGTGAATTAAAAACTAGATGCACAGACCAGTGTCATGATCATCAAAGTATTGTAGTTAGTTCATCGTATTATATTTAGATGATATAAAAATAAAAAAATGTATTTGTCAAACCAGTTAATTTATTGTTCACTAATGTGGTAAAAATCATGTGTGTGTGCGTGTGTCAGCCCCGCCCCCCTGGATCTGAAGCATCCACGACTACACCAGCCCTCAGATAGTGACGACATCGACCTCAACATAACCTATGACATCACCACCCCCGAGGACGTGTCCAAGAAGCCGTCTCAGGTGCCCGCAAAGAAGATGCGCTTTGACCCTCTGCTGTAAGTTCAGGCAAATGTCATTCAACCCAAACCTACTGCATGTGCTCACCTTTACCTTCATGAACGTTTGTCACTTTTTAATCAGCTTCTTGATTGGTGGAAATGAACTTCTATTCTGAAAATGTACTATCGGACAGTTCTTACATAGTAGCACAGTGCCCCATGGTCAGAAATAGATGTTCTTTTAAAAACTAAATTCAATAGAAATAGCTGACATCCCCTCTAAGTACCAATACATGTAATCTTTGCTTCCTTCAAAGTGTAAACTGAAAAGTAAATGATCATGTACAGTCAGAGAGATGAATGAAGGATCAAAACTTCCAACATGATAAATGGATTCATTAATGAACACATGTTCACACGGCTGTCTTCTGAGTGATGTTGCCTTTAAAACACTCCTAATGCCTCCTGAATCTTCACCTTGTATGTATAAACACTGACGCAGGCAAAGTCTCAATCCTAATCCTGTTAGATCTGAGTGCTGCCTTTGACACTGTCGACCATGAGATCCTCTTACAGAGACTAGAGAACTGGGTTGGCGTCGCTGGCACCGCCCTAAGTTGGTTTAGGTCTTACCTTGGAGACAGGAAGTACTTTGTGGAGATTGGAAACTGTGTCTCAGATCATATGGCCCTGACCTGTGGAGTACCACAGGGGTCGATCCTGGGACCTCTTCTTTTCAATCTCTACATGCTGCCGTTAGGTCAGTTAATACGCAGAAACGAAGTTTCCTATCATAACTATGCAGACGACACTCAGATCTATGTCTCACTGACTGCAGGAGAACATGGACCAGTGGACTCACTCCTTCACTGTATCCAACAGATCAGTGAGTGGATGCAAAACAACTTCCTTCAGCTAAACGCAGACAAAACTGAAATGATTGTCTTTGGTCCCCAGAAACAAAGAGAGAGCGTCATCTGTCATCTACAGTCTCTCTCCCTAAAACCTTCAAACAAGGTCAGAAATCTAGGGGTAATACTGGACTCAGACTTAAATTTTAATAGCCACATCAAATCAGTAACATCAGCAGCTTTTTACCATCTAAAAAACATTTCCAGGATCAAAAACATAGTGTCTAAAGCAGACTTGGAGATTCTTATCCATGCATTTGTCTCCAGTAGGTTAGACTACTGCAATGGCCTGCTCACAGGTCTGTCCAAACAGGCTGTAAAACAGCTGCAGTACATTCAAAATGCAGCAGCTCGAGTCCTGACTAGAACCAGGAAGTACGACCACATTAGTCCAGTTCTCAGGTCTCTGCACTGGCTTCCTGTGGCTCAGAGAATAGACTTTAAAACAGCTTTGCTTGTGTACAAGTCTCTCCATGGCCTCGCACCAAAATATATTAGTGACATGTTAGTCCCATATGAACCAGCCCGGACTCTGAGGAGCACAGGGACTGGACTCCTGTTAGTGCCCAGAGTCAGAACTAAACATGGGGAGGCTGCTTTTCAGATTCATGCTGCTAAAATCTGGAACATTCTTCCTGAAGATGTGAGACAGGCCTCCTCTCTGACTATGTTTAAAACCAAGTTAAAAACTGTGCTGTTTAGCTGTGCATGCAACTGAGGGATTTTATATTTTTATCTTTCTTTTTAATGTTCTGTGATTATTTATGATTTTAATGCTATCTTGTTCAGCACTTTGAGTTGCCTTGTGTATGAATTGTGCTATACAAATAAACATGCCCTGCCCTGCCCTATATTTTTCACTCTCTAAATCTGTAGTGATATCTTCATAATTATTTCTCAATGTGGACATTCATTTATTTATTCATTTATTATTTTGACAGTTAGTCCTTCATAGAGATGCCTCATATCAGAAGGAAATTACGTGATTAGTGTTTCACATTGTTGTTCTGCAGAGCGGCTGTGACGAAGCAAAATGAGAAAAGTACATCTCTAAACAAGGTAAAGTTTGTTCTTTTTCTTTCCGCTTCTTTGTGCCTAAATTATCATAGTTACACCCGTCTTTGTTCTGGTATCTCTGTCAGCCCCGAGGTGAAGGTGACCCCATGGATCCTTTTTTGAAGAATTCTCTTCTGTTTCGAAAGAAAACCTTTGGCAGCATGTTGGACCCTCGGTGTACTGGAGCGGTATGTTCCACACACAACTGTTCTGAAGCAACTGAACTGTTGGACCTTGAAGACATTTGTTTGTTGTTTTAGGTCAGAAGTGGCTATGATGGACTCGGTGGAAGGACTAAATTCATCCAACCTGTATCCTTTTGATAGTATCAAATACAGTACTACATCGAGCTTGGGAGTGAGCGGAGCTTTGGGTCCAGAAGTAAAATCGATTAATGTGGTTAAAAGCCACCACAAAGTCAGATGTAGATCACAAAAGTTTAAGATAAACTGCATTTTCCTGAAACGTGATCTATGAGATCTTCATCTTAGCACTGTGTCGCAGTGGTTCATGGGATATGGAGTTTTTGTAAGCGGGAAGTTAATGTAATGTACAGTCTTGTATCTTGTTGATGGATTAAAATCAAACATGGTATTTTTCACTTCCGGAGCCCTGGACCAGGAGAGGTGGGACTGAAGCTCTGTTACAGCAGTTCTTTAACCACATCATTCAGTCTCCACTCGCGGAGCTCCGCCCCCTGATGAAAGCGAAGCGGAAGAAGGTGACCCGGCCTGGACCCAAGATTTCAACTTGCCTCACTTTGGACAACTTTCTTGAGTAAAAATACAGTGGTATTCGCTTTTTTAAATGATATGACTGACTTCCATGACACAACAGGATACTTTTCCGCTGTAATATTTGTTTTTGTAGTTTGTGTCATTGTACGTCATCACAAATATGATTTCATTCTTCTGAAAAATAATTTATTTCAACATTCTACCAGCAAACAAACATGCAGAAACATTTTTTCATTGATGTCTGTATAATATTAAAATATTGTTTAATTTTGTTTTGAGGTGTACATTATTGTACATTATTTTTAGCAGAAGTATATTCTCCAGCAGAGGGCAGTATTTAACTTTGATATTCCCTGCACTAAGAGCTGCTGTCACTGCTACATCTTTTTAATGCAGACAAATTACTGAATAACAGTCCTTTTATTCAGTCTCTGCTCCCATCTTTCACTGCACCCTCATTTCTAAAGAGCATTCCATGCTCATAGCTAGTTTAAAACATTAAAATAGCCTTGGATTCTGTTGATATTCTGACAAACAATATAGGGAAGCAGTGTGTAGACGCCGTGTTGCACAATGCAAGCACTTTCACACCATTCTCACTTTGTAAATCTCATTTCAATAGTTGATCATGGATTTACTGCTTGTGCGCTTAAAGCCAAGAGCAACCAACGCTTTGACGGAGACTGCTACTTTCCCAGAGCTCTGGATTGGGAACAGTAGCAGGATATAGTGCATTTAAAACAGACACATTTGTGGACAGAAAACGACACAAGTCATGCAGTGCTAATGGCTCCGACAAACAATAGGATTTGATTGACCCTCTGGGATTGCTCATAATCAACACACTCATTTTCTTGTAGGGGAAAGGTCTTTTTATATATAATATATATATATATATATATATATTTTTTTTATTTTTTATTTTTTCTTACCTAAAAGAATGTTTCATGTTGATTGAAAATTCTACACGTTTATATTTAGTGTTAGAAAAACAGTTAAGAAATATTTTCTCTGCAATAGCGTTTACAAGGGCTCAACCGCCACAAAGTGTCTTCGGAAGTCTTGACTATTGGTGCAAAGTTTGTATTTTTTGTATCATGTTCAGTCCAGTTGACAAAGCACCTTTGGACCAGTCCATAGTTTTCCTTGTGAAAAACTGCTGGTTCTCCTTATGGCCTTCACAAAACGGTCCATGTTGCGTTTGTCTCATTGTGAGCGATCGGGCTCGATCTTGGACTCTCCGTTCTGCTTGTCGTTGGACTTCTGTGAGAGGCGTGTGGACACGGTGGCCGCCTGCACCACTGCTTTGAAGCTACGTTTCCTCTTCTGTACGTTCTGCTCCGGGTGGAAGATGATGACGTAGACTTTGGGGATGTAGAGCATTCCCAGGGACACGGTGGCGCTCAGGCTCATGGACACAGTCAATGTGGTGGTCTGGATGAACATCTGCGAGGACACAGAAGTGAAGTTATGAAGTCATAGGCACAGGTCTGCTCTTTACAACATGTTCATTTAAAAGCCTCCAAGCTGCCACAGTCTGCAGCCTGCACAATTTTCATTTCAAAGCACAGGAGACAGTGTTTTTTCTTCTGATAAATCTTTTATAACTGCGATGTGTAGTCAGATAGGAAGGCATCTCTATTTATGGACAGTGCCCCTGTGTGTTCTACAGTCTCCCTTTGAGCATTATTAATAATAATTCATAGAATCACCCCATGGGCAAGTTATGGAGTCATTATTTAAGATAACTGAACTGGCCATGAAAAAGAAAATCAACTATATATGTCATGAATAAGATATATTTTTGTTATAAATAAGTCATCAATTGTGCGAGTGCTGTATATCCAGCAGAGGCTGACCGCCGTGTGACAGCTGCAATGTCTGAGCATCCACTGCTTTCAGAGCTCTTCCATTTTAGACGGAATATAAGAGAATACTCAACTTGAATTTATACAAAAGTAAGGCTGAAAATGAACTGCATTCAAATTGAAATTTGGCAAACTGTATGAATCAGGGAAAATCTCCTTATTTGAGTACATTTTGACTCATGAATAAAGATCATCCTTTTATGTGCAGTAGCATTTGGACTTTCTACCTGGAACTTAGAGTATCTCAAGCGTTCATCAATTCTTGTTTTTCACTGCAAAAAATGTGTATTGTGCGAATCACTTTATGTATTGTTTTTCAAATGTAATTCTTGAAATAGTTTTACATTTTGTTTGGACGAGGGCTGTGACAATTGGATCAATTACTTGCAACAATTTCATTGTTTTCAACAAATTTAGTTAGCGATTACTCGTGTTGAACCTTCCACAGACTGAAACATGCTGAGAAGAAGTTTTATGACTCAGATAATCATGACAATGAACACATTTTCCACTTCCTTCTGGAGGGTTTTCTTTTTTTTTATCTCTATGAAGGTGTTCTTCTGGGGCATCACTTTTTTTGCTGAAATGTAATCACAAAAATCCCAGATTCTGAGCTTTTGTGATCTAAATGATCAAAAATAATTACAGCCCTAGTATGCACTTGAAACAAATAAACAAAACCCTACAAATATATGTCATATTTTGCCAGCCCTGGGTCGAACACAACAATGTCCTTGAGTAAGTTCCACATGGGCTCGCACATGACAGGAAGAAGTTTGACAATCGGTTTCGCAGATGTCTGTATTGTCTGTGCTTAATTGAATAGGAAGGCTGGAACTTGCACGGAGAAAGCCCTCGTTACTTCTGGCCCTTCCTCTCCTTAAGTAAAGAGACTTTGAAAGCACCTCAGGCTGGGATTGTTCAGGCATGGCTGACTCTTTATACGCTCCTCTATTAATCAAAATCTGTTTTCAAATATTTCCTTTCCTCTCTTTTACTTAGCAGCAGCAACAATAGCCCACAAGTCAAACTAAGCTCCACCTTTCCCTCCGCTGAGCTTTTAGGATGTCCACTGAGCACGATATGGCATGCATCAAATTTCACTTTGAATATCCTGGGATTAAAGAACTTTCTAAATTATGACCACTGCTTACGTAACTCGGCCTGTTATTTTCACTCAGTGTTGACCTGAATGTCTCGGTTCAAATTGGTAGAGGATATAATGATATGGTATTAAAAGCTTGAATTTATGTCCTAATTTAACCTAATTTTGTATTGTTCTTTAAAATAAATAACATTACTATTTGTATTTAATTAATCCATGTAACTTTCAAACTACATTGAAATCCATGTAACCAACTCTAACTAACTACAGTCGTGTGCTCATTCAAATAACTGAGTACTGTGATGAATGTATCCATTTAAAGCTGGGGTACGTAACTTTCAAACATTCAAATCCATGTAGTTCCTCTCTCTCAAAAGAGTTTGATTCTGTCAGTAAATGTTCACATGCTTTTAGTTTTTAAAGAAAAGTAAAAAAGACAATCCTGACTCTGCCAATCAGCTTTCAAACTCAAAGCATCAAGTAGTGACTCCCAGAGCAAGTGAACAAAAGATAACATAATAATTATGTAATTAGATAAAAACGGCATGTTGTGGCTTGGTATGGTCACAACATGTTACTTTCTGTTAGACAAACTACAGTGCCCCTCGACAGTACTAAACTTTAAACTTTTAACACATTTCATCATGTCATCAAAGATTTTATTTGAAATGTTTTACTTAGAATTTATGCACAAGTAACTAAAGTGAAATCAAAATGATACATGACTTTGAATCTCAGTATTCATACAGTGTTTTTTCTGTTTGAATACTATTAGTCTATTAAATTGCCTTAGACATTCCTTATGACTGCTGATTACAGGACAACACTGATCACAGATGCAAACACGAGGCCAAGGGTTATTCTGCAGTAGCTGCAGACAAAGCTCACCTGGGAGATTCTGTGCATGGGGCAAATATTAGTCATACATTTCACAAATCTGGCCTTTATGGACCAGTGGTAAATAGAAAGTCAGTGTTGAAATAAAGCAAAGCCTGGAACACATCCAACATGTGGATGAAGCTGCTGTGGTCAGATGAGACCAAAATGCAAAATGTTACGTATGGCTCTAAACACCACTTAAAATGGGGGGGGGGGGGGGGGGGGGGGCCAGCATCATGTTATGGGGTATAATTTTATGACAAAGTACAGGACATTATTGGTATTTACACATGTTTTATGATTACTTGTGCATATCCTGCTTTTCAGTGTTTTATTTTTTTTCACACAATATCTTGTATCATTTACTTTTACTTCACTACTTGTGAACCGTAAGTAAGTAATCTTTATTCATATAGCGCTTTTCACAGACGCCTTTACAATTGTGGCCATTTGTCTCTCACTCCACACAGAGATGGGAGCGGGGTCGCCGTACAGGACGTGCAGCCCAGACCTATTATACATGTTTTTAGCGGTAGGGGAAACCAGAGTTGACACAGGGAGAACATGCAAACTCCACTCAGAAAGGCCCTGTTCCGACTGGGATTCAAACCCAGGACCTTCTTGCTGAGTAGCGAGAGTACTATCCACGATCCACAGTGCCGCCCACTGTCAATAAAAAACTGACAAAATGTGCAAAGGTTGTAATGTATTAGTACTTTCGAGTGTTATTTATGATACTCAAAGTTAGGTACCCCAGCTTTAGTGCATGATGCTATAATCAGCGGTAGAAGGAGCAGAATAAGATCAGCACAGGCCACAGTTGAAGCCACACTTCACAGTCTTTTCTCTGACAAGTTGAGATTAAGCATTTGTCACATGTGCTTGTTAGTGGAGTGCTGCCACCTGAGCCTTCACCAAATGATGGACTCGTCTCTAACCTTTGTTCTCTGCTCCGGCTCTGCACCTGTTTGTTTTACTTTTCTAATTGGCACATTCCCTCATGTGTAATTACATCTGTCCACACATATTATTCCTTTGTGGTGTTTTGGCAGTTTTGATACTGAGTGCCTCCATTTGTGGGCTGCGGATGTTTTAGTCGTTCAATTGGCCGATGAATCTTTGAAGGCTCAGCAACATGAAGGCGTGTTGTAAACATATCACTGCAAACATCTTCTATACTTCTGAACTGAATCTAAAGACACATTTCCATCCAACGGCAATCTATGAACACTTTTTAAGATTTTTTTAATTTGTGACTGGTAAAATATACATCATAGTCTTTCATCTGTGCTTTGCCATAATTTTGTCTCAGAGCTTAAAATATTTAGACAATGGAACCGTAATCACCACAATAACAAAGTATAATGTCATCAATTCATGTCTGTATTTGAATGATGTTCTTGGGGTAGGAGTCTACAAGATTTTACTTCTTTCAAACTCCATTTTGAGCGGACCAATTGCAAATATAAATGCATATGTAAATACCTATTGAAATTGTGATCATACAGCACATGGTGAAACTAGGGCATATACTGCTGCTTGATTGTATGCTTATCTTTATATATTTGCATGTGTAAGTATATACTGTAATCACAGAAGATGGAACTAAGGAATGTAAATATTGTAAATATTTGAATGAATGTAAAATTTCTGCTCAAATATATAACATCAATCAAATCAAATCAATACCATTTATCGGTTTTAGCTGTAAGTTGAATTACAGAAATAAATGAACTTTTCAACAGTATTCTAATTTTCAGAGTTTCACCTTTACTAAATCTAACTCATTCTTATTTGGGTCGCAGCTTATACGTTGATGGTGCTGTGCATTGTATGACACCAGACCTTTTCAGTGGACTGGGCCGTGCCAAAGAAGATGGGCACAAAGGCCAGCCAGATGATGCAGGTGGTGTACATGGTGAAGCCGATGGGTTTGGCCTCGTTGAAGGTCTCCGGGACGCCCCTGCTCTTGATGGCGTAGACTGTGCACGTGATCATCAGCACCAGACTGTAGCTCAGGCACAGCATCAGGGACAGGTCCGACATGTCGCACTTGAGGATCCCACGGGCGAACTCCGGGTTGGGGGGTTTTTGCTCCTCGTAGTCTATGATGGTGTGAGGAGGGATCACTCCGAACCAGATGAACACCCCCAGTAACTGAAACGTCAGGATTCAAAGTTCACAAGAATGTCAGTTACAGGTAAAACAAATTAGAATACTGTGAAAACGTTTTTTGAATTTATGAAATTCTATTTAAAATTTGAAATCAACACATGAGAAAAAACGAACACAATGAAATTTACAGAAGAGAGGAGGTGCACCGTTTTTTAGAGGTATTGCGACACCTGGTCCATTTTCAAGGGATATAAGTTGATCCCCCTGGACTGCTACCTTAACGTGGTGGGGGAGTTTGAGTACTCGGATGATACTGGGAGCTGTGTTGTCTGGGGCTTCATGTCCCGTAGGGCCTCCCATGGTTTCTTGGTCTTGGGTGACGAGTCAGACGAAGCGCAGTCCGAAGCTCACCATTGACAGCACGTTATCAACAACCTTGGACTTGCAGCTGGGGCCCCACCCTGGAGCCAGGCCTGGGGTTGGGGCTCATATGTGAGCGCCTGGTGGCCGGGCCGTGCCAGAGAGGAGACGACAACCGATGCTAGAGGGTTCATGGGAGTCCGCCCAACCTGTCCACATGTGCTTTGTGGATCTGGAGAAGGCGTTCGACCGTGTTCCCCGGGATGTCCTTTGGGGGGTTCTCCGGGAGTACAGGGTCCGGGGTCCTCTGCTGAGAGCCGTCCGGTCCCTGTATGACCGGAGCCAGAGCTGCGTTCGCATCGCTGGCAGTAAGTCAGACCTGTTCCCGGTGCATGTTGGCCTCCGTCAAGGCTGCCATTTGTCACCGGTTCTGTTCACTGTCTTTATGGACAGAATTTCTAGGCGCAGCCAGGGGCCGTTGGGAGTCCGGTTTGGGGACCACAGGATTTCATCTCTGCTGTTTGCGGACCATGTCCTGTTGGCTACAACAAACCAGGACCTGCAGCATGCGCTGGGACGGTTTGCAGCCGAGTGTGAAGCGGCTGGGATGAGAATCAGCACCTCCAAATCTGAGGCCATGGTGACCATCCTCAAGTCGAGGATTTCAAGTATCTCGGGGTCTTATTCACGAGAGGGGGAAGGATGGAGCGCGAGATTGACAGGCGGGTTGGTGCAGCGTGTGCAGTGATGCGCTCGCTGTATCCGTCGTGGTGAAGAGGGAGCGGAGCCGAAAGGCAAAGCTCTCAATTTACCCGTCCATCTTCGTTCCCTCCCTCACCTATGGTCGAAATGAGCTTCCTCCACAGAGTGGCTGGGCGCTCCATAAGAGATAGGGTGAGGAGCTTCTGTTCCAGATGCCTTCTGGAGGTGTTCTGGGCACGTCCCACCGGGAGGAGATTTGTTTTAAGGCAGTCATGATGTTCTAAGGTTAAGGTTAAGGTACATTTTATTTATCCCATAGGGCAATTTGTCCTCTGCGTTTGACCCATCCTGCAAATGCCACTTGGGCTTCTGTCAGGTGCAGAGGTCCCACGGGGACCCACGTCCAAATGTTGACACTCGACTTGGTCAGGATTTTACCTACTGCACACAATTTCAGTGGTAGGGACAACGGAGCACCCGGAGGAAACCGGGCTTCACTCAGAAAGAGTGAGAAGATGTTTTTGCTTTTTATTGCAGCGTGTTTGCAGTGTACACAAAAAGTGACAAAACAACTATCAAAATTGAATTAGGCCAAATTCATATCAATTTGAGTACATGTTGTCTGTCTTAAAACAAGTTTTAGAAGAGACAAGAATCTTAAGATTTTGGATTATAAAATGTACTTAGCGTAACCCCCTCTTGATTCAACTTAGGCATTTATTACCATAAATTTTATAATATCTTATTTTTTATATATTTTATAATATTTTGCTGTGTATAAGGCAACAGTAGACCCAGGACACGTTGGAGGGGCTGTCTCTCAGCTGGCCTGGGGACACCTTGGGATTACCCCAGATGAGCTGGAGGAGGCACTGTATGTGTGAATAGGGAAGTCTGGGCGTCTCCGCAGCTGCCACCGCAATGAATAAAACGTCAAAAAATGGATGGATAGGCAACAGTAATCACACATACAGAAAAACAAACAACAAATATTCTCATTCTCTATTTTTTATTTTAGTTATATGTAAACCTTTCTCTCATTGTTAGTGGTTGTGTCCATATAAATTCCATGCAATTCAAAAAGATAAATCAATAATTATTGTTTTATTGTTGGGTGTTGTGTGACCCCATAGATGGCTTCACAAAACCACTAACATCAAGTAAAACAAATTCAAAAGAAAGTTTGTAAACTTTCAAACACAACTTTAAGTAACGGGAATTCAAATGATGTATGTCTAGTCTGAGAGCACAAACCTGGACTGAGATGAGGATAAAGGTGATGATGAGCTGAGAGCCGGGGGTGATGAACTTGGGCGGTGTGACTGACTTCTTCCCCTGTTCAAAGATGCGGTAGATGCGGTTTGTCTTGGTGAGCATGGCAGAGTTGCAAATGCACATTCCCAGTCCCAGAAACAGTCTCCGGAAGGCGCACACGGCTCCACTGGGCTCCGCAATCATCAGGAACGTGATGAAATAAATTAGAAAAATCCCCGTCAGCAACACGTAACTAAGCTCCCTGCCCGAAGCCCGCACGATCGGCGTGTCGTTGAAGCGGACGAACGTGCCGATGACCCCCGTGGTGGCGAGGATGCCCAGGATTGCCAGGAAGACTGGGATGATGGCCCAAGGAGAGCTCCACTCCAGTTTGATGATGGGCGTGGGTCTGCAGCCTGTGCGGTTTCGGAAGGGTCTCATGTCGAAGGGGCACATGTCGCAGGTGAACTCGTCCAGGAGATACTGGTAGCCGTCGCAGAGCTCGCAGTGCCAGCAGCAGGGAACACCCTTCACCATCTTTTTCCTCTCTCCAGACTCACAGGGGAAACTACACACCGAGTCTGGGATCCGGCGGTCGCCTCCAGACCATTGCAACTCCTCAGGCTGCACAAAACACACACATCTTTCACTATTACTACTTATTAGTAATTACGACCAATGGGGTGAGGGCAGTAAATGAAGAATTCAAATGTATTTCATCAATCAGAAGGCAGGGTGTCTTGAGCATGGTCAAGTTTATCTTTAAAGGGACCATAAGATGCATTCTGAGTGGTTTAACCCTCTTCAGGCAGGCCCCACAGATTTGCAACAACTTAATTTCGTATTACCTAACTACTCCACATCCATATTTTTGACCCTTTTTTACTCAGAAGTACCACTGCTGGACTTAATTGATCTTTAACAACACACAGTTTTCCTCCTGCTCACCAGGGGGCGGAGCTGTGTCCTTGACTTCACAGAGAGAAAAAAAACAGATTTTCTTGGCATCCATTCCAAGTCAGTATCACTACCAACCTCCAACAATTTGAAACCAAAACTGCATAAAATGAAAGATAAACATATACAGATACAGTACATGCCAATTAATAGATTATGTCTCCTCTGGGTTTTTTCCACAGGGGGCCAATGTTGCAAATCTGCAAAATCCCAGAATGCATTGCCCGTCAAGGTGTCCCTCAAAAAAGAAAATCAGGATTGTATATTACTACCCCATATGATTTTTTATTATTATTATTTGGGCCTGAGAGGGTTAATGAAGACTTTTTGAATTCAATCCAACGTTTATGGATAATTCCCCGTTTATCGTCTGGGGACACAGAAAAGATTTAAAATTAAGATGGTACTTTTTGGACTGAGAGCTGATTGGGGCTGGGTGAGGGTGGTCCTCTTTGTTTCATTTTTCCGTCTGAGAAAGTTGATCTATAGATGCGACAGAGGCCAGAAAAACATGCATGTGAAAACTAGGGATAGAACCAAACTGTTTTGAGAGCGGGGAACTAGCTTGATGGATTTTATATATTTCTTTTAAGATGTGTTTTTTTTAGGGTAAAGATGCAGTCAGTGATTTTTTTCCAGATGCATTTTTTTTTTTATATTGTGGGAAAACTTCCCTTAATCCTAAAAGTAGTCAAGTTATCATGTGTTTTAAATTAGAAATGGAATTAACCAGACGCCTATAGGCTTAAAAAATAATAAAAAATGTTTTGCAGCGGACTGATGAAAATAAACCAATGGGATTCATTCATTCCCAACGAACCAATGGGATGCGTTTACCCCCTTCACCCATTTCCTGTTTCTTGCGAGTGCACGCACCTGAGTTATAGGATTTTCTAAAACCTAAAATGGCTGAACAGAAAATGCCAATTTCACGTTTGCCACCCACTCTCCCTGTTGTGATAAAGAAAAGAAAATGGGGGATGTTTGGTTTGGTGGCGAGGCGAGGGGAGGGGGGAGTGGTTTTAAGTTGGTGCTACGGCTAAGCTAACAACATCGCTTACTGCATCTTTAATTACCACAGTTTTAAGCAGTTTGTCCCAGTTTGAATCTGAATTAAATTTTCAGGATTTCTAAAGACACAGCATAAATAGAAGCCAAGTTTACATTTAGTCTGAGATGGTTCGTCCATTGGCCGATGTTCTTGTAGCCCGCAATGCTGACGTTGGACATCTGGTATTGGAAGATGTCGTAGCGGCCCGGGGCGTCTCCGTTCTCGTTGAACATCACTCCGGTGCCTGCGCTGCCTGTGGGAGACACATCACCGTGAAGCGGAGTCCAGACACCCACGCGTTTGAATGCAGCTTGTGTTTGCTTTCTTCATCCCTGTGCAGCGATGTGAAAGCTGAATACAGGATGCTCTTTAGCAAAGCTCTCCTCGCTGCACTTTGCTTCGCTGCCCTAACGTAATTGAATGTTCCTCTCAGGTCCCTGCAGGCGCTCCATCAGAAACTCTTACATACAAGCCAAGGTCGTCCGCCAAGACCAGAGCACTAAATAGGACGCTTTCATACAGCATTTTTTTTTTTGAAACTGTAAATTTTTGTATGAAGAATGAAGATGAATAGTGGTAGCCTTGTGTATAGGGCAACACTACAGTACAAGCAGGACGCCTGGAGGGGGCCGCGCTCTGAAGAATGTCGGCTACAGCGAGGACCATCAGCAAAGATATTTCAAGGCTAGAGTCCTCACTTTTATCTATCTGATCATCATGTCTTCCAACTGTAGAACAAAATATTGAAAATAAGTAAGTTCACATTTCAGACATTCACAGATTGAGGACGGTAGTAGCATCAATGGTTCTCAAGCTTTTTTGTCCTGTGTGCCCCGTCTGCAGCAGAGACAGGGTTTCTCTGTTCTACCAAGGTTTCATACATTTCTTTACATTTGTTTTGAGCTAATCTCTTTTTTTACAAAATGTCGGTATTTTGACCAAATGATTACTTAAATTCAATTGATGATTTAGTTTTTGCATTACAAAATTAATACATTCTGCTATGTGAGTAATGTAAATATGCTCTAATCTAATGTGTGTGTTCTGTCATTTGAATTTTCCATTTGTATGTATTAGTGTCTGTATACTCACGCAACCTGACTGCAAACTCTGTGGTCACACTTGGGTCTGTACTGCCCTTATCAAAACACTTACAGTTAATCAAATAGAAACATGTCTCTGACTCTGGTCGCACTTCTTTGGGTCCAAGGATGCATTCTAACCTTTGTTTTTTACAGTGCATACTTGGACTGGACTAAAACTGGACCAAGAATAAGAAATTGATCTTGTGTTAGTATCAATTGCAATACTGGTTGAATGTGTAATATCAAATTCATGATTGTCGGTTGAGAGAATTAGCATCAAAATGAAATCACGGTAGCCCTTACTATCAATGTTTGCAAGTTATTACCCCCTGTAATTACCCCCCTACCCCCCACTTACCCCCGATTGGGAAACACAAGTTACATTACCAATATTTGAGCTTTACCATCACCAGAGACTAAACATCCTTCATGTCCAATTCAGCAGCATCCATAGTGTTTACTTCGAGTTTGTGAATGTGTGTAGCTCACCGTTGAAGTTGACAGAGCGGATATATTGCAGCAGCATCCTTCCCTCCACTGGGTCCATCTTCTCACAAACACCCATTGACCCAGGGCAGAGGTCCATGTGCATGCTGTGCAAGGCGTGGGCCATGGCATAGACTGCATCAATCACAAACTGCACTTTACCCTCCTGCTCGTACTGTGAGTCCTGGTTGATTCTTTCCTCGCCTGAGCCCAAACACAGTGTTACAAAGTTCCATGGCTCTGGGACCATATATCATCGCCTAATGAAATTCTACCTATAGAAGCCTTACCTGTACATTTTCTTCTGCCCTGCTCATATTTAATGCCAGGTCGAGTGAGTTTGCACTTAAAGTCATCTTCCCAGAACTCGGCAAACCAGATATTTCTTCTGTTGTTTTCAAGTGATCTTGATTCAAAGTATTGGTCAAAGGCTGTAACAACAAAGGAATATGTGTTGTTCACAAACAACATGACTTTTTAATGATCATATTACTGCAGTCGAAACTTGAGAAATAAAAAGAAAATGTTCTTCTATAAATAACTTCCATAATCTTATGAAATTGTATGACTGTTTTAATAATCTGTAATTGTATGTAACTGTTTTAATAATCTGTAACTGTATGTAACTTTTGTCCAGGACTCCCGTGAAAAAGAGGTTCTTAATCTCAATGGGGCTTTCCTGGTTAAATAAAGGTAATATAAAAAAAATAAGAACATTAACAATGTGAAACTCATCAAACAAAGTGAAATATATCGAGCTTTTATTTGTATCAATGCTGATAAGTGGCTCATCTTTTTTTTTAAGATACATTTTTAGAATCAACAGTGAGCCATAATCATCAAAATTAGAAAATTATTTTATTATTAGCAGTATAATTTTTTTCTATATTTTTTCATAAATATTTTACATATTTCCCCCTCTTTAAATAAAAAAAATAAACATTTGAAATATCTCACATTGCATGTTATGAGTCTATAGCATATACTGGTTTCCTATTACCCTAACATTACAGAAACGTGAACAATATTCCAATTGTAAGAGTTTCACCTGTTATATCATTACTATTTTGCTATTCCCGATTGTAACTGATCTTGCCTGCAATCTTTAAAAAGGTCTATGAAGAAAACTGGGCACAAAGCCTATCGCACATCATTAATTTCCTTTGTTTGTTGCATTGATATTGGAATCATCCATCAATGCCACACGCTTCCAGCTACATGAAAATTGACTTCACTGAATTCCGATGTCATTTAGTGATTTAATAAAGTTGCTCTACCATCGATTGAGGCTCTTTTGGGCAGGATTGTTACTGCTCCCTCTGCAACCTCCTCCTGGTCCTGAATTGGTGCAATCTTGGCTCCCCAGCTGTCAGAACCCACAAACACGAAATGGCCTGTCAGGTTGGCCTTTTTCGCTGCCTGCAAGACCCGCCTGAAGAAGCACACAGGGACATGAGTGCGCTACAGCATAAAATTAGATCTGGGATGTCAGAGTATCAGAGCTAGACTCACTTGATGTCATCCTCATTAGCAAAGATTATGACCCCACGGGCATTCGAAGTCTCCATCAGCCTCTTGATGATCTTTTCAAACTCTCCTGGTCGAGGTTCCCGGGGGATTTTTATAGATTGTGCAAGACATAGACCTCCTGCAATAAAAGACATAGAGACATGTTTCATTGGCTTAATTGAAACCATTCTTAAAGGAGTTTCATCAATCAACATATTTTTGGATTCAGCTTTAGTAAGTTTGCAAAAAGAAACCAGAGAGTGTTTTCTACTCAGGTCCCTGATGTGCTGTGTCTGTGTGTGCAGCTGTGCTTTGTGTGAGGGACCAAAAAAACTGCTATTTTCTCCAAAACATTTTTGGGTCTACACCACCACGGTTTTAATTCTTAAATTATATTATATCCAAATCAGCAAAAGGAAGCAGGAATTAACAGTGCACGGGTGTGAGGTTCCAAAAGTACTGGAGTACTGACAAAAATGACCACTTTAGTTCACTTTAGCTCACCAGATTTGTCCAGGGGCAGAAAACACGGATTGACTGGATGCAGGCTTTAAAATATGACGTTTATAGTCAAAGAAAGTCAATGACTGGATTACAGAGCCTTACAATGAGGTATAACTGACAGACATAGGCAGAGGTATGACTACTATGTGAACTTGTGTTATGACTACTTTGGGTTAGCAAGGCAGAGGGCCACATAACATGACACATAGGGCCGCTATTGGCCCGCGGGCCTTACTTTGAACACTCCTGATTGAGGCCGTCCACATGGCCTGTTTGGTTTCTTGCAGCTCTCAAACCTCTGCTGCCATCATAGAACAGCTGATGTGTGGACTCGATGTAATAGGTAGGTTGACATTTGACCTTTCATTGATCATCAGGTAACTCCTAAAGGCACTTCACAGTTTTTACTTGAAAAAATAATGATATCATGTATCATTTTGCTTTCACTTCAAAATTGTCTACCACTTTGTGTTGGTCTTTCACACAAAAATCCAATACATTTATGTTTGTGGGCGTAATGAGATGAAAAAGTTCATGGGATAAGAACACTTTTTCAAGCCACATATTTTGATTGTGGAAAGGTCCTAAAAAAGACTGCATTAGCAGGATGCTGTTTGACAATGAACAGAGCCAAAATATAAATGAGAATAGTGTCCAAATATTTTTGGACTTGTCTTGTCCTGTTGTGGGAAACACTGTCTCTGAACACTGTCTCTGAACACTGTCTCCTTCATGTGCCGCCTGTGACCTGTCCTCAGTCTGTGTGCTCCCTCCTCATGTGCCAGATCGTCTTGTTTCTTGTGTTCAAATGGTTTCTTCCCTTTTTTGCCTGGACAATTAAATTCTCTTAAACAACTTTTTGCCTTGGGGTTGTTTTTGAGCCACTCTTGTACCAGTCATCAGTAGGATGTAGTCAGCCACTTTTTGTACTGACATCAAATAGCTTGATGTTTGTGAATGGATCTGTGGAATCTGAGCAACATGTTTCAGACTGAGCTAGGACAAACTTGAAACATATTCAAGGAATAAGATTCAATGAATTTAAGGCCATATAGACTATGGTTATATTTGGATTGGTTGTACTTTTTAGTAACTCAAGGATGGTCTGGCGTCTCTGTTATGACATCATTCTGATCATTCTCATTGCTACACATCATACAGTATATAAGGCATTGTTTTCTTCTGTTCTGTCTGGGAAAAAACCTGGAAATAAACTGAAGGTGCAGAGTCTGAGAACACTGTTGCCTCTGTCATTTTTTCAACAGATCTGCCTGTCTGTTCATGATGAATTTTGAATCTTTGTCTTTTCAATAAATACGCTCATATTGATTTGTGCTTGTCCTTTTACTCTTTTAAATCACAAATTATTATCTATCACTGTCACAAAGTCGCAAGGGTCTAAACATGTAAGCTCTGTCACTCCACCTGCTTCTCTTGAGATCTGCTGGAAGGCGTCCACTCCGCTCTCTCCGTAGTTCCCCTCTGAAGCAATAGTTGACACATAGTTCCAGCCCATGGCCTTCACAATGTCCACCATGGCCTGGGCCTGGTAGGAGTCTGGAGGCACCACTCGGGAGAAGAACTCGTACCGGCTGTTGTCGCTCAGCTCGGGGGCAGTGGAGGCATAACTGATCTGGGGGATCTGGACACAGACACAAGGAGCTCGGTCAAGAGGAAAACCTACATCCCACAAGGAGAAGGGGGTTAGAGGAGCAAGAAGAACTGGAGCGGTCAAGCGTGTGTGAGATCATGCAGCACTTAGTCCCAGCCACCATGAGACATAATACCAGCTTTCATACTATATAGACTATACAATATATGCCAAACAGAGAACAGAGGGTTGACCCCATCGCTTTTTATATATACATATATATAACAGATCTTGCCGTTAGAGTCACTCTTTCGTAGTTTCCGTTATTTGTTTATTTTTTTACAAAATTTGAATTGACTGAATCAATTTAGTCCAACATGACAAAGTTATGTAGAAAAGGTTGCTTTATGTTACTAAAATGTATCAATTAAATACAACACTTTATTTCTTGAAGTGTACACATTTATTTTAAAGAGTCTGAACAATCAGGGTGACAAAAGGAGTGGTATTGTTGTTGTGGCGTACTTCTGTTCTCTGTTCTGACACTCAACTTTGCGATTTGTTATTGTGTCCATTTGGCCAAATGTTTTCATGTGAAAGACCACAAACAAAAAACCCTGTGGTGGTGAAAAAACTGGTCTTTTCTCTGATGAGCCATTTCCCAGTGAGGTCGAGGTATTACTAATGTGGCGGTATAATACACGGTGGGGCCCACAGCTGTAAAAGCATTTGTCTGGGAAAAATGGATGGAGAAGATTAATTTACTGCGACCGGTACGTCTTTTATGATAGCGTTTATGTGGTCCGCCTCAACTCTGACCCTGTTAATGCCCAGCCTGAAGTGTGGCTTAGCATGGGAGCCTCCGGAGAACCAGGCAGACACAAGGGCTGCTGAATGGAGAAGGAGAGGGAACCATTTCACAGATTATCTGCTGGGATTACGGGGTTTTAGTCAAATTGCGTTAAGCACAGTGCGAGAGATAGAGATCAAGAGTAGAAAAAGGTTAGCAATTCTCAGTTGTAAGCCACACAATTCATTTAATTCTGATTGCCACATGCAGCCAAGATGCATCTACCTCAAAAACGTGTGAATGAATGAACAGTGAAACTCTGAAAAATTGGAACATTGTATATTAAATCATTTATTTCTGAAATTCAACTGAACACATGAACATAAGCCTTTCTTTGTTATATTATATAGTTTTTTGGTTTCACGTCGTAATTCTACTCACAGAAGTAAATGGACTTTTGAACAATTTTAGAGTTTCACCTTCTCTGGTAAATGAGGTTAATAACATTTTTTCTTTTGTGGTAGCCTTTTGCTAATTGTAAAGACTTCTATGATTAAAGTTCTTTGCAAACAAAAAAGCAAAATAATACTTGAATTTGGGACATTTTCTCTTGATGTGAGTCGTCCTTTATGTTGCAGATTTGTCAATGGAACAAGTTTCTTTTGTCTTGTTGTCGGCAGCAGCAGTATTTTCTCATTCCAAATCAGACATCTCATCTTTTTTATATAAACTGTCAAAATGTACACAATTCAGATCTGACAAAGACAAAGGGTCAAGTGTTGATATTTTATTATAAATATTTTATTGCTTCTTTTTATTGCTGCTGCTAAAAAAGCGTGTTATAATTTAGAACTCTAAAACTGCCTAAAATGTGTGGGAATTGTGTGTTTGTATTTTAATATTTTTTTTTTTTTCACAAAATTAGACTTTATTCATGGAGCAGGTGTTGGTGAGAAATATCGCAATTTGCCAAATTTGTGCAGCCCACCAGAGTGTACGCTGAAGAGAACTGTTCCAAATCTGCAAAAAACAGTGTTAATTGAACATGTCGTTCTGATCTCTGTCGCACGCGTCAAAGTGGTTAGAGAATTGTTGGCACACAAGTCTGTAATTAACAAGATAAACCATAATCTCAATCCTATCCAAATAAATCCCTGCCGGTACGACCCATCAGGATCCCGTTCCAAATCAGCAGAGGATTTCACCAAGACTAACCAGCTCGGAAATCTAACCAGCTAATTACACGTCAGCTCACTGCACACGGGAAGTCAGCTGTGTTTTCAACAGGACTGCACCCAAAATGTGGAACAATTTCAACCACTTCCTCTGGTGACTGTGGGAGATTCACAGCAAAAAAGGATATTCTTGTTATCTGAGGCTAAATCCTACGCAACACTAGTTCAAGGATATTCAACTTCAACTGCAGCTAAAACCAGATTTTTGGGAGAGCCAAAAAAGGGTGACTGACAAAAATGCCAGATTTAATTAACAAAACTCAAGAATGACATAATCCAGGATATAACAGAATTCCAAACTCAACCAGCGACATAAATACAATTGACCGACACCAAGAGGAGAGGAGCACAGGGTTTAAATACACAGTGGGACACACAGGTGAGAGACGTGAGGTGGGGAACGAAATCAAATGAACAGACAGGAAGTAACCCAAAAAAAAGACAGGATAACAAATACATCAAAATAAAAATAAATCAACAATAAGTCCACACCATGACATAGTTTCTTGGCCGGAAAAACACAAATCTGTAATTACTGATTCAACGATTATCTGCTATGTGAAAACTAGTAAGCAAGAAAAGGTATATGTTTTTGTGTTTGATTGGTGAAAATGCTTGCCTTGGATCAACCAACAAAACAACACAATTCATCTGAGCAAAGAGGGTTATGTACAGTGTATAATGAAAGAATGTAGTTGCTATTTTATCAAACGTGCTGTTACTCATGTTATTCTCAAACTGTGGCGCATGTACCACTAGTGGCAGAATGCATCATAGGAAAATGCTGCAGCTCCAGTCCTGACCAAGAGGATCAACATGTGGAGATGGAGGAGGTGGGGTAAGGGGGTGGTATTGAGGGATGGGGGAAATGCGCACACTTCCAGATGGGGACAATAAGAATATTTTAACACTAACTTTAACCTGAGCTTAGGATGCACTGTATTGTCATCTTTAACCCATCCTTAAAGCATGAGGCAAACTCACAAAGAGCCCGTCCCTCCCAGAGGTCAAACCCACAACCTGCTGCTAACCACTCTGTCACCACCCCAATTTCGCAGTTGTATTTCTCGTTTGAATTATTTTCTGAATTGTATTATAAACAAATAAGGATTTTGTTCAAATGCAAATTATTTTTGCAAGAGGCTATTATTTTCTGTTAATTAAATAACTACTAATACATCTGTAGATGTTTCTGTTTTTGTGTTTACGCAAAGGTTCAGGTGATTCTTTGTAACAATATTAGTTCAATTGATTTCATGTCGTCACCTGCGCCACCTGCATGTGGAAGCCTGATCCTGCAAACCTCAGATGCTGAGCAGGGCAGAGCCTGGGATGGGAGACCTATGGAAATATGGAAATGCCACTTGCCACAATGGGGCTCTAACTGAAACTGTTGTGGTGTTCTGGGACTTCACTCAAGTGTGCGTACAGTATGTGCGTGCGTGCGTGCGTGCGTGTGTGTGCGTGTGTGTGTGTGTGTGTGTGCGTGTGAACGAATGCTGGTGGTAAAATAACACCATTTGGAATGCCTTTGAGTGTCCTCATTATTATTATTATCATTATTATTATTATTATTCTCATTATTATTCTTGTTAATATCCTCCTAATCTATATCATATTTTAGGACACCCAAGGATATATAAGACCATAAGACCCACAAGACAAGATAATAACATGAAATATGAATGATAATAAGAATGTCTTAACTTCTTCCCACTACTTTCCGAGCTGACTTTTTTGTTGTTGTTGTTCTTTGTTCTTGTCTGCCATGGCTCCAAATAAAGTATTCACATATTGGCTGAATGGTGAAAAGAGTCAGGCGCATATGGACGGCACCACGACACATTTAGCTAAATCTACTGCAGTGCTACCACAAGTTACCAATGTCATCGCTAGGGCCTAATGCTCTATTTTCAGAGCTGGCCCTGAGCTGCTGAGAGGGGCTTAGCGGAGGTTGCATCTGTAGTGCTGTAGTTAACATCTGCCCTTTAGGAACACAACTTCACCTTCAGCACTTTCATCAAGAGTCTGTTCACAGGATCCAACATTGTCCACTAACACTAACACCTTAAATACACCGCCAGACTCAAGATGCGGTTCTTTAGTGTGTCAGCGAGGCGACAAGAGCACAAAATGACGCAATAGAAGGATTTACTATATGTCCCATCATGTATAAGCACTGTCATCAATTACCACAGGTCAATCAGCTTCAGCAAAATAGTACAATGTGGATTATGGTCGGACCTATTTCAGGCAGCAATGGATAAAACCGTTTGAAATACAACCTTTCAAATCAGATGAGGATAACGATACCTCAGATGTGTGGACTGATGTAATCTGAAAGACTGTGGATTGTTCTACCGCCAAGACAGAATCAAGGATGAATTGCGCAACATTCCACTATTGTTGGGTTTTTAGTTCATTTAACTAAACATTTAGAGTCTTTGGGATGCTATTTTGGGAGCCTGGGGCCAAAATGACAACCAGGTGCATATAGTGTTAAAATTCTTCAAACTGACATACTGTATGTTGAGGTCTGTAGAGATGAAAATGCAAATTAAATCACACAAACGTATTAGTTAACAACACACCTCTTCCTTCAACTCGGAGTTCGCTCTTCACTGTATTATTTTTACTTTGTTGAGATTGTGTGTGTTTGCATGAATGAAATGAATGTCCTTTGTCTTTGTGAAGCAGCTTTGAGGCATTTTATAAATAAAACCAATGTCCTAGTATGTTTTTCATTCTTTTTAATGGAAGAGACTATTATATTGCTCATTCATATAAGAATGCTGCTAAATGCTTTTTCCAAACCAATTCAATAATTATTTTTGCCATTTGTGATATAAAACCACAGTGGAATATATGTGCATAAGAACCCAGTGTGCACCAGAACCAGCACTTTGTTGTCATTGTTATCATTTTTATTTTCATCACATTTTAACCAGTTGCCTTATCATCCAATTAACATCCTCCCGTGTGGCTGAGCTCTCTACCCCGTCTCTAAGGGAGCGCACAGCCACTCTGCGGAGGAAACTCATGTCGACCCCTTTATCCGCGATCTCGTCCTCACGGTCATTACCCAAAGCTCATGACCATAGGTGAGGGAGGGAATGAAGATTGGCCGGTAAATCGAGAGCTTTGCATTTCGACTCAGCTCCCTCTTAATGGCAATAGTTGTTTGTGGATCAAATTAGTTGGAGTCAATGGATGTAGATAGTAAAGAGTAACTACAGACTGTATTTTCATTCATGTTTATGGATTAAGTTAAATATTTGTGTTATAATTTGAAACCATTCCCAAAAAATGATTGGCTGAAATGCATTTTCTTTGAAACTTTTTTCTGGGCCAGTATCTCAAAGTAATGTCTCAATGTAATGTCTTCATAAAAATGTGTATCTATTGTGGGAACAATATTTATCAAGTGTAATGTTTGATTTTGAGGAGTAGAGACACAATGAAATAATTTCCAAAACTTGAATTGAGTGTTATATGTTGTAATGGAGTAATATGTGAAATGTTTATCAAATCAAACGTTTTAAATACTTGTATGTTTTGTTTTTTTGGTCAACCTCAAACACACTTCTGTGTTCGGCTCCAAATGTTTGTTAACACTGGATTGATGATGAAAGCGAAGCAACCACAATGTGGCATCGGCCTCTCCCACCACCACCAATGTGGGTAAAGTGCCTTGCCTAAGGCAAACAACAGTTTGGCATTTTATACTCCACTGTGACACCTGGTGTTCCCAGAGGTTTTCCATCACTGCATTAACCAGGTCTTGCCCTGCTTAGCATCTGAGATCTGACAGGTGGCACCACATGTTATAGTTTTTGTTCAATCGCAAATGATTAGGTTGAATTCATGTTGTAGAGTTGTATTTTAGTGGGAGGGCAGTTGCCAATTCATTTCTATGGGAAGACGTTTTTCATGAAAGAATATTTGAAAAACATTTTCCCAGATCATGATTGGATAGAGATTAGATTCACAAAGCTTCCATGTAATATCCTAAGATATCCTTTCTATACTGTCCAACATCATGCATATGTTTAGTGTACTGACAAAGAAGATTTGAAACCAACAGTTTTTGTTTCATGTGGATTAACCCAGGAATCACAGAGAAATTAATTAATGAGATGTCTGACTTTTGATAGTTTCCATAGTTACCAGGAAAGATGGTAAACACGATCTGTAAGCATTGTCATTGCAACCAGAATAAGGCTAAGAAGGTTCATTTAATACAACAACAAATCCGGGTTTTTCAGGTTTAATTACAGGCTATTACCAAATGGTTGAGATGCAGTTTGAGGGTTAAAGTGTCTAAACCAAGACCAAGTGAGGCCAAGTGAGACCAAGTGAGATGCCCCAAAGAGGTATATTTCAGTTCCAAGTATGCTTAAAGTAGATATATTGACTCAAAAGGTGATCTACCAAATGGTTAAGGAATCCATTCAAGGGTTAAAAGATTCTTCTAAGCCTTAAACATAAGCAGTCATAGCAAACTTTTTACATATAATTGTAACCAGAATCCATGCAACAGCTTCTCACCGCAAACAGCCTGAGCACGTTGGCCACCATGATGGACACAGAGCTGCCGGACGCCCCGATGACCCCGACCACACGCTCCGGTTTGGGGATAATGGGTGGCTCTCCGTTGGAACAGCGCACGTCAGAGTTATCCTTCTGGATCAGGGCCTGGACGAAGGTGAGAGACTGCTCCAGAGCGTAGGTGTCTCTGGAGCAGGTGTCCAGGATGCGGGCCCCCAGTGTGATGTTTGGCAGAAGGTCTGGGTCACTGTTGATCTGGTCCAGTGCGTACAGCATGGCCTCTAAGCGGTGGATGCCCTTCTCTTTCTTCACCTCTCCGCAGGGCACTCCCGCGGGCCCCCGGGAGTGCACGGGGAACAGGCCGCCCAGGGTGATGTCGCCTTCAATTTTGATGGACTGCGGTTTGGATCCTTGGGTCTTGGTGCAGACACCGAAGCCGAACAGCAGCAACCACAGAAGCTGCAGACGAGGTGGGATGGCGGGCAGGGGGCAGAGTCGGGACTTCATAGTGAGGATGGGCAGATCTACTCACTGCGCCAGGCCACTCCCTCTACCTGTGCCACCTGGGCAGATACACAACAAAAGCATTGTTCAATAGTTAGAGCTGTTGCAATCTCTTGTTCTATCACATTTATTTAACTTAAAGTCGGCCTTTTCCAGTTCCTACTAATATCCTGCAACTTCGAACAGCCATTGGAGAGGGGACCAACATTCCACAACAAACAATCTGATCAGGTTTATTTGAAGTGTTACAATGTAGGAGGAAAATTGTGTTCACACCAGAAACCGAATGGTTTCCTGGACTCCACAAAAACTGAACATCTTGGAGGCAATGAACAGGGCGCATGAGGTAAAAGCTCATGCTGAAAGCACATTAACCTCTTACATTCACCTAATTTGGCCGATCCTCGCTACATTTGTAAAAACCTTAGTTAAAAGAGCTTTGTCCTAAATGCTGACGTGACAAAAGTCTAGTTTGTGATGTTCTAGTGTGAGTACTCAGGGATAAAAGTCATAAATGAAACACAAAAATGTGTATGCTCCAAGTAAAGCTATGTTTTCTGTCTTTTCTTCATTCTTCAAAGTTCAGTTTTCAGCGTAGAACTTTACAGTCTTAAAACGAGGCCCATTTAAACATCAGTTTGAATTGGCCAGTTCTCAGAGCATCGCCTCAGATTCTGATAATGAGGCCCGGAAATGCAGGACATTGATGAACATCCCACTGTACAATGAACCCTGGGCTCCTTTATGTTTCTTATTATTGCATTTCCTCTAATTGTTAAATTTTCTAATCTCTTGTTAGTGAATTGAGAATTTTTAAAGCTTTAAGAGACAACTGCTGTTGTTAATTGTGGCAGTACTAAAAAACATATTTCAAAATAAATGGTTGATTGTATTGGTGTGAATTTTGCACACTATTCGAATTGACAACCTTTAAAACGTTACATTAAACCATTTATTAAAATTATATCAACTATAATTATTTTTACAACATAATTGTTGTAAAAATTAATCTGATGTTCTGCATTCCTTTGAGCTGTATGCCATTTATCTAAATACAAAAACAGCTCAAAGCCAAATAGCACTTTATATAATGAATGAATGAATGAATGAATGAAAAACCTTTCAAAGCACTTTTGAAACCGATGTGAGGCTATATCTGAGCTGCACAGTGACTTTAGGAAACATGGTCTGACATGAGTCTGACTGGTGCAGGCTTTTATCATGGGCTGCAGAGTGCCTGATGATGGAAAGCACTATAAATTTTGCAAAGCAGAAAACATCGACTGAATCTTCTCTTCATTTCATGCTTCAAACGATACAGCGGCTCATTAGCTCAAATCATTCAAAATATTACAAAACACTACTTTCCTGACAAAATAATAGCACATTTTTACCCATTGTCAATATTTCATCTGTATTAGAATTGTTCTTTATGCTTTTATTTCTCCATGAAAACCTGTTTAACACTAATTGGTGTAAGTATCCATGAAATACATTTGCACTTTTGCAGTTAGAGTAAAACATTCTCAAATGTCTCTTTGATCTTACCTGCCCATTCTCCATCGAACAATCGTGAACTGATCCATCGTTGACCTATTCCTCAGCCCCACGTCCAGCCATGCTGCAAAACAGGGACTTTATCCACAGGGAAAACTCAAACTAAAGTCAATCCTTTGTCATTTAAATCCGGCAATCCCAGAAATAACCTGGAATAAGACTAGCACAACAATGACAGGAGCTGTATTTTGAGTGAAGAAAGCCGCATCGGTATCATCGCAGCATCAGGGAGATGTAGAGAGAGAAAAAAGACATAAGACTGGTGAGATTCTACAAATCACTGCCAAATCCTTTAAAAGCCCTCTCTGCCTGCGCTGGTCTTGTTTCTGAATATGTGTCCGCTACTCTGCTCCACTCCCCCCCTACACACACACACACACACACACACACACACACACACACACACACACACACACACACACACATACTCTTACTCTCTCTCTCCCTAACTCTTGTAGGACGGTTCTCTGGGCGCACTAATGGCCACAGATTGGGATTATCATACAGGCTTGTGCGAAGAAAGCACGAGGTGGAATAGTGGATGAGATCCCACCCCCCTCCCCCCTTTTTCATATGATGGAACTCTGTCACTTTGAGAGATTATCAGCCATTTGATTCAGAAACAAAACAGCAAACCCCTCACGCACACACCTACACACACACACACACATACTCACAAAGACACACATACAGTACAAAGACACACGCGCATACGTATCATCCTGGGAATAGAAAGAGCAAGTTTCTATGTGGTTAAATGCAACTTGGACTAGATTTATTATTGATTGCAGTTGGAGCTGAGGAGAATAGTCCATGGCTCATCATCGCTTCTGTCAGTCACTTGTTCTCCAACTAGTAACCCTGCTGAATCTGATAACCTTCAAAACCTGTTCCTGGGAGAATCCTTGGTGAAACGGCTTGTCTGTAATGAGATCCAAGTAGTTTGAGGTGAGAGTGGAAAAATACAGTTTAATATCAAAAATAATTGTGGTGGCATCAAAACTTGTATTTTTTCTTGTATCACTATTTTGGACTTGAGTTGATATGTAAAAAAAAAAAACAGAATTCTGCATGTTGGAGCTTTCAGATACGAGGTATAGAAAGTGTTCTGTACTCTGGTTTTGTGTACGTAAGGCAGGGTTTATTTGTATAGCGCAGTTCATGAACAGGGTAAGTTGATGCTTTACAAAACAAGGTTCATACACAAGGCAAGTGTATGGTTTACAAAACAAGAAAGGAGACATTAAAATCATACATAAACTGTAAATAATCACAGTACATAAAAAAGTTGTATACACAGCTCAACAGAACTATTTTAACGGTGATTTTTGCAGCGTAAAATTGAAATTATCACTTCTCATGTTTCCCCAAGTAGACTGGGGTTTAAGAAAAGGGGTTCATGGAAGTATTACTAATATTTGTGATTACTACTGTTGTGATTTAGGGCTATACATGTGTAAATGGAATTGAATTTGATGTAAAATGTAAATTGGACGATCTTTAAAAGAATTCAATTGGATAAAATAGCTTGTTTTAAAATAGTTTTTCAGTGTCAAATTATGTTCCTACGTGTTTTCATTTCTTTAGTTATTTGTATTTATGGTTTTAATCTGTTTTACATCTTTTTATCCTTTTGTTTTTTGTTTTCTTACCTGGATAAGCTACGGATACGTTATTATCCTAAGCATAATTTGGAAACGTGATTATTTATATAGCACAATTACAAAACAAAGTGGATTGGATTGTGTGTGAAAATGATTTTTTTTTTTTGCACAAATGTGTTTTTGAACTGCAAATTAATTTATATATTTATTTATATGGACAGGGACAGGGACATAACAATGACATTGGACTAACCAGATGCCTTGCTGTAAGTGTTATAGCACAGGTGCTAGTCCACAGGGGGTTTTTACAGTACAGAATAAACTGAATCTGAGTCTATGTAACGATGAAAATCTTACGTGTAAAAATATGTATAAAACCATAAGGAAGTGAGAAGTGTGACAATCAACAGAAATGTCACGTTTAATATTTTATCGCTTTGGATTCAGATCAGAACTGGTAAAAAATTGCATTGAAAATTTATGTTGAAAATTACATCTATTGCTCAAGTACCTGTTGTTACAAATTGATATTTTTTATTAACATCATGATACAAAAACAGTAGGTTTATGACCATCTTACATCACACAAATATATCATTCCAAACTGTGAGGATTGAACGATTTACAAAAAAAGGACAACAATAACGTGACGTTTGGGAGAATCCTACCCTAAGAACACAGAATGCTCCAGACCATCCTCCTCTTGGGTGTACTCTAAATGAGATCTGTAGAATTTGCTTTTATACCGCGGGCTGTTGCGAACATAGTCCAGGTAATCAGGCGTCCCGGGGCAGATGACGTTGTCCGCCAGCAGAACAGCGCCCGGCTTGAGGAGTCCACATTTCTGAAATAACACCCACACATTGAGAGTTGGGTTCTGCATATAAAAACAAGTTGGACAAAAAGCAAACTTGCCTCCAGTAATTTTGTGTCAGGGAGGTAGCGATCCTTCCAATGGTCCAGAAAAACCAAATCAAAGGTTTCTATCCCAAACTCCTCCTTCAACCTGGGGATCCAGTCACCTGAGGCTCCTATGATGAGCTGGATCTGTAAGAGATGGTGGTAGAGTATGCTAATACATGTACAGAAAAACTACATTAAAGGCAAATTTATTTGTGTAGCACAATTCATACGTTACACAACACAACAGAATTGTTTTTTAACCTGGATTTGAACATTGTCAGAGAAGAGGCCTGTCGCACATTTTCAGGAATATTTAGTTCTCACTCTGGGCACCAGCAGGAGTCCTGTACGAGGCCATGGAGAGACTAAAAGCATTGTGTAGCTCAGTGCGAGGAGGTTCTTAGCAGATGGATTAAAAACATGTTCAAATATGATTCCGTTTGTTTGTGTAAGTAAAGAAATACATTGAGTGTTGTATGTGAGAGATGTGTTTGTGTTGAATGCGTGGGAGGAGTTGGAACCAAAATAAGCGTTTCTTTTTATAAGCAGATAGTGTTTTTTTTTTGTTATTGTAAGAAAGGACTCAAAAACATGTAAGCAGTCTGCGCAGAGCTGTGCATAATGTGTGTTGAACCTAGCAACTCGCTGTGTACCTTTTCTTCAAGCCCAGCCCAAGTGATGATTTCTCGGGCGATTGCGGCGCTCTCCGCATTAAACTCTAGTGTGATGAGTTTGGCCTCAGGAGGCAGCAGGTTGGCGATGCGCACAGTGGAGTAGGCGCAGTAGGTTCCCAGCTCCAACACAGTGATAGGCTTCAGCTCCAGCACCACATCGTCCACTATAATCCCTGTTACCAGCAAGAAGACATTATATTTATCTTAGTGACACACTTTATGGGGAAAAGGATCTATTTGAATAAATACCCACCTTTCTCATCCCCCACGTTCATGGCCCACTCTTTATGCTTGCAGTAGTCGTCAATGGCGTTGACCACGCTGCACGGGCTCCCTCTAGTGGAGTTCTTCTGCACTGCACGTAATATCCTCTACAAGAATATTTGACAGGAATATTCAGGAAAACCTATATAATATCCACAAATATTATTTGATTATTGAATCATCTATTAAATGATTCATTTAATTTAATTTGTATTTATACATTAAATCAAATTTAAATTCAGTGAAAAAAATCCTTTTCTTCCTACGCATTGGATATGAAAACACATTTGACCTCCATCAACAATGTAAAACAATGAAATAAGAAATACATTAAAACAATACATTGATTTTAAAATATTTAATTGTACATGATTTTAATGACTTTACTTTATTTTCTATGTTTTTTTATTATTTCTGTTAATGTTTATGACTAATGCCTGATGTGATATGGGTTGTGAGGCACTTTGTGTTGCCTTGTGTAGGAGAGATGCTCTACAAATAAAAGTTGATTGATCGATTGCAAAGTTACAATTGTCCGGTTTGGAAGAACTAAATATCTGAAGACAAGATGAACGTTTCTGAACTATTCTATTTTTCAATATTTTCATAATAGATTTGTGCAATCTGCATATTGTCTATGGTAATACCTTACAGTAACAAACTTTTTCAGGCCGGTGCCAACTCGTGACCATCACTGATAAAAATACATTTAAAAAGGCCTTAAGAGGGACTGAGTTACACTAAAAGAAACTAGATTACGGTATTGAAATGGTTGAAACAGTTTCGTCGGCTCAAATTCAGAAATTTTCCAAGAAGACCTGAGGATTGAGTCCATTTTAATTGCCCACTTTGTTTGATAATCCTGGTGCACTTCCTGCTTTTTTGCTTACATTAACCCTAACATTGTGTGTGTGTGTGTGTTTGTACGAGAGTGCGTGTGTGTTTGTGTGTGTCCCATGAATTATCCATTGACTAAAACTCTCCACAGGTTATAGACACAACAATAAGCTGGAACTATACATATTTGAAAGTAGATTTTAGATGTGTTGAATGGAATGTATTGTTGTGTTGTAATATTGTTATAATGTTCACAATGTTGTTGAATTGATATTTTGTTTCTTCTCTTGTTAGACTTTGAAAACAGGATTCTAACAAATGGAGGCTCTTTTCTCTTATCTGCCTTTCTCTTATTGAGGTAAAAACATAAGTCAATAGAGAATGTAGAGTATTCTAAAAATAGCAGTTGTGGTCAGAGATCCATTTGTGTGCATTATTAACATGTGTGGTATAAGACCACATGCTTCTCAGACAGATCACTGAGCAGTTGAAGAACAGTGTTCTTAAAGCCAGATCTATGGCCACTGCCTGGGAGTATGTAAGTCACCTGTGGCCGTGTAGAGCCGGTGATCCGGTCCAATAACTTCTCCAACAGAACATCATGCCACATCAGCACCAGAGCCTGCCGCACTGTGGCCGGGATCACCCATCTGTACAACACGTACAGAAGCGCAGCTCCTCCAGCGCAGAAATAGACACAGGTCATCAACATCATGCAACAGTAGACACTGGAAAGAGGATGCAGAAGGTTTGAACAAACGGAGCATCTGCATCACATGAATGAAAGCACTCTACCTGCTCCTTTGTTTGGGACTAATGAGATGGGTGCTTACTAAGCTCTGTATTATATGATCTCAAATCCTCTATTAGGAGGTGCAGCTGTCAGCCATATCCGCATCATGAACACAATCTGACTCACTGTTTATGTATCAGAAAAGGTTTGTATAGAAAACCTTCAGTGCCAAACACATGTCTGCAGCCTACAGCAGCTGAAACTACTGTAACTGAAAGACCACAGTGTTTGAGGTAATTCCTTCTGATTTAGAGTTGGAGTTGCATGGCAACTGGCCTGAGGTTAAGAGCTCTGGCACAAATGGCACATCTCCAGGACTTTAACCTTTAGTTCAATACAGTGAGAACAGTAACATTTGACAGGGCCAATATAGCACATGCACACTCCAGTAAACAAATGTATTATAGCTACAGACTATACACGTGTTTTTGATCAACCTAAACAGATTTCCCAAGAGCAAAACTAATAAAAAGAGAAAGAACAATGACAGTTACAGATTTCTTGTTGCACGTGGCTCTTACCTGTGTGTGTGTTACTCCTTACAGAATCCTCTTCTCATCTTCTTCCGCCACAAGGGTTATAGTGTGGACATGCGCCTGCCTTTATATCCAGAAGCTCCACCCTCTCCCCCTTTGCACTGCGCTCTCTGAGCAATGAGCATGCAAGGAATGTAGAAGCCCAGCGCTGGGCCCACTAAAGCCACACTCACTGGTACAGCATGTACACATGATTTATTTCAAATCAAGTGGGTATTTGTGAATGTTTTTACAGAAAAAATGTGGAAACACAATAAGTAAGATGTCTTAGCATAGGGCTGGGGGGGGTTTATGTTAGTCACATACAGTATATGTTCTCCTTTAGTCTGGTATGTGAAAACAGCATATACTTAAGAGTCACTGAGTTATAGAAAAAGTTTTTCTTTGGCTTGGAGTAAAGAGAACGTTTTACGAGTTGATCCATGGGTGCTTCAAACACTGTGCAGCAGTGGCTCTTCTGTCTGGGACAATCTCCAACATGCTTTGTAGAAACGAGCTGAACTGGACCGCCTCCTCTCTCGGCCAATCATATTTATCCATCAGGATCTCCAACAAACTCCATGGCATGAGCTTTGAAATGTGTCGTAAATTACCTGATAAAAGCATTGCATATGTGAGTATATATATTGCATACTGTCTGTTACCTATATCTTGTTATATCAGTTACCTTTGCGGTTGAAATACAGCTTGGAGTACTTTCCTGACAGAGCAAATTGTGGGGGCAATGTTCCAAGCAGTTCAATTATGTGTGCAATGTGATCTGTAGAGAAAAGACAATGTATGGTACCATTTCACCAGAAAAACATCTGTAGTTTCTGTAAAAAGTGTAAATAGGTTTCATTTATCTTGTAGAATGTCAAAGGAGGTGTCAATAATCTTTTACATTATTTTTAATCAATGTTGAAAAAGAAAACATCCAACCGTTTTCCTTTAATAATAGTGAATAGAATATAAAACACACCTGACAGTAGAATTATTTAAACTAACTGTGTTGTCAAAGTTCACTGTGATTAAGGTGAATGCATGTTAAGAGGTCAATGGGTTACTTGCTAACCGTTGTCTTTCATGTTTGCATTGTTAATGGATGTCTGTTTGTCACTAAGTTTGGGTTGTGAAGTGACTTTTCTAAAGTGCAACTTTAGAATATGGAATCTTTGGAGTGACAATAATGTATTTTTTTTGTCTAAATAAATAGGCCTGTAATACAATGGAGTTCAGTGTACACACGGTCACAGCACCAAGATCAGAGATGTGCCGTGACCATGCAGGCGTTCCTTGCTTTGCTAGAAAAATGATCCTTGTCTGTTGTGTTGTTTTTGTCCAGGTACTGTAGTTTGATCTTTAACATTTTTGGTCCTTCTTACACATTTCCTCCAGAGGCTGAGCGTACTCGAACCTGGAGTTCTGGAGCAGCGTGACTTTGGGTCACAGAGAGAGGACTACAGTTTAGTTTAGTTTATTGTTTATAAAACAGGGACAATATACAAAAACGATTAATCATTACAAAAGAAGAGTTGGTTTGCACCAGATTTAGCTGCAGCTACATTCCATCTATTCTAGAGTCTCAATTTTTGTGGTTTGATCCGTTTCCGGATTGAAGTTGACGGCAGAACTACAGTTTCTGGACAGTCACATCGGACAAGGTAACACAAAATAACAAAACAAAAAAAGTAAATACATTTAAATCGTCTTTGAAGGCAGGTAATCCAATGTATCTCCTCAAAAAACATTGGGGCAGTGAGATGTCTCACACGTTGGAAAAGTGGCCTTTTTGGGGTAATAGAACATTTTGAGAGTGGTGACAGTTCTTTAGCTGGTTAAGGGAGAAGCATTAATCTTTTCAGAATTAAGGCATTCTGCTTTTTGGCAGAACATTGTGGTAACCAGCATGATAAGACGACAAAAGATTTATCTAAATAATAATTGAAATTGAACATTGAAACATCTAAATAATAGAGGCTTTATGTGCACACTGTCTGTCTGTCTTTATGTCTGTCTGTCTTTATGTCTGTCTGTCTTTATGTCTGTCTGTCTTTATAAGAACAACTCCTTTGTTCTTGTGAGTAACTGTCTATCTGTTTGTCTGTAAGACAAAACATTACCTGTAAGACAAACATTTTGAACTGACAAAACATTCCTTATGTGACTAGTATTTGTTTTTGTCTGTTATGTCTTGTCTTTTGTGTATACCAGTAAGTAAGTAATCTTTATTTATATATCGCCTTTCACAGACCAGAGTCACAAAGCGGTTTACAATTGTTATTTTTGGGCATTTGTCTCTCACTCCACACAGAGATTGGAGTGAGGTCGCCAGTACAGGAGGCACATGCCAGACCTATTGTACATGTTTTTAGTGGTAGGGGAAACCGGAGTAACCGGAGGAAACCTACGCAGACATGGGGAGAAAGGCCCTGGTCCGACCGGGATTCGAACCCAGGACCTTCTTGCTGAGAGGCGAGAGTGGCACGGTGGCTGAGTGGATAGCCCACCCACTTTTTTTTTTTTGTCTTCAATGTCTAGCACTTAACTGACTAAACTGACTAAAATAGGAATAAACAGCGGTCCTTGCGTTGCAAGTAAAAATGAATCTTTGTCCAGGTACTGTAGTTTATTACTAGCTTTGACATTTTAATCTTTAACACCGCCTCATTCTTATATCCCTGATGTAAGTCCATTCTACATCAAGGATACGTTTTCGAACACATTTCGGACACCTAATCAGAAAACAATTACACCATCGGTGACATGTGCTAACAAAGAAGTGAAACTTTGTGACAGTTTTGTCTCATGTGGATTGTTGCAGGAAATACAGAGAAATTAGCGGAAAGTCTGACTTTTGACACTTACACTGCCCTCCACCATTTTAAACTATAGGCTCTTTTTGGAATGTTGTGGAGTCACAACAATTAAACAATACACAAACCATTTGAAATATAAGAATTTAATAAGTTGGACACCCGTGCTCCACCAGTGGAGGAGTTCAAGTATCTCTTGGTCTCGTTCACGAGTGAGGGAAGGATGGAGCGTGAGATTGACAAACGGATCGGTGCAGCTTGCGCAGTGATGCGGTCGCTGTATTGGACCGTTGTGGTGAAGAGGGAGCTGAGACGAAAGGCGAAGCTCTCAATTTACCGGTCACTCTTTATTCCCTCCCTCACCTATGGTCATGAGTTTTGGGAATGACTGAAAGGACGAGATTGCAAATAAAACTGGTCGAAATGAGCTTCCTCTGCAGAGTGGCTGGGCTCTCCCTAGAGATAGGGTGAGAAGCTCAGACACACAGGAGGAGCTTGGAGTAGAGCCGCTGCTCCTCCACTGTGGGAGGAGCCAGGTGGCTTGGGCCTCTGTTTGGGTGCCTCTTGGACAGAAGACCCAGTACACATTGAAGGGACTGTGTCTCTCAGCTGGCCTGAGAACATCTTCCCCTGAATGAGTTGGAGGAGGTGTGCACGAAGTCTGGGCATCTCTACGTAGACTGCTGCCCCCGTGACCCGGCAACGGATAAGGCAGAAAATAATGGATGGATGAATGGATGGATGGCTAGCCACCTGTGCTTTATATTGAACCTTGAATCCTACTGTCCTCAACAGACACATACAAGGAAGACAAACCTTCCTCTCTGGAAAAGGTAGCTCCTCCTTGAGGGTCGAACAGATAGTCACCTGTGGCCAGCTCAAAAGCCTACAGGATACATCCATCATTAAAAGAAGCCGTCTAAAGTCTGAATAGAAGTCTGAATAGAAGTCTTGGACACAATCTTACCACGCAGGCCGTGCTCCATATGTCTGCAGGAGTACTGTAGTCTGCTCCGATGAGGACCTCCACTGAGCGATACTGACACGTCTGGATGCCGTCAGTGAAGTGCTGGTGCTGTGGGAGACAGAACCATGTGATAAAGAGGTCAATGTTGAATACAAACTTTATCAGGATTCAACGTAATATCCATTTGCATTTGTGTTACAAAGCACAGCACCATTATAGAAACAAAGTAAGACGACTGTGAAAGTGCTTTCACAATGAAGTACGAGATCAGCTGAATATAATAACAGTGTGGAGGTCTGGGGCCGACAAATGTTTAATTGTTGTTACATAGCATAAAGTTTGACCTTCGACCTTCAGATAACCAAAGCATCAATAATTATAACTATCTTCTAATTATGACCATAAACATAAATTATTCTCATAATATGACTCATTGATACCAGCCGTCCCTGCAAACTAACAACCAGTTAGTTTGATAATGAGTGGTAGATAAAAGTAAAATATATTCATATATTGTGGCACCAAAGTAAGATTATTACTCACCACCCAGCAGGCGTTGCCAAGATCAGCTATTTTAGTTTTTATCTGATCAGCATTCAGGGGATTTAATAAGTCCAAGTCACTATCTGTGTCTCCTACACCTGAAAGGACATCACGTCACAACACTCCACTCACAAACAATATAACACAGTGTAATAACCCAGATTAAATCGCCGTACTGTACGGAGGTGGCTGTTTGAACGCTGGATGTATCAACATAGATCTCGAGGCTGGAAATGGTCTGCTCAGATCTGGCAACGAGCAAATGGACTCTCTGTAGTTGTGATGAGAGGTGTCGTCCTCCAGCAGAAGGGTCTGTCTCCGCAAAGACAGGCCCAGTCCAGACAGCTGTGAGCGGGCGCCGCAGCTGTGGTTGGCCGCATCAGAGGAGGGAATGTGAGGCGTGTCTTTCTGCTTGTGTCCCCGCCTGCTCCTGTCCCTCCTCGTCAGTCTCTCAAGTGGACTTTTAGAAACTCTGTTGGACTGTAGGAAATAGAACCATAGAACATTCAGGTCGAACGGCAGGATTTTGAAGATATATATAATTAAGTTTTTCCCCCAATAACTATTACAATTATATTTTGATTGACAATTTGTTATGAGGTTAGAATAATGTTCAAAGTGTACTATAAGTTTGAAGTTGTAATCCATTATTTGACACTATATTGACACTATTTTCACTATATTTACTATATTTACAGTTAAGATTGAAGTGACCATATGTAATATCCACTTTATTAATGGTTTAATTACAATTACAATCCAACTTTTGTTGCCAGAATCGTTCTGGCAGTTATACATGTAGCTCCTAAGACTGATTACAGATGCAATACACCGTCTGGGGTTTAGCCCGGAAAGGTACACACCTTTTGTATCATATGAATACTTATTTCTGTGTCTGCTTTCAATTAAATAAGTGTGTGCTTTTTTAAAAATGTGTGGATTATGTTATAATTACATACGTCTATCTATATCTTTACATATATAAAGATAGAGCCAAGACCAGCACAATTTCACCAAACAAACTGGCAACGCAAATGAGAGATTAATTCTGACGAATAACAACACTTTAAACTTTTGTCCAGAAAAGGTTAAATATAATTTATACATTTATAGTCAGAAAAGACGAGCCTTCCTTTCCTATTAGCAGATAAAACAGTCAAAATGTACTAAAAACAAGATAAATAATACCCCTTTAAGCTTTTACTAGCCTCATACAGTATTTATATGTATTTCTAAACCTGTTATAACAGAGGGAGCGCCAAATGTATATAATTTGCAACTAGATGATTTCCTGTTTATGAAAGAATAAATAATTTCAGTCTTTGTGATGTGCTGCAGTGTGATTTCGTGCAGCAATACATTCAGGTGAAAAATCGGATGTGTTTGTTCACGGCAAAAAGGCAACATCATACGTGCTTGTGAAAAGCAGCGAGTCATGCACAGAGCCCAGAGCATCAAGAGTGTGTGAGTTTCAGAGTGTGTGTGTGTGTGTGTGTGTGTGTGTGAGCAGACACATGTTTGGTCATTTGAGCAACAGCCCCCACTTGTTCTTCTTTTGGCAGTTTTGCGAGTAAAAACAGCCACAACAGAGGAGCAGCAGATTAGAAAAGAGCAAGCAAGTGAAAGTAGCCTGACAAGCCAGCACAAACTACCATCAATACCAGACTATGAGCTGCTACTGTTTTCCCACATACTTTTTTATTTTATTTTTTACATAAAATGTAATCAAATGAATTAATTTTAATTTAATTGAAAAATATATATATTTGACAGGGACAATCCACTGAGTGTCCAGCTAATGCTAATGTTCAACTCCTGTCCCTGGTTGAGCTTTTCCAAACAGTTTTAACCCTGTCTCTATGGCAATGTGGCCAGTGTATTGTTTTCTAGTACGACCTGTATGATTAAAATGTACTTTCTTTTCAAATGCATCTTGTCCGGCGGTTACAGTACGTGGGCCTGAACACGAACAGGCACAATCACAACGGCCGCAGGAAGTTCAGTGAAGGACTGTCACGCGCTGCGACGCACTGTTGTAGTTCAACCACACACACAAACAAGTATAGTTTGTTTTTTTTGTGGCATTTTTATATTTTCGTTCCCTTGATTATTTACTGGTGAATTATTTATTAGTTTAGTCCAGCCGACTAAGCAACACAACAATAATACAACTAATGACTCTACTAAAAAACAAACATTTATTACAACAGCAATCATGTTGTAACACAGAGCTATTATCATTATGTCAAAATGTACTTACATTTGAATAATAATATTTGTAATTTGTTTTGTTAAATAAATATATGTTTCAGACATTTTAACACACTTTAAATGTGTGTGTGGATGGGGAAGTCTCCGCTTAGACTGTTGCCCCTGCAACCCAGTAATGGATGAAGCAGAAGAAAATGGATGCAAGGACATTTAAACAAATTGCGGTTGTTTGTATTATACAATTTTACTTTAACTGTAAATATAATAAAATAATATTGGTTCTATATATCAGTTATAGGCCTCCTGAACTACAAAATATCGGTATTGGAATGTGTCTTGATCACAATATGAAAGTTGAATTAGACCGCCATGTTTTCTATTTGACTACAACTTTTTTCTGGAAGAAAGGGGAAAAGAGCTGTTTACAGATTGGTTTATTTCTCTGTCAATCTTAGCACGTAAGGCCGCCCCACGGCACGTGTCCAGACCACAGACCATAGATTCTTGATACAGTCTATGGTCCAGACTAACTTCTGGCTTGTCAGGCTAGAAAAAAGCACAATTGAGTAACTGTAACTATTTAAAAACGCAAATTTATGGGTTCTTGAAACAGGGTCAAAATTGCAACTTGGACACAAAGTTTGTAATGCTGCCATACATTTTTGAAAGAGAATAAAAACACAGAATAAACTGTAGGTGCCACCAAAAAGCAGGAAGTGCAGCATAGCAGAGAGCATCTTACCCACTCCCCCAGAGAATGGAAAACCCCAGTCAGCTTCCCCCATAAGTTGGATAAACTCTTTAAAAGTCATAACACATTGTTTGATATTAACAATTCAGATTAAACTACTGGAAAAAGAAAAAGAAAATTACAGTGCCTTGCGAAAGTATTGCAAACCTTTCCACATTTCGCCACATTTCAGGCTTCAAACATAAAGATATTAAATTTTTGTCATGAATCAACAACAAGTGGGACACAATCGTGAAGTGGAACAAAATTTATTGGACAATTTAAACTTTTTTAACAAATAAAAAAATGATTTCCCAAGCTTTAAACATCTCAAGGAGCACTGTGCAAGCAATTATATTGAAATGGAAGGAGTATCAGACCACTGCAAATCTACCAAGACCCGGCCGTCCCTCCAAACTTTCATCTCAAACAAGGAGAAGACTGATCAGAGATGCAGCCAAGAGGCCCATGATCACTCTGGATGAACTGCAGATAACTACAGCTGAGGTGGGAGAGTCTGTCCATAGGACAACAATCAGTCGTGCACTGCACAAATCTGGCCTTTATGGAAGAGTGGCAAGAAGAAAGCCATTTCTCAAAGATATCCATAAAAAGTCTTGTTTAAAGTTTGCCACAACCTGGGAGACACACCAAACATGTGGAAGAAGGTGCTCTGGTCAGATGAAACCAAAATCGAACTTTTTGGTCACAATGCAAAACGATATGTTTGGCGTAAAAGCAACACAGCTCAGAACCCTGAACACACCATCCCCACTGTCAAACATGGTGGTGGCAGCATCATGGTTTGGGCCTGCTTTTCTTCAGCAGGGACAGGGAAGATGGCTAAAATTGATGGGAAGATGGATGGAGCCAAATACAGGACCATTCTGGAAGAAAACCTGTTGGAGTCTGCAAAAGACCTGAGACTGGGACGGAGATTTATCTTCCAATAGGACAATGATCCAAAACATAAAGCCAAATCTACAATAGAATGGTTCACAAATAGACGTATCCAGGTGTTAGAATGGCCAAGTCAAAGTCCAGACCTGAATCCAATCGAGAATCTGTGGAAAGAGCTGAAGACTGCTGTTCACAAACGCTCTCCATCCAACCTCACTGAGCTCGAGCTGTTTTGCAAGGAAGAATGGGCACGAATTCCAGTCTCTCGATGTGCAAAACTGATAGAAACATACCCCAAGCGACTTGCAGCTGTAATTGCAGCAAAAGGTGGCGCTACAAAGTATTAGTGCAAGGGGCCGAATAATATTGCAAGGCCCACTTTTTAGTTTTTTATTTGTTAAAAAAGTTTAAATTATCCAATAAATTTCGTTCCACTTCACGATTGTGTCCCACTTGTTGTTGATTCTTGACAAAAAATTTAATTTTTATATCTTTATGTTTGAAGTCTGAAATGTGGCGAAATGTTGAAAGGTTCAAGGGGGCCGAATACTTTCGCAAGGCACTGTAAAAACAAAATACTTCTTGCCAACCTGTTTATCTCTGGGAGTTTTGTTCACTGGCAGATATTAAAATCATCACCATGGGAGAAAAAAATAATATATACAAGGTTGAGAGATTTATTTTTTCCAAACACAAACAAAATTTGGTCAAGGAGGAGATTGAGTAAAAAAGTGTAGTAATGGAGTAAATGGATCACCTGTTGGCGTAGCGAATGCAGACTGTACCGGAAACTTCCATAGTTTGGTACCGGCTGCAAGCTGCTGAATGTACTCCTCTCCGACACTCAAGAGAATGTTTTCTGGCTTGATGTCAGTGTGAATGATTTTGCATTTGACATGAAGATAATCCAAGCCTTGTAAGACCTGTAACAAAGAGAAAATAATAGTAACACTGTAACAAGGTAATTGACCAACGGCTACAAATTGATTATTGAAATAGTTTTATTGTTATATTCAACTACCAAGTCAATAAACAAACCAAACAGTGAGGCTAAATGTAATGAATTTTATATTAATAAAAAATAACCTAAACCAGGAAGTTGCCATCTTGTTTTTTGTGCAATGATAATGCCACACTTAAGACTGTGTCACCAGAAGGTCACCGGGCTCCAGAACAACCCTTGTGAGTAAGTAAATAAGAAAGTAATGTTTATTTATATAGCGCACTTTACAGACCAAGGTTACTCAAAGCGCTTTACAATGTTCAGAGAACCCTAAAACCCGCCCAGTCAACAGGAATTAAAAGTCCTGGATATGCAACCTTTTTGCCACCACCGCTGCAGCGTCTTGGCCAAACAAACTGCTTGACTGAGGACATTTTATGAGATTCCAAGATGCGTACCTGGCTTTATAAATGGCCTGGCACCACCACCACCACTCTAGATTTTATTAACAGGATCTAGTAGTCCCAAGAAAAAGGGCTTTCAGCCAAATGGCCTTCTTCATGATCAAAACATTGTTATTGGACAATCAAGCCTTTAACCATTTGTAAATGTGTTTAACTGCTGTCAATTATGTTAATTATTTATGGACATTCATCAACACTTATGGACATTGGTCATCTGCCTCTTATGGACCAATGGCTCTGTGTGTTTTTATCATTGCATCTCTTGTATTTGAACTGTTATATTCTCTGATCTGTGTTGGCGAATTCTACGGTTTTATTAAGTCCCGAGATAACTACTGTCGTGATTTAAGGCTAAACATATACATTGAATTGAATTATCCTACTGTGTCTGTGTTTTTATGTTTTAATTAGCTCTTTATGTTGTAATATTTTGACTAACTTTACTGAACATGTATATTTTATATGGTAATGTTTATTTTATGCCTTGCAGAGGGACTACAGATGGAAACTAGAGGTACAGCTAATACTGGCCCATTTACAGTTAATGTGTACTGTCTCTATTCAAATAAACTAATAGAAATCACTTTGTTTTGGTCAAAGTCAAAAATAATCTCATATTCACTGACCTTTTGGGATACAGATAACTAATGAATTAAAAAAGAGAATAATAGGCCAACTAATCGATCACCAAAATAATCTTTAGTTAAATCCCTACGTGTTACATAGAGCCGGTAGCTGAGAACAGAAGGCAGTGCACCTGTCTGATGATGCTTTTGACGCACGGCAGGGGGAGACCACTGTACTTGGACTTGACGATCCATCTCAACACCTGGTGGCCCAACACTTCAAAAACCATGCACACATCTGATGAGCTATTAAGAAGCGTTCTTTGAAAAATATACCCATATATTTTGGAGTTGTGGATGGAAACTCCTGATCAGCGTCATTTCAACAGCTTTCAATAACACCCACTAATGACGCAAGTGTTGGCGTCATCATTCCTAATCAATAAAAACAAAGTCAACATTCAAGGACTGCTGTATTCTTCTCTCTCTGCAAAAGATACGTTCTCCGTCTACTCCAGCAATTCTGAAGTCATCGTGGAGATGAACTATCCTCTCTCTCCTGGGATCCTTAGAGTCACTCTCTTTCACCTGGGAAAATATGTTAAAATAATAAATATAATTATATTCAATGCCTCTTACAATGAGTGAGCGAGAAAACATACTGTATTTTATGAAAGCACAATATATGAATGTATATGCCAATTTGACTGGACAAAAAGCAAGGGATATGACTTGTTAAAATAACAAAAGTATGATCTCACATGCGCTGAAATGTGTTCATGTCCCTAGACTGGTAAGAAACAGAACATTAAATCTGATTGCAATATTTGTCAGAAAAATCCTAATTTCCTTATTTTATCAAAATTGTACCAACCTTTAATTGTATAGTAATACATATTTATGCATTAGGTCCATAACAAACTTGTTATGGGCCAGTGAATCAGTGATTAGTTTTCTTAATTACTTTAGTGACAAGAGCATAATGGGCGGCTGGATAGTGGATAGCACTCTCGCCTCTCAGCATGAAGGGATTCTGGGTTGGAATCCCGATCAGGCACCGGTCAGGCCTTTCTGAGTGGAGAGGAGTTTGCATGTTCTCCCCCTGTCTGCGTAGGTTTCCTCCAGGTACTCCAGTTTCCCCTACCACTAAAAACATGTGCAATAGTTCAGGGTGAATGCGTGTGTGTTTGTGAGTGTGAATGCGGGACAACGGAAGCAAATTAGCCCATGGCTACAATCCGGAGGGATGAATTCATTAACATGTACTGTCCCAACCAAATAAGCAATAAATAAGTAAATAATAATACAAAGTAATTTGCACTTACACATTGAAGCAGCTTGATCTCATCCTTTGCAGTCTCTGTGAAGATCGGAGCACTTTTTACCACCTTCAGAGCCACAAACTGCCTCTTTCTGAAAATAATCAGTTTGATATTTAATAAAAGTACAATAGAAACCAGACATTTACGTTATTCAAAAAACATGTAATTTCATTTTTTATTTTATCTATTATATAATAATCACGTTTTCAATTGGTTCAATGAGAGAGGTTTTCTGAATTATGGATATGACTTTGTTCAAAGTCAGAAGTTTAATTTCAGAGTGAAAAAAATAAATCACATGTGGGTTTACACCGTGTAAATCCCAAACGACATAGAGATACATTGTTAATTTATCCCATGAGCGGTAATTTCAGGTCCCATCAGTAACTGACCCAAACACAGATACTAGACGGACACATACAAAAATAGCTCAGCACTATTTACTTACTCAATATCCCAGCAGAGCCATACTGTCGAGAAATGACCCCATCCCAACTTCTTCACCACTTGGTAACGGCCAACAAAAATCTCTCCAATTTCTACAGGATAATAACCACCTTCAGGCAAAAAACATATTCTTATTAGATAAAATATAATAATAATAATAGGCATCATGATATACCAGTGATGCTCTACCAATGCCATAATCTTCTGGGTTTTCCTGTGGCTCTTCGATGGGGCTCAGAGGCACCACTGCTGGAGACTGTGGAGACTGTGGAGACTTACTGTGGAGCTGAACTGGTTTGAATGCGCTGTAAGTTTTGGGACTCTGTGGTCCTGTGTTAGACCTGGTCTGGTTGGATGCATTTGAGAGGCTGCTTGTGATAAGAGCAGATATCGCAGCTGCATATGATGATGACATGTCCCCTTTAACCTGCGCAATTCAACAGAGCTGAAGATGAGTCCACACGAAACACACGATAAAACTAGATTGATGTTTAATAAAACAGCTATTATGCTAAACTAAACAATGTGAGTGCAAAGAGCTTGTTAACAGCCCAGCTGTAACGGCATTTTAAAGAAGTCACTGACAGTGGGAGGTTATTTATATCAGGCTGACTGGTATGTTCACATAAATAGGTCTGACTCTGACCTGCAAATAAACACAAAGTTTCAACTTTCTGTTGTCAACATGGTCAGTCTGCTGCAGGTGTCTGATTTGGTCATTTGAAATACACATTTTGAGAGCAGGGTTTATTGTTTTGTGTGTGAATCGTACAAACACACAAAACATAGTTGACCCTAACCCTAACCCAACCATATTGATATTAGTAACGTTTGCTAAAGTCTACACCTTAAATGTGTAGTATAATAACCCTCGTATTTGAGTAAACATTCGTATTCTTGCTTTTAAGTGATGCACAAACTGAGAGAATGTGTAAAAGATAAGAAAAGCAAAGGAATGTGGTACTCGCCTTGTCGCCTGAGCCGTGCCGCGAGACTTGCGCGTGCTACTGTTTTACCATTCTGTATACACGGAGCTACAGGACCTCGCCCACAGGACCGCGACCACAGGACTGCAGCCACAGGGCCGCAACGACAGGACCGCAGGTAGAGGACTGCAGTTCTGCAGTGAATTGTGGTTACAATTCACTTATTACAGGGGCCAGCTAATATATATATGTTATAAATAATGTTAGTAAAAAGTCGTACTATAAGCCACATGAACCTTCATTGGGTGGCACGGTGGCTGAGTGGATAGCACTCTCGCCTCTCAGCAATAAGGTCCTGGGTTCGAATCCTGGTTAGACCAGGGCCTTTCTGAGTGGAGTTTGCATGTTCTCCCTGTGTCTGCGTAGGTTTCCTCCGGGTTCTCCGGTTTCCCCTACCGCTAAAAATATGTACAATAGGTCTGGCATGTGCCTCCTGTACTGGCCCCCCCACTCCCAAAAATCACAATTGTAAACTGCTTTGAAACTCTGATGTGCAGTGAAAAGGTGGTATATAAATAAAGATGACTTACTACTACTTCATTAAACAATCTTGCTTCCTTTAACTTCTCTAGTTACAGGGCAGCCACAGGGCCATAACCACAGGATCGCAGGTACAGTAGCGCCACATAACCACAAGATTAGCCTATTTTCATGATTTAAAAAGTCTGCATGGCAAGAATGAAAGCATTAAAGCATTAACACCAGGTTGCTTTGCTCATGTTGCATGTTCAATATCTGCAACATCACTTATTAGGCCCACAATGCAAAAAGATTGAGCAGGCTATCCACACACAGCTCCAAGATTGAATATGACTTTATTTTCACACTCTCATACATAGCTGTGTGAAGCTGTTTAGGAAAACAGCTTCATTCAACCCACAAAAAATATTGACAGCACACTTCTGGAAAAAAAATAATAAACACAGATTAGTAGCCAGGGAGTTTCAAAACACTGTTCATAAATATAATACCTTCAGAGCTAAATTATAAGCTAGTTTGTTTGAACTTACATAGTATGAAAATACATTTAGGGCCCCTTTTGCACAGCAGTTTGGTCTACAATTTCAGCTGAAAGAAGCTCTATAATGCAGAATACTTACAAGATGCTATTACATACAAAACAGTTTCCATATACAGACTATATGATGGATAAAAAACACGTCTGCTCACAGCAAGGAACATGAAAACAATCAGAATGCATTGAATTGCATATTTTACCACATTTTGGTACATTTCCCAGTGAGAACAGATAATTCAGTGAGTACTTATTTATAAAAACATATTAACATGATACTTTGCTATCATCAATAGTATAAAATATGATTTCTTTATATTAGCAAATAACTGCTACCTGTTTTAAGTTGTAAACTGGAGACCAACAATATTAGATATATATATTCTACAGTCTAACTTTTTAAACATTGTACAATAAAAATGAATGAATGAGTGAAAAATCAGAATACAACGGTTAAAAAATACCGGTGAAACTTGGAAAATTAGAATATTGTTCAAAAGTAAATTTATCGCTGTATTTCAACTTAAAATGTGCAAGGAATATGAAATAGACTCATTACAAAGAGAGACACATCAAGCCTTTGTTTGTTAACATTTAGATGACTGCTTATGGCTAACAGAGCCGATTCAGATTCTGTTTATTTTGCCATTTGCAGTAAAATAATTTGTTTGTTATTTTTGTATTATTATTAATACAAACAAAACAGGTTCCCCAAAAATACAAATCAAACTCAAGATAACTTGCTGTTAACAGTCGATGTTAAGGGCACGTGTCAATAAATGAGCAAAGTCAGTTAAACTATTATAAATAGAAAAAATAAACATCATTAACAGCGAGATTTGTCGGAATTCCTTCCGCCCGTGTCCCTTGATGGATGAGGGGGAAAAAATGATCCAAATCCTCTGTCACCGTATCACAAAATCAACATTTATCCACATCCAAGTCAAATCTGAATTGGATAATAGAATTGAATTGAAAGGGGAGCGGATAATGAAAATAATAACCTAATCTTGGTCGAACCACTTTCACTCTCTCTTCACAGTTTGAAAAGTAGCGGCGTTCCCTTTAAGGCTGTGCGTGTAATGAGTCTCACATTTGAAGTTGAAACACAGAAGTGAAATGGACTTTTGAAGTTTGACCTGTATTTTGTTTAAATTACACCATTAAGTAGAAGACGTTTTCTTTTCTAACCCTACACAAATGCTGATGATTTCACTTGAAAGGAATGACGTTCCATAATAAGTGCACATGAACATTATAAAACTTAAAGTACGACTGAGTGCGAGGCCGGCTCACACTCTCATTCAGTTCTGCAGTGAATTGTGGTTAAAATTCACTTAATACAGGGGCCAGCTAATATATATGTTATAAATAATGTTAGTAAAAACTATAAGCCACACTATGTACAGACTTATGCTCACTGAACCTTCATTAGACAATCTTGATTCCTTTAACTTCTCCAGTGTTTTTCTCAATAGCTTTAAAAGGTTTTCACTTCCACATTCTATTGTTGGCAAAACTCAAAAAGGGAGAAATATTAGGATGGAATTTGGGTTATTTTTACAATTAAAGCACTTTCACTTTCTTTTAAATACATGACAGCGATTAAGACATTTAAAGCTGAAGTACCAAAGTTGTGTTTTGTTTCATAAATACAGCCGTTTGTCCCAACGTTTCGGTAACATGTTGTGAACGATCAGCCCATAACATAATCTCTTTGTTTTGTTAGAAATAGAATTAGAGATTAGAAATGTAAAAGATTGTGTACATAGTGAGAGCTGATTGGCCGAGTGAGGAAAAACTGATCTAAGGATGTCGCTGAGGTCCAAAAAATATGTGATTGGATCAAACTGTTTTGAGAGCGTGGAACTAGTTACATTTGATCACACAGTTATTTAAGGTGGCCTAAAAGTGTTGGTACTTCAGGTTTACATGTTGTAAACACAGACCGAAGCCAGGGGGCGGATTGTAGCTGATGCTTGTTAAAAGAAGCACACAGACACATGGTGTGAGCTGCTGCTGAATCAGTCTGTGGCGTTTCCCGAAGGAATTTCACAGAGAAATCACACAAATTCTGGTTTATCTCGATGCTGTATATCGGGCCTATTCAACTTGCGTCCCAGGGGAAAAATCTGGCCCTCAGCCCATGTTCACTGCTAAAAGTAATCAAGCTATTTTTTTTATCTTGGGTCAAGTACATTTTAAAAACACAAAATTTCCCAATGAGACAAGCAAAACACTTTTTTTTTGTGTGTTTTTTCTTGTTCCATGTCCCAATATACAGTCTAGCCATTATTTTCCCCACAATATGGATTTGAACTAAATAAGATATTTTGTTTGATATATTTTCTGTTAAATGTTCAAAGTGGTGTTGTACAATCATCACTTTGAGTCAAACAGGTTGAATATGTCTGCTGTATATTGTGCATTATTATCATATACCTGTGACAATAGAGAGCCAAAAGCCAAGCCATTGAGAAAAACAATGACCCTGTCCCAACCAGCCTCCCATTTTATTTTCAGGGATTTAAGGCTCAAGATATTCATAAAGTGCTTCATATGTCCCTCTACAAAAACCTTTTACACACAGTCAAGTTTTGCTTCCACTTTCCCCAATGCTTTTCAAACATCAGACACAGAATGCTACAACAATGGAGATGACATCATTACAAATCCTCATTCACCGAGATCTTGGACATGATGTGGTTTAGATGAGTTGATAGAATGTGTAGGCACTCCCATTCGCTACAGCTGTGCTCCAGTGTTTACAAGATGCTTATGTCGTTTCAAACAAAAAAAACAAAGCAAAATGGATGATACATTATTGGCTTTTCTGCCCTGACATAAACACAATCACTAGTACGTGTTTTACATTTCAGACTGGAAAGATGGTATTTTAAATAAGACAATAAAGTAAATGCTGCTAAAATAAAAAATATCATTATCTTGATTTGAACCCATTTGTCTGTTTTATGATTGTGTAAAATTTATTTCTTTAGCTAAAATGTGAAAATCCAAGAAATTACAAACTTGGAATTAGACGACACATGCGCCTGCTCCTGAAATTAGAGTTAAACTACTTGTTCCATTGACAAATCAAGTTTTAAATGAAAAATATGATGCATTATTTTTGGCAATTTATTTGAAATGACTATTTACTTTGTCTTTTCATGTTTTAATATGTGAAATAATATTGTCAGTAGCAAATATATATTGAAACGAGTATTAAGGGTAAAAAATGCTACTGACCTGCACTAACCATGTTAACTTGTGTCATTGCAATATTTCCCACCAGGTGTAGAATTTGTAATTTTCCAAATTTGAAAACCAGCAGCAAACATAAAGAGCACCTTATGACCTTTTGTTTCACAGGGCGGAAAACTGCCTTTTGAAAGACAAGAGCTTTTAGTCTGTTTTAATTGTGGAACAATGTTGTAACATGGTGAAAAACTAATAACAGTAAATGTTCATAATATTTCCTGTTTAAAAAAACAAACAACAATTATCTTTTTTTCTTTCCAGTCATGAGTGTGTCACAAAATGAATTTGCAACACATTACCTCTTTATATAACTGTTCTTTATAGGTAAGATAGTACAAAATAGTAATTTAGACTTGTATATATTTCTGTATAAAAGTATATCTGGACATTTCCATGGTTACTGGTAAGAAGATAGTAGTTTTTTGTATAGCATACTGTCATAAATAAACCTAAGCGTGCACGACAGAATGGCCCTGCACGCGCTCTGTCCTCTGGCGTCGTTCACACAGAGGAGCTACACATTATCTTTCCAAACAATCCTTTTCTGCTGAGGTTGCAATGTTTTGTTTTTCTTTTGAGGTCACACTGTATCAACATTTGGCCGTGTTGTGTCTGCTGTGTTATTGCGTGCAGTGGGATCAGACCAGAGTGCCAGGGTCAGCACTGGGTTCCTTAGGAGAGGCTTCAGGTGCGTTCTCTTGGTACAGAGACAACTCCATTGATCTGTTAAAAGAGAAAGGCACAACAGATCAATGGTGTTGCATAATTGAGAGACAGGAGCAGGCTGTAAAACCACAACTCAACGAGCTATTCATTTCTAAAGATTGAAATAGTGAAGTAAAAGAGGGCTAAAATGACAGATCATATACTTAATATACCCAGGTTTCCATATGCCACAGGCAGAGGCCACTGAACATATGTGGGACAAGAAATGTACTGAACAATTATTAGAGGTTGGCTGATGCATCGATTAGTTATCTAAAGCTCAAGTGATACCCCTGGACCAATCTATTACTACATTTCAACAAGAAATTAGTTGTGGTTAATCAATTAACTTGTTACAGCCCTAGGATTTAGAACATTCTTTTAATAAGCCAAAGAGTTTAAAGACCACATGTTTGGGGGGTAGACTTGCGTCTTTGTCAGAGGTTTCACGTGATGTTGTGCCGTGTCTCTTATCAGCTGTTGTTAGCGGATGTGGCCGGTCTGGCAGATTGGGTAGATCCATCCAAGCCCCCCCGCCTGGCACTGTGGCCTCTGGAGAAGTGAGTCTCATGTGTGAGCCAAGGTGAAGGCCCCCTTGTCTCTGGCCACATCTGGTAACAACAGCTGATACGAGACACATCACACCCATAGACTGTAAATATTAACGGACGTAGTCACACCTATCTCCGACGTTGAAACTAATGTGCCACCCCTTTTGCCTCCTGTGGGCTTTTTCAAAAACTAAACCAACAAAAGCTCAATCAAGCAACATTTTCAGATTGATTGGCTCAAACAGAGTAAATACCTTGTAGACGCTACTGACCTTCCGTGAAGAGGGTGGCCATGGAAGCTGGCAGACTGAGGCATGTGAGGCCTGTGGCTGCTGGAAGGGTCTCCCTGAACAGACTGGGGCTGGTGCACCAGAGGGTGTGGGTGTGAGAGACGGGAGACCCCTGCTTCATTACCCTTGGACGAGGAAGGATACCCCAGAGCATTCCTGAGGTACCAGTCCCGCAGTCCCTCAAGCGCTAAAGCCTTGTGCAGGCTGCGTGTAGAGTCCTCTGGGGTAGGGAGAGAGAATTGTGGGACTCTGCGTGTGAATGGTGGCCCCAGCAACTCGGCCTGGTAAGGGTGCAAGTTAGGGATGGATGATGTGGTGGCTGAGGAAGGAAGGGGGGACTCGTACGCTGACAGTAGAAGAGCATCATGCTGTGGCAAAGGAATAAATGGACCACAAGATTTGGTTCTAGTGACTTTCACCCGACGAAGTTCGGCTTGGGATCCGCGTAGGACCATGGGGCTAAAAGGGGGTACAGCACTGGGGAGGTGCACTTGTGAGTGGGAGAAGCCATTGGCATGAGACTGAGGTGCTACGCTGGATGTTTGTGGGTCATGCCAGATCCTGCCTGTAGACTGATAGAGCTGCTGCATCTTCTGCTGTTTTCCCCAGATATAATCCATCAGCTGCTCGCTGTACCCTCCAGTCCCTCGCCCCCCCATGGACAGACGCAGTTTGGCCTGTTCCACAGAGTTGTCACAACTTTCTAAATTCATTCGTCGCAGCTTTCCATCAGTGAGTGTCTCCGAGCTCTTGTAAGGCCCGCCTCTGGGGGGCATCCCGTTTCGAGGAGCAGGCTCATCAGGCAGACTAGACCTGTCCAGCAGGGCCTCTGAGCTATTACTGCGCCTGGCCCGGGAGCTGTAAGGGCAGCTCCTGCGCTCTGATGAGGAGCCCTCCTGAGACAGGGGGATCATGTATGGCACATCCAGACTGCCAGACCACTGCTTAGTGCCATTAGTCGTAGATCCATCGGATCTGTCAAACAGGAGGGAAAAACAGTATAGATTATGTGTACACCATGTTAGAAATGTTCTTACATTGTCTGACAACACAGCAGTCTCAAACATGCATTTAATCTGTTAACGTGACACTAATCATCCTAGCTGTGTCTAGCTCTGATGTCCTTTTAAGACATTTGCATCCATAGTTATCAGAAGCAGCTCCATAGATGATTACCTAACATGGACACTGATGGGGGCCGTCCGAGCCAGAAGAGGAGTCGCAGGAACACTTCTACCCTCAGCATTTGATGCACTTTGTGGTAATGAGTGAGAGGGGCTATGGGGAAAAAAGGTTATAGATTATATAAACCATTTTATCATTGTGGATCACAGGCAAAGAGGTTCTGTCCTTAGGACACATTCAGATTTTCATTGTTTCTAGACCCTGTCTACATTACCTGACAGAGCTTGTGGCTGAGTTACGTCGTGTCCTCATCTCGTAGTAAATCTCCACTGGTGAAAGCTTCCTGCTGATGCGGTGTTCAGGGCTGCCTACAGTGAGTCCAGGCTGTGACAAAGTGCGCTGCTCTGCTGCCACACTGGGAGACTCTTCAGACAGGGGAGACAAACCTTATCAAAAGATGGAATCTTCATGTGCTATTTTCACTTGTGAAGTCTTATTCTACCAAGTGCAGATGACTTCCTTTAGGTGTACTTGAACAGTTTTAATATGTAAGCTTTGTTTACCATTATCATGAGATGTTGTGTCAGACGTGGAGCTTGTACTCTCTGACGTCACAGCATCATCTGCAAGAAGAACACACAGACGAAAGTCCATTATTTTATGTTCACTCTATTCTGTGCCAATCACTTGCTTTAGTTATAAAGTTACATTTTCCTCAGAACCGGAACTGAGATTTGGATTAGTACTATTTAATAACAGTCAACTTTTTTTTCTATGGCATAGTTATTTATTTATTTACCAAATATTACTATGTGTTTTTATCTCCAATGTTGTTTTTATTTCAAATGGTGGCGCACTATTGTAATTCTGTTTCAATTCCAGTCAAACTGTGCTGTGATTGATACCCCAAACCAAATCACAAACACACTATCTTATTCTTGTTCATGCAAGTTTTATATCTGTGTGTGCACTTGAAATGGCGTACATTGTCCTGTTATAAACCTTCTGTATCTGAACTTTTCCTGCAAATAAACAATTGGTCAACTTTTTACTCATTTCTACGACACGACAATACATAGTTTGAAAATGGGTTGGACGAAGTAGAAGCTTATTTAGTTCCAACTCACTCATACAACACAAAGCACACACACTCACACAAGACAGGCCCAAACACTCTCTGACCATAGACCTATCTCCCATCACTTGGTCTGTGCTGAGGGCAGGGTTCTCTTTCCTTTAAAAAAAAAAAAAACGATTTTTGAACGGAATCAGAAAGTTACAAACAAGCCCTTGTTACCTGTGTGACATCCCCGGTGAACTGTCCTCTTGTTTTGGACGTTTCTGTCGAGTTCGGAGTTGCGGTACAGTGCTCCAGTGAAGATGGCTTTCATCTGCTTTCTCTGGGTGCTCTCGTCCTGTTGCCATGAGACAGTGGTTGGTGGGAGACTCCGCAGACACAGACTCCAATTGATATTCAGAGAATTGACTCACCTCCATCTTGGTGCTGGGTGCCAAGTGGGCCTTGCGCTGCACCAGTGGGGGTTTCTCCCCTGAATCCAAGGGGAAAACCCGGGGTAGCTTCCCAGTAAACTCCTGGAGAGGACAGCAATTAACCTACACTCTGTCAAATCTATCTCACAAACTGCTCTATCAGCACTCTACATACAACTAATCTATTACACCCATGTGGCTACACCAAATGCACAGTGTTCACTTTATTTAGAAAAGTGGATTTGTGGATGTTTTTATCTACATTACAGAAGCACTTCATAATATTCCTCAAATGAACCCTCTTCCTTTGGCGTGATCAAACTACTTATTAGTAATATTAAGATTGATAATAGTAAGAAGCCAGGTTGCCAATCTGCACCAATCCTCCATGCACACACTCACCCATGCAAGTGGGTACACATGATTCAAAATAGTAAATGTGAGTGTGTTGCTAAAGGGCACAAAGATCTACTGTGATGCCTGGTATTCATAGCATCCTTCCATTCAAGCACAAACCAGACTTTGCATTGCCTATAAGCCTTTATCACAACAGGTATGGTCTTTCTACACACTTTGTCTATTTATCTATCTATCTATAGCCAATAAACCATTTCCTCCTCAGAGGGTGGTTGTCTACTGTCACCCGGTGCCACCACAGCGGGGTCATGGCCCTGGCTTACGTCCCGTATACGCCACAAGTGCGACGAGACACGCGCATCTCTCCTCAGCAGTCTCCTTGCGTTACGCAGCATGCATTCACGCAAGGAGAGCGCGCAGAGTCTATGGAAAAGTGTAGAGGACAGTACAGGACTGCTATAAACCAGCAACAGTCAGATGTAAGTGCTTGTCCTCATGGTCTCTGTGACTGATTTGGTCAGATGTGAGAATCCCTGTCAAACCTGCCAGCCATGGTTCACATGGTTTAATAAGTGCTGTGGGCGTGTGGAGCAGCTCTCGTGTCAAAGAGTGTTATTTCGCATATATTTTCACTGAAAGCCGCGTCACTGCGCGCCAAAAAAAAAAAGCTTGCGTTGTTGTGCAGTCTGCACACTCCAGACTTCTACAATGGCAGCGCATCTGAAATCACCTTAGGCGTGCTGCTGTGTGAGTCTTTCTTTAAATGACGAATGAGGTGTGTAGCGGACGTTAACCGTCTACACACTTTGTACACAATAAATATTTAGTTCAGTTCAGTTTAATTGTCTACTGCACTTAACATAGCGCCAACTAGATACAAATTGTGCAGCTGGTCTAAAAAGAAAAAGGCAGAAGCTTCCCTATTTGTAATGACACCTTCCTGTCCAAATTCAAACATTCACTCAGTCTCTTGTTCTCACACCTCAAGCAGACGCTATCATTTTAGCAAGTAAATGTGCTAATGAAGTTTCACTGAAGCTGCAGCTTTATTAAGAGGTGCTGAACATGTTTGACGCAATCAGGCAGCGTATCTATAAATAGTGTATATTAACAAAAGCCTCACACAGTGAATATATGGGTGTCTGTAAAAATGCATGCACACTCACCGCCTCCTGCAGACACACTTGCTTGAGCTCCCCCACTCTGTTGCTGAGGAGGGCCTCCAGAGCCTGTTTCTTCTGCTGAAGAGCTGAGAGTCTCTCTGCCTGAAGCTTTCCATCCGGGCAGCCTGGAACATCTGCACACACAAACACAACAGCACCGTGAGCTGGGGGTTTGGGCCCAGCAGCAAGATCAGATCAAAGAAACAAGAATGTAAAACGAAGATTATCAGCAAACCCTTGTGCGCTTTTGTTGCCACCGCTTCTCTGTGCCGGTGCTATAATATGTGACAGCTCTGGTGACAGTTTGTTAACAAGGTGCACCGCAAAAACATACAAAACATAAGTCAAATTGCTTGAATAAGGCCAAAAGTATCTTGTTTTGAAAACATTTAGACTGTCTTTAACCATTCTTTTCCAATTCTCCCTAGGATTGAGAAATGTTCTGCAACTGCACTTGAAATAAGACTAAACTGCATGTCCCATTGGCAAGAAAAGAAAATATGGTAAATTCATTTTGCTTTATGCTTTATGTTGTTTATGTTAAATATTAATTAATTATTTAACATAAACATATATACCTCTTAAATATAAGATAATTATGTATTCTTTTATTTCTATTAATCGTGTTTTATATTGTTTAATCAATGCATTTATTTGATCATTGTAAAGATGTAAAAATAAAATAAAAAAAACAGCTACGGGATGAAAACAACAAAGAAGAGACAATAAACTATTGCATATAATGCAAAGTAAAAAACCACTTGATTCAAGCATTCATTACTAAAGATAATGAATGAATTTGATCAGCTACAGCAGCTGAGTGAAGACTTTCGCTCCTTTGAAACAAGTGAACTATTTCAGACTTGTCTAGACATGTGAGATGAAGCTGGCTCTCACCTGGCGCCCCCAGACCCATGGATGTAGTAATCAGTTGTCCTTTCACCTCCATACGACAAAATGCCAGCACTTCAAGCAGCTCTGTCTCTGCGGGCCATGTCCCTACCTGCTCAAGAACAACAGCAGCAGTCATTACAGGTTCAGAGTGTTCAAAGCATGCATTTACATTGTTCTTGCACTCACCTTGCCATGTTGTAATGTTAGGTGTGCATTTGCAGCCAGTCAGCAGCAAAAAGTCATATCAGAGGTCTCAAAGGAAGTCAGGAAGCAGGCCTCAGCTTCTTTATGAGGGTGGAGTCTGAAAAGCAGAGAAGATCAAATCAATGGAAGCACTCAGCGATAGGTCAGAACGACAAACCAAAATCCATCGTTTGTTGCCTTATATTTTGAAAAGTTAATTATATCATTATTTATAATTGATCAGTTGGCCTATTATTCTTTCAATATATTTTGTATACATTTGCCCAAAACATCTTCATAGAGATGACAAGTTACACATTGGGTTGTGAGGAAAATGACACGATATGCCAAGGTCTGGGATCGTGTCACGGCAGAAGAAGTTTTATTATATTATATTTATTATAGCTACACAGGATAAACGACACAACCAGTTTAAACCAAGGCAACATACAGAGGCTCCCTTCAGCATTTCAGATAACCAAAACATCGAGTCGAATCGTGCCGACTTCTGCTGCATCTGTTGAAATGACCAGCTCAGTTTTGGTTTTTTTGCACAAAAAGGTCTCATAAAAGATCCATAGTTATTTGATTAAAATACTTTGTAAACATTCTGCAAAAAAATGAATTGAGCTATGTTTAAGTTTCATAAAGTTTCAAAAAACAACCAACTGAATAATAAATTGTTTGATTTAAAAAATGATAGGTAAAGACAAACTTGCATGCCTTTCACATTTATTTTTTAAAAGCACTGTATTGACACAGGGACATATAGTAAGATTGGATTTCGTGTCTGCTCTTTGATGGGTCTTTGACTGTTGGAGCGGTCTACTGTATTCAAATGCTCTGATAAAGCAGGTGTTACCTCTGTAAGAAGGACAAATTACCAGGGAGACTGACCTGAATGCAAATAGCACTGCAGGAGAGGACGAGGAGCAGACAGTAAATAAAGAGCCGTTAGAACTGAGCCCTGGACTTACCAAAGCTAATCCTGCTGTGGGAAAGGTTGGAACATTTTTTAGACCCAGATCAGCTTTTTGTCACAGGGAAGTGCAGCAGCATAAAAAAATAAAAGGGTCAAAACAAACTTCCAACTTTCAAAATAAGTCTTCAAAAGTCCCAGGACCAAAGGGAAGATCGCAATATAATAATGCTTTTTTTTACGTTAACAAAAGTCTATGGAGTATGGACAATATATGTTTAAGTGCATTTGGCTCAAATTGTTTGGCATCACAAATAAAACATTTTACATGACTATTACAGAGATAATGTATAGACGATAAATAGTGAGCCCTAAAATACATTGTTTCATACTGGATATTGAACAATAAATCTATATGAAGAAGAATATGAATGCTGCAGATGTCTGGGATCGTGTCTCAGCAGAAGACATGTTTTATTGTTGGCACACATACATACATTATGAAAATGTAAATAGTAAATTTTGTAAATATTGTAAAATACACATGGAAACCAACAACTTCTAATACAAGCTTGAAGTAAACAAATAAACAGCTAAACACAGCATAAGTTATATAAGGTATATGTCATGTTGCCAATAGAGAAGTTTGCTTTGACGTTCAGAAAAACCAAAACATCAAGTGGAAAACATCAAGTGGAAAATTGCTGAATACTGTAAAAATAGCATTTTAAACCCTGTGATCTCAATTCTTGTGTTTTTGCACAGTGGAAACTAGGCAGTCTGTATCTTCAACAAAAAATTATCAAAAATGTTGTCTTTTCATCAAAACTGGTTATAATGCAGTGAATTTTCTCTACGCTACAACAAGATAATATCATCGCTAACCTACTGTGGTCTGGTGTAGAAGAACCAAATACTTTTATGCTACAACAAGTCTAGCAGTAGTGGGGCAACAGTAGCTCAGTTGGTAGAGCTTGGGCCTGGAGGTTGTGGGTTCGAGCCCACCACAAGACCTACTTCACCACTCCCACTGATGACTGCTGTTGTTGTGTCCTTGGGCAAGACTCTTAACCCCACTTTGTCTGAAGCCCCCGCTGGAAGATCAAGGCTCCTATGGACTCACCACCTGCAGGAGGATCAGTGAGGGGCTGGTGCTATGTGCACTGGCTGCCACCCCACCGACCCAGAAATGGACTTAAGCCTGGTTCACACGGCAGGATATTTAGGCCGATTTAGACCCGATTTACCCCTTACGACAATCTTAAGAAACGCTCCGATTTCCGTAACAAAATCTTACAGATTATCCTGCCGTGTGTGGTGTGTTAAGACTGCACTCGTCGCTCGGAAGGACATCGGGACTGCTCCCGATCTCAAATCGGGGATATCCAACATGTTGGATTGTTTTGGCCCGATTTCTCTTCGTGTGTGGTGTCCCCCGAGGACAGACGTGCGCGTTGCCATGACTGCGGCGTGTAGCCAATCAGAAGACAAGACGTGTCGGTGAGGAAACGCCTCCATATCACGATGTAGCAAGTATAGTCCATGCTCGTGTTGTCTACACTTCTTTGACCATCGCCTTTTCTTTTGATTACGTCTTTTCTCAGATAAAAACAAACTATCGCCAATGCAACGTCTTCGTCCGCCATGTGTGTTTACTCTGAAGTCACGCTTGATCTCGCGAGACCTGAGATTTCCGTCTGATCTGTGAATACTCGGGGGGGGGGAATCGGTTCGTGTGTGGTTTGCGTGATTTTTGCCGTGTGGCTGCGCACCACACACTGTACGACCAAAGTGGTTAGACCCGTGATTTTTTATCTCCCTGTGTGGGGTCTCACACAAAGAAAAATCGGCCGACAATTTTAAAATCGTCTCGTGTGAACCAGGCTTAAATGGATGGATGCATGGAAATCTAGCAGTTTTCTTGCATGTGTCGGTGGATCTGTCAGTTATTTCATTTAATTCTGAAGCAAGATTATAGACTTCAGTAAAATAAAGAAACAGTTTTTTATAGGTTGTGTTCAATAATGAAAAATAAATGCAGCAAATTAAAGTTTCAAAACATACTTGTATCAAAAATGATGAGCGTCAAACATGCTTTTACCAGTCCGAACCCCAGGCTTATAGTGCAAACAGACGTTACTGGCCGGTCAAGCAATATTCAAGCCATCTGTTCATTCTCTCAGATTCAAAGTTCAAACATTTTCTCAAATAGCCAACAGAGATACCTCAAAAATAGAAAGCCTCTGGCAAAAGGCCCTGTTCTCTGCTTGTTAAGAATCTAATGACATAACAGATTTATTATCAGTTTATGCACAAGAGGAGAGGAGGGTTCTGAGGAGGAAGTTCGAACAGGAAATACAGATACACACAAGAAAATAAATGTGTGCATGTTTACTTTTGGTGGAGACTGGAAAGCATCCGTATTCTACAGGGATGACACACAGGCTAATGCCCCTGGACAACACCTTCATAGAGATGACTTGGTACACTATGGGTTATTTGATTAAAAATACCTTTAATTTCATTCTGCAGTCATTATGGAGTTTAAGTAAATGTAACGTTCAAAAAACGATTAATCAAATACTAAATCACATTCAATAATACTATTAGTATTACTTGTTGAAACCCTAACTAGAATTTTTCTTACAAGCGTTTGCTCCTGTGTGAGATTGGTCTTTGCTGGACTGTACTGGGATAAGATAAGAGGTACTTTATTAATCTCACACAGGAGAAATTTACATGTCACGTTTGGCATGGATAGAAACACTCAGATTGTGCAGAAAGTAAGAAATGTGCAAACAGGACATATTATGTACAAAAAAGTGGCAATGAGAAGAAGTGTCAATAGTACACAAAACATGTAGTCTTGTGTCATCTCCTGAAGAAATGCAGTCGTGTGGGCAGTAGGATTATTTATCCTTTTCTTCCTAAATGCATTTGTTCCAACAAAAGCCAAATATTGTGAACCAATGAGACCACAACATGCTGCTGACACCGTATTAGAAAAGACATTATCTTTTTCATATAAGAAAGAAATGATGTTTTGGGCTGAGAGCTCATTGGCTGGTCCTCATGCTTCACTTTTCTGTCTAAAAAAGCTGATATGACAAAGGCCAAAAATACATGATGTGAAAAATAGTGACACCTGCATGTGAAAGCCAGATCTTGTCACACCTTTAAAGCTAAGCAGGGCAAGACCTGGTTAGTACTGTGATGGGAGACCTCTGGGAAACCTGATGCCAGGGTGAGAAATCTGTGGCTGTAAAGTGTCAAACTGCCAATGTGGCCTTAAGCAAGACACTTCAGCCGTGTGTGTGAAAACAGTTGGTGTAAGCGGTTGCCTAATTTCTGTCAGTCTGCCCCAGTGCAGGGGTGGCTACAGTCTTCACTCATGACTTATGAAAGGAGTGAATGAATAGTGCCATGTGAAGTGTTGTTTATTATTAGTAGTAGTAACAGAACTATTTTGAAATCTATGAGTTTTAGTCATTATTCTTTTGTGCTTCACAAGTCAGGTGCCCAAACTATTGAGCTAATAACATAGAGACAATCAATTAAAAGTGGTGGTTAGTGTGCCGAATGACTGAATTGACTTTTCTATTTCCTCATCAAAACCGACCTGTCAGTTTTTCAAAATCACTCACTATTCATGTCTCAGTCCCAGAGTGCCTGACCTCTCCAAGCACACAACCCACTTACAGACGCACAATGGCTCAGACAAGAGCTCCACTAGAGCTGGCAAAAGAATCCAGTGCTAAGTACAAAAGCTCGTATTAAAAGTAGATGCTAATTTTAGTGATGAGTGTATGAATTTTGATGTTAACAACCAGGAAACAGACACTGTCTCCACTGCAGGGATCTAATTGTTGTCTCCATTTGCCCAAAGATGATTCACATACTGTAGTGGAGCACAACAATTTTGATGTAAGAAGATAATTATTCTACATCCTTGGTTTTGCCCAAGATCTACAACTATTCATTCACACTCTTCAATCTTTCTGCCTCCAAACTTCACAGCTGGTGCAATGGACTCACATTTGATCAACGTCTGGTGAGAGATTGGAATACAGATTTTGCATTTATTTGGACGCATTTTAAAAAGAAACCTAAAATTAACTGTAAAAAAAGTTAAAAAATAAATTTCTTATTAAAAACTTCTACTAAGAACAGCTCTTTTTGTAAGATTTCAAGCCCAACTC